ACTTCCCACCCAATAAAAAGAGGATATACTATATGTAGTACGCGCAATGTAACGACCGAGTGATCTACTAGTATATAATAATAACTACAAACACGTGGATACGAAGCGTATAGCAAATTTTATAGTGTTGGAATGATCATTTCCAGCTTCGATCTCATTTTTAAAAGTGACATTTGATAACTTGACATGATTTGCTCATTTAATATCTTCATATAGCAGTTACAGTAGTTAGCACTGTCCTGCACTTGAATAAATATTTTGCCCGTTTAAAATTTCTACCCAACTTTTTTTGTCCACCGCCCACTGCAGTACACTGGTAGTAAGCATTGCTCTTCTGAAAGCCTAAATTGTTTACAGTTTGCAGGTCGAGTATTGCGATTTCAAAGTAAGGTAATTGGTGTAGAAATCGCCGTCTTGGACCCATTTTTATGCTAATGATATCACATTATTTATTCAAAGTATTTTGTCATAGAAAGAGTTCTTACCAGCTTGACTTATTAGTACCCTGTTAATTAGATAGTGCAAGCCAAATCATGCTTTATATTGTCATAAATGAACGAAAATTTGCTCATCAAGTCTAGACAGCTTAGCAGAGTTTGCAAAAGGAATGAGCTTTGCATCCAAATAAAAGTGAGATAGGATTGCTGTAAAAGCACGAATAGTGTCACTCAATATATTTTTATGCTAATGATATCACTTTTTTTTATTCAAAGTATTCTGTCCTAGAAGGACTTATTACCAGCTTGACTTATTAGTATCCTGTTAATTAGATAGTGCAAGCCAAATCATGCTTAATATTGTCATAAATGAACGAAAATTCGCCTATTAAATCTAGACAGCTTAGCAGAGTTTTGCAAAAGGAATGAGCTTCGCATCCAAATGAAAGTGAGGTAGGATTGCTATAAAAGCACGAATAGTTCAATACAGTATTCTGTCCCAGAAAGAGTTATTACCAGCTTGACTTATTAGTATCCAGTTAAATAGATAGTGCAAGCCAAATCATACTTTATATTGTCATAAATGAGCGAAAATGAGCTCATTAAATCTAGACAGCTTAACAGAGTTTTGAACTTCGCATCCAAATGAAAGTGAGGTAGGATTGCTGTAAAAGCACGAATAGTGCCATACAGTATTCTGTCCCAGAAAGAGTTATTACCAGCTTGACTTATTAGTATCCAGTTAAATAGATAGTGCAAGCCAAATCATGCTTTATATTGTCATAAATGAGCGAAAATGAGCTCATTAAAATCGAGACAGCTTAGCAGAGTTTTGCAAAAAGGAATGAGCTTAGCATTCAAATAAAAGTGAGATAGGATTGTTGCAAATGCACGAATAGGGCCATACCATACAGTATATCACCTGTTGTTGTTTGATACTGTACCCTCAATTAGAAGCTTAATTCACTAGGCCATGCAGCTTTGCAGACGAACAGAATCTGCCTTGCAATCTTTATGCAATCATGTTGTTGTGGTCGTAGTAAAGCTTGCCAACTTTGCTCGATCTTACCTTTTTGAGTTGAATAATCGCAGACCCTTACTGATTTAGCATTGCATAAGGCTTTAATATAGTTCATTTACATGCGATTATGCGAGCTAGTCGTTTGTAGCTAATTTTATCTATGTTCATCTATCATTTCGAATTTTACCAGTAGGCCATTACGGCCGAGTGCAGTGTCCAATCCTTCCTCTTACTACAGCAGTAAGGAATAAAACTGGAAGCTGAAATTGGAGACTGGATACAAATGAAAATAATCATTTTAAAATAATTGATCGAGAGAATAGGAGTAATGATAGCCAGCTTTTCTATGATCAGATACATTTTCATACTAGCTTGGACTATCTGTCTCGTATGAGGTCGTCCAGAGGTACTGCTGATCTTAAGTTGTTGCTCTAAGTAACTCTGCTTCGTTACTTTAATGTATCGCCTACAACCACTACTAGTTAATCGTTAGCAGAGTTACCCTGCTTATTGCTTTAAAAGCTACTTGTCTTCAGTCGTTAGCTCCAAGTTACTCTGAACTACAGCTCGACTAGACACTGCAGTACTCTATCACTTGATTACTATCTCCTCTGGATTAGTCAACGAAAATTTCCCTATCTGCTCAGTAATGCCGCTACTAACACACCAGATCAAAATCGGCCATTTTTCTGACTACTATAATACGTATAAGCTAATTGAGGCTAGCTAGAATTACTACAGCACAGCATGTTCTTGTTACTTATCTTTTTTGTTGTGATCTACTCATACTGTATATACGGACATATAATTTCTTTAGCTGTTTGCTATTAGTCTTTAGGTATTCGCTCCAAGCTAACCTGCTTCCTGCTCGACCAGCGACTGCAGTATAGCCGTATTTTGCAATTTCCTTCTTATTCAATCCGAAATCCAAAGATAATTTAGCTTACCCAATCCAACTCCAATCCGAAATTTAAAAACACAATTTTGTTAAAATCCGACTTCACTGTCAACCCAAAAAAATCTCAAAAATCCCATGGAATTAAATAACCTCACAGTGTTACCCTCCTCCATTACTACCGTATCTACTAAAGCCGCTACTAATCTTCAGCAGCTGTTAGTTCCAAGTTACCCTACATGTAGCTTTAGAAGCGACACGCTTCCAGGTGTTGGGCTCTCCGATTTCCGCTCGCCCAGAGACTACTACAGTAATGGAATAACCAGCTCCTACAGCCGCTACTAATCTTCACCTATTCACTGCAAGTTCTCTTCCATGTTGCTTTAGAAGTGACACATTTCAGGTGTTGGCTCTCCGATTTCCGCTTGCTTAGGACTACTACAGTAATTGAATAACCAGCTCCTACAGCCGGTAGTAATCTTCTCCTGTTAGCTCCAAGTTATCTTACATGTTGCTTTAGAAGCTAGTTGTTTTCGGGTATTGTCTCTTCGATTTCCGCTCGCCCAGGGACTACTACAGTAATTAAATAACCAGTTCCTACAGTCGCTATTAATCTTCACCTATTAGCTCCAAGCTATCCTACTATCACAAAACAGCTTTCGTGATCGTACCTAAACTAAACTATCTACTTTAAGGTTCCCCAACTAACTCCAGAGATCCTCAGTAAAGGAAAACTGACTTAATCCTATACTACAGAAATCGAGTCCAACGATAGGTTCAGGTTAATAAATATATATATTTATTACTAACTAATACAACTTAATACCAGCGTATTCTAGCGTAGCCTCAGTGGAACTGAGATTAAAATTAAAATTATTAATCGTCAAGCTTATATATACTATCCTATGTCACACAAATACCTCAGTGCTAATCTATCACATTAAACGTTAAATTATGTAATAAGCCTTACAGGCTTACTACAGAGTAGACCAAGTGTTAAAAATAATATATATCTCGCTAGTTAATATTAATTAGCCAATTTAATTAGTTATCACACCACAGTGGTACAATATCGCATTTTGAGTTATATTGCCGACTTCGGCATAATTAATTAATAACAGTCAATATCTTGCAAAGTCATAAATAATAATAATAATCAATTAACAATTGAGGATTGCTGTCTACAACATAACAATCTTGAATAATATTTTTAATAACACGACAGTATTTGCAAGGTTAATTTTAATCTTTACAGTCGTTCCTATTCCAACTTTACCACTAGCCACTTATCAAGTTATCAAGGAGCATCAAGCTCCGTCACACCTACATATTGCTTTAGAAGCGACTCGCTTCCAGGTGTTGGCTATCCGATTTCCGCTTGCCCAGGGACTACTACAATCATGGAATAACTAGTTCCAATAGCCGCTACTAATATAATCTTCACCTGTTCGCTCCAAGTTATCTTTCCATATTGCTTTAGAAGCGACACGCTTCCAGGTATTGGCTCTCCGATTTCTGCTCGCCCAGGGACTACTACAGTCACGGAATAACCAGCTCCTACAGCTGCTACTAATCTCCTCCTGTTCGCTCCAAGTTATCTTCCATTTTGCTTTAGAAGCGACACGCTTCCAGGTGTTGGCTCTCCGATTTCCGCTCGCCCAGGGACTACTACAGTCATAGAATAACCAGCTCCTACAGCCGCTACTAATCTTCACCTATTCGCTCCAAGTTATCTTCCATATTGCTTTAGAAGCGATACGCTTCCAAGTGCTCTCCGATTTCTGCTCGCCCAGGGAATACTACAGTCATGGAATAACTAATTTCTACAGCCGCTACTAATCTTCACCTGTTCGCTCTATGTTAACTTATATGTTGCTTTAAAAATTTATTTAGAAGCGACACATTTTCAGGTGTTGGCTCTCCGATTTCTGCTCGCCCAGGGACTACTACAGTCATGGAATAACCAGCTCCTACAGCCGCTACTAATCTTCACCTGTTTGCTCCAAGTTATCTTCCATATTGCTTTAGAAGCGATACGCTTCCAAGTGTTGGCTCTCCGATTTCCTCTCGCCCAGGGACTACTGCAGTCATAGAATAACCAGCTCCTACAGCCGCTACTAATCTTCACCTGTTCGCTCCAAGTTAACTTATATGTTGCTTTAAAAATTTCTTTAGAAGCGATACATTTTCAGGTGTTGGCTCTCCGATTTCCACCTGCTCAGGGACTACTAATAATAAAAAAATAGAATAAAATACGAGTAAATAATTCTATAAATAAATAAATAAATAAATAACCAGCTTACTACTATGAGCTCATGTATGAGTACAGCACCAAACTGTAAAAGCTGGAGTCAGTACAGACAGCTTGACAGACTTGGTGAACATCCATGCTAACCATTTCTCTGATCTCCCATCAGGTCATTATTAAGTCATTAGCGCCAGCTAGCAAATCTTAAACGCTTTTGCATCCCATAAAACAGTGCTGGGAACTTCCATACTATTATACAGGGTAGATAGGAGTAGACGACTGCCATTCATTAGCAAGTTCGCTGATCGTTTTGATTGCAACCGATCAACAAGAACTACCGATTGCTGGGAATATCCATGCTAAAGGTATCGACCAGTTTGCAGCCCGCTGATGGACATTATGGAGAAAGATTCAAGCGCTAAATCACTACAGCAGTTAATGGATGAGTTTATTCTTGGAAATAGTTCCGCAATCAACGAAATTATAAAAGGTAATTGAAGACTACAGCATACAGTACGGTATAGTTAGCAAGGATGTTGCTACAACTTGTGCAAAGTCTTCTTTTATCTACCGCTCACATTGTGTAGTCAATTGCAATTACTAAGGAGTACTGTACGATACAGTATACTATTATCAGTATCATGACCAACTTGGGCTCATTGACTATCCAATCCAACATGGCGCAGCAAAAACTGTGTAGTCCATTTCATAAAGAAATGCAATTTTTTTGAAAAAGGAAGCTCTTATTATAAGTCTTGCTATGTAGACTATGTATCTTTAATTCAGTATACTATTAACTTGTTGTCGTTGACAGTCGTAATAACGCTAAACTGAGGCCTATAGTAAATCCCTTTCAACGACAAATGCTCTTACATTACGAGCAATCAAGCTACTACATTCTCATCGTTATTGCTATCTAGTATAGACGCAATGTATCGTCGATTTCATCCATTGAACGATGCGGAAATGCAACAGGCTAGGGATACAAGTATCCTGAATTACTAACTTGTCAATACAGTCTCATTGCTGCTTCAACCAATATTACAATTCAATAGTACTTTCCTTGCGAAAGTGAAGAGAATAAACACAAATGCATCTTCATACGCTTTTATCCTGTCATGCAAGCTATGTTGACAAGGATAGAATATACTTGGTTTACAGCTGATAATTACTATTAAACCACTGGCTCTTTTCTTCATTGATGTTAGGTATCTACGATGGCCACATCAAGTTAAGCACCATAGTAGAATTGTTAGGGTAAATATATATAATTCATACTATGATTTCACTCCTTTGGTATTGGATATCATGACATTAGTTATTAGAAGGAATAAAGCTATACGTTATGTCACAGGCGAAGTAAGATAATCATGTTTCTTACAGTTTTCTATTATTGTACCTTCATTTTAGACCTTATTTAACAAGTGTAGAACATGAAAAGCGATTACAAGGTATGAAGTTACTCTCGGAAGTCCTGCAAATGTTGTCCATGTATAAAATGCAAGCTACAGAAGGTATGTAACTTTTAGGATATCCGCAGCTAGTCTTCATTAATGAGATAGATGAGGTTAATATCAAATCATTTTCAATATATTAAACATATATACATGACTGCCAATAGTAATGGGAGTAAATCAAGATTAATAAGCAACAACATTTATGATGTATTACGTCTTTGTTCATTCGAACTTTGTCTAATCTATAATGCTAATCTATTCTGATAGAGATACAATATTGATCGACATTATTATTGATAGATTGATGAAACCAATAATATCTATTTGCCAATCATGTATTCTGTATTTATAAGATAATCTTGTGATGTGGCAAAATAGCATCTGCGTTGATGACTTCAACGTTTCCATAGTCAACTAATTTCTTCTTTCTTCTGCGAATGATATAGTCCAGCTGTTAGTCGCATTCTATTCTGATCGATTACAAGATCATTTCTCTATATTGCCTGAAACATTACGTGGTATACTTGCATTGGTAAGGATGTGCGAATATTTAGATTTATTTTCAGATAATACTTGCTGCACTTAAATAATAGTATTAGTACACAGCATCAGTAGAGACTTGTCCGTAAGTTCCTTCATGATAATGATTGACTCCTTATCGAATACAGATATTATACTATACTATGTAGTAAGCATATTATTGATTAACTTGACAGGTACAGCATCAAATAATTTCGGAAGAAGATGCTGTTACTATAGTGAAGGGAATATTTAAAGAGGTTCAAAATCAGGTACGCATATCTTCACATACATACTATGGATTATTCTCTGCATTCCTGCCTTGCATTCACTGTATAAAGAAATTAACTCTTCGAGTTGTAATATCATTTCTTGCTATAATTAATGTTAGGCATTATTACAAGCTGACAGAAATAAGGTCTACGCAATTCTAGCTGGATTATTAGATAAACACTATGAAGGTTAATGGTGATAAATTACTTAACTACCTATCTTTGGCGTAATTTATAGCTACACTACAACTATATTAACGTCTTCACAGGTATCAAAATTATGGATGCAGACTTTGTATTTGGTTATATCCAAGTAATGGACGGTGAAAAGGTATTAATGTATCATAGAGACTATATGCGATCGCTCTTACAAGACTCTAATTGTATCCTCTCGTCCTTTATGACTAACCATAAGCAATCGTATTAACTTACTTTCAAATAATGAATTTCAATTCTGTTTCCGCTCACTTTAGGACCCTAGAAATTTACTGCTTGCTTTAAAAATTGCAAAATTTATAGTCCAAAATTTCAATATTGGTAAGTGCATGCTGTTACCTCGTTTTTTATTTTAATTTTGCATTATAAAAGCTATATTCCCTTTAAAATAAGCCATCTTTTTCGATTTGTAATGAATAGATTTATTTCTGGACGATTTTTTCGAAATTATATCATGCTATTTTCCGATTGATTTTACACCGGTAATGACTTGATATGGAAATATAGTTTAATTTTGTTTAGTATGTTGGAATAATATAAATGGTGTTAATAATTCCCATTGGAAACGGTACATGCCGCAAATCTTTTAACTGTAGTTGGGTCTTTATATTGACTATTTCACTCATCTAGCCTCCAAATCTACCTAGCAATGAAAATGTAACCAAAGAAGATCTTATTATTGTATTGCGTGAGAGTTTAACATCCACAAGAAAATTTGCTGGAGTTAGCGAAATTCTTAACATTTCATATTTCAAAGTATTTTAATTTGAATCATGTACGCATTGAATGACATCTTCTTTATTGATTTCAAGCTTCTCTTGCCAATGTTATTGGATAAGTTGTCGTCGGATGTACAGAGTGCGAAGTTAGACTCCTTACAAACTATGGTTGTAGTTAATATATTCATATCAAGATCCTTTTTAGGAATCGTTAGCTATATCACTGATATACGTAATTCTTCATTATTACAGATTTCATGTGCCAAAATTTATACTGCAACTGATTTTCAAGAGTATTTACAACCTATTTGGACGGCTATCCGACAGGAAGTATGTTTATCAAATAGCTACCTCGATAATTTTGCAAACATGTGAAAAATTTATTTATTACCATAATGTAGGTTTTTCTCTCTATGGACGATCAAGTTCAGGTAAGGAATGAATAATTACGTAAACAATCGATATTTCATCAACAATTTTGTAATATGAATAGCTTAAGAATTAATCGATTCAATTTTAGGAACTAAGTTTAGAAGCACTCAAACATGTCGTTGTAACAATATCAAGTAATTCTTTGCAGGTATACACGTATTTTTGAACATTATACTTACAATAGCATCTTTTTATTGAATTAGATTATACTTTTGTAATATTAAATATAGCAGCCCGATCAAGACCCTCTCAATGACTTTATAAATATGATAGTAACAGGTATAAAATGTTGATGTTAGCTTGTGATAATTGTAGCTGTTATGTTATCTGCTGTTATGCTTGCAATTAGAAACTCAGCAGTACTTGCAAGATCCTGAATTAAAGCTTGCCAATCCTTGCGGAAATGTTTTGAATGCGGTAGCTTCCGCATCAGGTATATCGAAAAGCATAGGAATATCCAATTAAATTATGTGTGATATACAACTGTGCTAGCTGAAACTTATATTTTTAAAATATGATATCGTAGATCGTTCGTGTTACTCGATATTAACTCCAATCATACCGCGCTTGGTAAATTTGTATAGCACGGATAAGACGGTACGCTACGCTATTGCTCTTTCTTGTCATACATTTACATGGCTTTTAAAATATGCTACATGAGTTTAATGAGATATTTATCAACGATCGACAAATAATGTTTTGTTAATAAATTAGGTAATCTTTCGATGTAAAGTTCTTGATATCCTTATAAAATTATTAAATGCCGCAGCTAATTGCCAACTATCAGGTATGAAATTGAATGTATACATACTAAGTACAGATCTATCCAAATTACGTAATGGTCATATAGATACATCGAATATTAAATTCTTTCTTATAGAACAATTTATAGCCCCGATGGATTGGCACGAAATAGTAAAATTACTCCAATTAGCTATGGATACTTCAGAGGAGGATATTCGACTTCGTGTCACTGCTTCCTTTTCTATTCTTATCCAAATTAAAGATGCTTTACCAGCTGACGAGGTTAGGTTTTATGCCCTGAACTGCCTAATAATTAATTGACATGAAGCATGCTCATTTGATAATGATATACAGCAAAATCTAATTACTTGTATTTCATCTATTATATAAAATTATTACTGTAGATTGAGAGAATTAGTAATGATATACTAAAACGCGCACTTGAAGACCCATCCAGTATCGTTAGGTAAATTTTTGCATGGATAAATATACTGTCCATGAATATGTGTAAGTTAATCAATTAAATACTGCAATAACCTAATCAATGGAATTATGTTAATTAAATATAATTGATAGACATGGTAGTATATCGACATTGGCTACAATTGCTTCCGTGCTACCTGACGTTATCATTACTACAGTTATCCCTTACATCAGAACCAGTGGTAAATAATAAGATAGATAATACCATAAATAATTGTGAATTGAGGTCGTATATCCAATAAACAATGATGAAATGTGCTCTTTTTCCTTGTTGTCATTTTAAAACGCTTAAGGTGTAGATGAATCGTTTTACAATATCCTAGCGGTGACTTCATTACATTTGAATGTAATGAAAGAAAGTATTCCCATGTTAATCCAAATGGCTCTTAACTCCATGAAAAGTACGTTGTACTCGTTTTAGCTGGCCAATTTTTGAAAGCTTGTTATTAACATTTATCCGTGTACCAAATTTCATCACCTCATACTGTGAGGAAAAAGTAAATAAGTATTTGGGTTGAAAAGAGCAATAATCATTACAACACATTTTCTAATATTTAGCTAATGAAGATAGCCTGCATTCAACATTCGAAGCGCTTCACAAAATCACCGAATGTTTGTAACATCTTTTACGGTTTTGAACATTCTTTTACAGTTACTAATTTGCAGCTACTTTTGCAATGTTTAGCTAATGTTAAAAACCGTATCGAAAATTGTCTGTACCTCTACCATTATTTATTCGATGACATTCTATGGCTTTGTGTATACAATTCTTTAGAAGGTTAGCGAACAGTTATTAATTATTGTAGCTAAAACTTATCCTAAAAATGTTATATAAATTAGATATTTTTATCCTATTCTGATATATATAGAATCAATTAACAGCTTCGAATTCAAAACGATTAAAATTATCGCTAGCATTGGCCAACTAATTTACCTTAATCTTGATGAAAGGTATGTATATATTTAAGCGAAAGATAGTATTGTTACTGCTACAATGGCTATAAGATTTCTTAGAGAATTATGCAAATAATATGTTTTTCATTTTATAGTTCTCAAAAGAAGTTCATAGATAACTTGCTTGAGTTATTCATGAATGGTCAAGTTTCCGTACTTAAACCCATGACAGTTATCGATGAGCTACCCTTAAAACAATTTTATCCACTAAATGTAGCGTCGTCTCAGCGACAAGTGCAATTAATTGAAATATTGTGTAAAATATTAGGAGCAATTAAATTTAGAGTAAGTCTGCGTAGCTAACAAATTAATCGCTGTATTTCTTATCAAAACACGGAAAAAAGTCATATCATCTAACTAATTAAAAGAAAATTACTCATACTATCATTTTAGGATGGAATTTTAAGCCCTAATGACATGATTACTAATTTATTGGATATATCCTGTAAAAGTGTACATCAACCTTCAGCTACCTCTGCCGCACAACTTCTCTCATCTATCATCAATAAAATGGAGGAAGGTAATAGTACTCAAGTATACAGTCTTAAATTATGCTATTTTACTTACCTAATTACTTTTCTTAGGAGATCAACTTGAAAATTATATCAAAAGTATTACCAATACAATTTGCAATGTGCTATATAGTAAAAATGTTGAAACGGAAATGAAAAATGCTGTAAACACTTGGATTTGGGTAATATTGTGACCTTTGATACGTTTATTTTAATCGATCAAATTTAGATGTTTGCTATACTGTGTCGATATTCGTGCTCTTTGTTTCATTATTCTAATTTCGATATTAAAACATCGTTTGATGCATCTTTCCAGTTAATGAAAGCTTTAATTATGCGCAGTCATCCGTATTCAAATGAAGCTTTAATACAAGTAAACATTCGTCGTAGATTTTGTTTCTTTAAATTATGTTATTATTATTATGATACTTGTAATAGATATTCACTATTTAACATATAAATTTATGTATTGTTTAGGTGTTAAAGTTCTTCAAATTGCCAAATGTCGGACATGTTGCCTCAGCAGGCTTTAAAATCATTATTGGCGACGAGGAAAATATTCTTTGCGAAAGCACGAATGCTATTGTCAAGGTAAAGATAAGCTTAAAACTTTTCATACGCCATTGATCTATTTTTATATACTATAGTACCAAATTCACTATCACACAGTCTAAATTGATATCCGTTTAACTTTGTGTACTGTACTAGTTTATGTATAAAAATCGATTTTTCATGATGGCATCAGAAAAATTAATGGAAAATTACCGTATCGCTTCAAAAGGTAATTACCATAACTATTGCATTTACCGTACTTTAGTATTACTCTCATTTATTGAGGCTAACAAAAGTTAATCTAATTCATTTACTAGGTATTAAACACCATTACTTAACGGCTTTATCTCATTTGCTTAATGGTGTGCCAAAGCAAATGTTACTAAATCATCTTCAAATGGTAAGTCTCTCCAATAAGTACGGTAATAATTTTAGGGATTTGCAAAATCTTCATAAATGAGGTCTAAACAAGTAAGAAGTCGTAACTTTTGAAAAAATAAATATACTGCCTTATATATTTAAGTTAATGCCGTTGCTTGTTGAATCTGTGAGTTGCGACGAAGAGTCACTTCGCCTTTCGTCTTTGCAAACATTACGACCGTTAATAACTGAAGCTCCTGACATTATCTCCAACTATGTTGCTTCGATGTTGCCTGAGCTCTTGAAATTATGTAACTTTCCGTCCTCCATGGTGATGCTTATGATATTACTTAAATTACTGTATTTTTTAGCTTTGTTAGGATTGCTAAAACTCGTTATTACTGTGACTGCTTTCTGACTAATTTACTCTTGTAGAAAATCCGAATATCTGCTCTTCAATCTGTTAACGATTTAGCTTCCCTTCCAATCCACTTGGTTAGCAACACAGCATAGTAAACTTAAGAATAGTTTTTGACGAAATTAATTGTAAATTTATAATTCAATAAAGCTGTACTATCATTAGTTATCTCCGATCTTAATTTTGATTTTAATACTCAGTAAATTTCTTTTTATTAGGTCGTTCCTTACAAATCTAAAGTTATAAATGAATTGGGTAATACTGTCAATGATAAAAAGAGATTGGTTAGACTAGAAGCTGTGAAATGCAGAAATAACTGGTAAAAATTGCTATAATGCATGATACAAAGACAGTAATACTTATCAAATCAATCTATATCTTGTCTGTAAAAAAAAGGACTACAATTGCATCAACTAAATTTTTTAATTCATTTTCTGCTGTAGGTTTTTACTGTAATCAATCCAAAAAAGCAACAATGATGAAAAAATATTGATAAGAAACTAAATAATAAATATCGTAGAAAAGATAGGCTATACCACCTAATGAAAAATGATTGTATTGGTTTGGTAATCACAATTATTTCAATGACATTCTTATGCTCTAATTCCCTTAATGTCTAGCCGAATTATACATGTTATATATTATGATGAATGAACCAATAATACCATTATAAACCACCTACTGTGAATGATTAATCTAGCTACGTTAGAATCATGTATTAATAGGGAATAGTTAACGTAGTAAACAATTGATCGCATTCCATGATATTGTTTTAATGAAATGATCACGCAAAGGAATTATAGTGATGAACAGAGAATAATGATTGTAATTTGACTGTCTTAAAGTTCTACCAAATCTATATTATTATTATTTACTTGAATTTTTCTTAGCGCCTGTCAACGTCGAAATGTCATATAACGGCGATTGTAGCATACAAACTCATCAACTGTTAATGACCATCAGTAATTTTTTGTTATATAATTTTAACTCACGATTTTATTAACATTTATAACGAATAATGAAATTATGTACGAACAGAAGCCGAAGTGATTTGCAGTGTTCCAATAGCGTTATTCATATCATAGGGTGAAATAGTGAGTCACCGCAAAGAACATAAACAAACTCTGAGGTTATTTCTCTAATAAAGTTCTCATTCAAACTAATCCTAGAGAAAAAGAGAGAATAACTGCCATATTGTATCGAGATATTTAAACATTTTCTATCGCGAACAAGCATCTTTAAACAAGCACAAACGCGCCTGGTACATCTGTAGTATGATACTTCAACCATTATAATGAATAACTATTGTAGAAAAATGTGCTATGTACGTAAATTAAAATCCAGTAAGAAATAGCCATTAAAGGTTACATTTCGATTTTATAATCAAATAACACGTAACTATTAAACTTAGACAAATTTATAGTTGATGTTATTGAACATGGTAGGTATCATTAATTGCGAAAGTTAAGAGTTAGAGAAATTTTATAGGTAATAGAATATATAGAATAATGTATGGAAAGGATCGTCATCAGTACAGTATAAAGATAAATTTAGGATCACAGACAGCATATGAATATAGTTAGGGTACGCAAATAAATCATTGACGTTGTAAACTTTGTAACGTTACTGTTAATTAAAATACTAAATTCTATAAGATAGTTCACAGATATTTTGTCAAACAAAGTTAACGCAAATTCAAAAAATTGTAACTTTCATATAAAATCGATTGATGAAATATTACAAATTTTCAAGATGCTTGAGGTAAAATAATTAATTACATTTACATGAAATAATAAGGATGATGACGACATTACAACTTACAGTAAAAAAAAAACGAAAAAAAGCAAGCACTAACAATAACAGCAAGTATAGTATTGCAATTATCTTTACCTCTTTTTCTATTAATTATCTTGGTTAACTAACTTATAGTCAGCTAGAAATTGATAAACCAACTCGGAAGTTGAGATTCTGGTAAAGACTACTTTACCGACAAATTATAATCTTTGTAAATGCTTTAGGTTGTCAATACGCAGCCATAAAATACAGCAATACTGTTTCTAATAGGACTATCATATAGCACATTTACACATATGGGCAAACTACTTGTTACTGTTATATCCTACAGGCAAATAAATGTACTAGTTATTTCTTTTATATCTTTTACATCACATAATTCTTCAATGCAAGAAGTCCAAGTATGAAAAATTGCAATTTGGACGGCAACTTTCCATCACTTCTACGGTATTTTTCAGTCAAAAAAATTGGAATTCTACCATGCTTTATGATCGACTCGAAGCTATAACATGAAATAAATACTTTGATTAGAAGGAAACATATCTAATAAATTATGACTAATTAAAGTTATACCGCTACCTACAACTGATGAGATTACATAATAAAATATACCATTTATTACCCGGAATGATAATATTAAAATTGAATTATAACATAGACATTGATTCTGTAATGCAGGCTTCGGATTGTGTAGAAACTAATATTTATTTGACTTAATTTTTAAAAATACTACAATACTACATCCTATTTTACTGGCTTGCTTACTAAGTGTAAAGAAAGACAATATAATCATACCTCTTAATGAAAAGCCTTTACTTTTTCTCCCTTCATCTTCCTTTCGTTTTTCGTTATCGTTAGATATATAAGCCTGCTGTTGCTGATGATATTCCATTGTTCGCCAATTTCCAATTCCTCCTTTCGACTTTTTGTTATCCTCATCTTTACGCTTGTCGCCATCACCAGCAGCTGCTCCAGAAGAAAATTGCTGGTATTCACCTCGCACACCAGATAACAACTTTATTTTTCGATTTTCTTCTTCCTTTCTCTTGTCAGTTTCTCCACTCGTAGTAGGATTAAGCTGTTGAGATGATTGCAGATGAGCTTGTTGTGTCGAGGTATTTTGCACAGATTTCCTATGTGGTTGCATTTCTTGTTGTTGTTTTTGCTTCAGTATTGTCCAGTCGAAGACAAAATCATATTGATGATTGAGTGTTTTAAACAGGATTCGAAATAACTGACGCAGGTACATATAGTCCGGTGGTTCCTCGAATCTTAGGCCACGACAGTAATTAAGATACATTGCAAATTCTGTTGGATATCCCTAAAGCATTAACCATAATTTAGTTATATATACGACATGTACAAATTAACGATTCACATATACATTTATGTATCATATTCAGATAAGTCAAAAACAAAAATAAAAACGTAGCGGGGTAACAAAGTCAATGTTATAGTAGAGAGTATTTATAAAAAAATTAACAATAATAATAGCATAATGAGATGACAATCATTTATGCGACATAAATGTACAGTAACTCACTTTGCATAAAACTTCGATAGGCGTTGACATTTTTTTCTCGCTGATTTTTTCATACTTTTGCCTTTTAGTAGCAGCTTTCAATCCTTGCCACGGTAAACTAGATCGATTGAAGTACATTAAAACGTAGCCCAACGATTCCATATCATCACGACGCCTAAAAAATAATAAGAAATATCAAATTATTCAGAATACGATGATATTTTTCTACAGCTTTTTATATGATAAAGTGATATGACAGTAACGTAATGGTGCTGATTACTGTCGTACTTCTAAAATTTAAAGTAAGTTAACTTTGTACATCAAAATTACGAGTGCAGTAAAAGTTGGATAACTTACGATTGCTCAATACCCAAATGGGCATTTATGCTTGCATAACGAGCGGTTCCAGTAAGATTTTTGTCTTCGCGATATTGGATGTGAGCCCGTGATCGACTATCGCGATATTTTTTAGCCAAGCCGTAATCGATAATATATAGCTTGTTCGCATTACGTCCGCAGCCCATAAGAAAATTGTCCGGCTTAATGTCACGATGGATAAAGTTTTTGTTATGGATAAATTCAATTCGTCCAATCATCTACAATGACAATAATAATATTTTTTAGGAATCAAAGCTAGAAAAATTAACTTATCGCATAGCAAAACTGTGATAATCCATTTATGGTAGTAGGATTAGAATAATCGATCGGTTTCATGGTACAATGTTTAAACGAAGTCAACGACAATCTTTTGAGAGTATTAAATACTGTAGCTATTTTCAGATATAATCGTAATTATATAGTAGAAAACTATAATACCATAATTATTAAACTAATGAATTCTACAGTGTAGATCTATCTAGTATATAAAGCTAAAGGATTTGTCTGGCAGCAGTTTAAATACCGTTGCAAGGTAATGAACATCATTTGATGTCAACTTGGTCCAATTAATCAGCATTTAATTACCTTCTACAGTACATCCAGTTTTGACATTTAACTACTTAGATTATACGAATATACTCCACAGTACTGATGCGATTTTAGTATTGCTACAATCGCTATCCGGCTTATAATAATTTTTTTACCGCGTGTATAGTTATTTCATCGAACCCTAAAGTATTGACTATTGCTATCTAAAATGTATAAGTAGATTTTCGACGTTCGCCTAGCATCACTTCTCACCTGATCTGCTAACATCAATACGGTTTTCATCGTAAACTTTCTTTGACAGTAATTGAATAAATCTTCCAAACTAGGACCCAATAAATCGATGACCAAAACGTTAAAATCTTTTTCTTGGCCATACCACCTACAAAATTGAAATTCAGGACAGTATTAGTAAGCATCTTTAAGTTAGCCCATTCATGATTTTATACGAGTACATGAATTTCTTATTTTCTTTCCTTTAATATCTGCTACTCATCTAATATTCTACTCGCTAATGAAAACAGTATAACGTACTACAGAGTAAAACTTTAGAAAGTTATAATTCTTTTTTCAAGACTCTTAATCAGTGATATCAGAAAACATTGTCTAACACTTTACTAATATTCACGAAATAGATTCAATTTCATTAAGGTTTTCGCTTTCATCACAGTCAAATATTTTTATAGTAATAACTTCATTTGAAATTTTTATAAGAGATTACATCCTATAGTATCGTACAATTTAGAAGAATTATTCGTAAATACTATTGTTCGTATTCTTGTAGATTTAAGGCAGTTATTTTAAGACTGTTGATTGATTATTTGATGAATGTAAGAAGCAGCCATATAGTAATTGTAATTGCTCAAGTTAAGATAATACTATTTTTAAGAATATCTCACGACTAGAGTTCTTTCATTTCAGTCAGATTAAGGTAATGGAAAAATAGTTGCTAATTTAATCGATATCATCATCACTTCGATTGTTCTTTCGCTTCACTCTTCCGAATGTAGTAGCAATTTTGTGCCGAACAGTACTAACGATGAAGAGTATGAAATATTTACTGTAAACCAATACCAAAAATTACTGACCTACTGCTATACCGTACATGCCTTAGTTCTTTAAGTTATATTAATTTGATCTGCTGATGTAATGTAACAGTAATAAAAATATTCATAAGTTTTACCATATTAGGTAAAATAGGTGACTATGCACTGTTCAACGGCTATAGTAGTGTAGTTAACACGGAGCTATTTCATTGTTGTCCGATGAAAAAGTAACAACATTAAAAAATTATCCCAATGACTGATAGACTAGTGTAAATCCCTTTCTTTTCGCTCAGGTTCAATAAGCAACCTAGACTACCGCAGAATATTAGTACTGCATAGGTATACTGTAGCTTTAACAAGGATGAAATGTAGAAGTGGTAATGTCTGTGTAATTTTTTCAATTCATCGCAATTTATTAATTGATCAACTAATTAGAATAAATATTGTCAAGATAACTGCACAACCGTACGTGTAGTGAAAAAAATAATCATAAGAAGGTAAATGCGAGAGCGTAGCGAAGACGAATTCAATGATATACAGTAATTAAAATGTTGTCTTATTCAAGTACTGTAAGTCCGTGTAGGACGATAATATCAAAGCAAGAAAGTACTTTTCCTGCCGGTCTTCCAATTGTGTACTGCGTTAGTATATGTATTACTTAAGATTTAGTATCGTCTCTCCGAAACTATGGATAAAAAATCAAATGTGCCACTACGTTACAGTATTAAACATATATCTTCCCCATGAGGATTATAGAGAATTTGCTAATTACTCTAAACTCACCGCTGTATTACAGTAGCCTATTCGGCTAATAACAAATGTTGGCGATGGCTAAGATATCGAATAGTAAAGTTAATACTGTATTAGAAACTATCTGAAGTCGACGGAGATTATACGGTGTACACATGTAAATAATGTCTGATTACATGCAGGTCAGCAACTTCAAAAATTCACGGTGATTGAAAAATTAGTGTAGCTATCATCGCATTTAGCAAGAAGACTGTTTTTCATTTCAAACGACAACAAGCTCACGAGTCACCACCATCAACAAAAATCTCCGTTACTATTACTAAAATTGATAAATAGTTATTCCAAGTTGATTGCTCACGCCGCACACCTTGGATGAATATCGGCATCAACGATGGAGTCTGTTTTTAGGCTCCTGACTAGTGTATTGTAACCCCACTACGACTAAACATTTAATCCGATTGAAAGCGCTACATAAAATCCGAATCCGATCCGAAAATTGTATTGACCACTTTAACGATATCGATTAACGTTAATAATAAAGAAAGAAATCACTACCTACAGTAGCTTTTGCAAAACTTGGATCAAAACTATTGTCCTTGATATGACAGTATTGTTTCTCTTTTAATAAAGTTATTTTCAGCTGCACGAAGGTTATATGGTAACACGATCATGCGAGAAAAAACACCGTGTACCGTAAATGGTTTGTTCAATTTAGCCTGATAGGTGTACCGTAGCGAAGTAACTTTATAGCGCAGTCAAGTGCAGAACAGTATAGTTTTCAGAGATATCTTATATGACAACGTCCAAAAAATGGAAAAAATACTACTGCACTTGTATGGCGGTAATGGAATTTTAAATAGATGATGACAAAAATTTTAAAATACAACATTATATCGTGAAGGCTTTGCGAACGCAGTCTTTTAGTATCGCGAATCCTCCAGTACTGTACGAGTACTAGAGGAGAGTATTTTGTAGTCATACGTTATCTTTTATCCTAATCAGTATTATTTTAGACAGTTCTCAGTGGAATTCAAAAAATTTTTTATCATGTCAGTACGGCAATCAAGCTCAGTTTGGAGTAAGAAATATTCACGTAGTAATCGAATTTTTATGGATAGAACATGTACCTAATTCTAGTCGTGTGCGATATACTGTACATGGCGAAAGGCACTGCAAAGGCAGAGGATAAATAGATCATCTTTGACTAACCTTAAACGGGGAATACCAACTCCACTTTGAAAAACTTTATACAGCTTAGCTTCGTATAACAATTGTGGATGGCGTGCACGAATAGATTCCAATTTGACGGCTACCTCCTACAGAAGAACGCATATCAAAAGATGAAAATAGATGTTGGTCAAAAGGTTGAACCATTTTTTTTTAGGAAGGGGGAAGCTAGCATTTTGGACATTTCTGTCCATACGTCAGTTACATAGAGTCTGTTTTTTACCACTGGGAACGTCCACTTTGCAGCAATACGGACAGGCAAACATCTCTTTCTACGCGAACTGTTCAACTAAGATTAAACTAATAAGCTTGAGCTTGTTTGCGATTATCATTTTACTCCTTATCTACACACTGGTATTACCAATATCCTACGGGAAAACATTTTCTACTCATAGAATTGGAAGATGACAAAAAATATCAACAAGATTCAAGACGCAGAGTACAACGTCATTACCATTGTACGGTTACTACTGTATGTACTATACGGGAATAGTCCGTACTACGGACAGATGTTGAGAGTTGCACTAGGTTGAAAAGTAAAGTTCAACAATTCATTTTTAGTGAATATAAAAGTCATGTAGTCTTGAATCTAATCAAGAAAAACAAGTGGTGATATTGGCTAGTCTATCGTCAGTGAAATTTTTAAAGCAATTTTTATTCCAGTTGGGAATCGCCAGTGGGGCATTGTAGACGTTGACTTACCTCGCCATTCGTAATATTGACTGCTTTATAAATTTCACCAAAAGATCCACTGCCAATTTTTTGCAATAATTTATACTTTCCACCAACAACAAATTCCCCACGAATAGGGTTCGATCGCGAGCTACTGCTCATCTTGAAAGTCTGTATAGGGCACTCCAACTAATGGCTGCCTAGATTAACTTGTTGAAAGTAAACTTCAATGAAGGGAAAAAAATTCTTTCACCGCTAATTCCTTCCTACTCACTACCTCTCTCGTCTTTGTGAAGAAAAATACCTTGGTACTGAAGCTAGTCGTGCAAGTCGACCGTCTTGGGGTTGTCACATCACCAAGTGACACACTACAGTACGTCAACTACAGTACTGTACAATAACGCAAAGTCCGCCACACTTCACTGCAGTGCACTGTTCGGGACAGTACTCGGGTAAATAGGCTAATAATGAAGAAATTAATAATTATTATTATTCTTATGATCATTATTATCACTAATAAATATTATTATTATTATATTATTATTATTAATTAATTAATAGGGTTACCTCTGGTCACACTAGTCAAGTCAAACGAATGACACAGTAAGTACAGTACTGTACTGTACTGTACAGTACAGTCTCCGTTAGCTGATTCATTTGACGCCTTTGGCGACGTTGATATGACATACGGTACACTTACGTACAAACTACACCACCTGTATGGTACCGTACTGTACTGTACACTGTACTGTATGGTACCGTAGTTCCTCAAGCCTGCATTTCCTACAGTACATTGTATTGTAGCTGATCGGACGATACCTTTCACCACTCTGTTGTTACCACCAAGCCTGTTAGTCTGTTACGCCTGTTATTTAGGCTGTTGCTGTAGTGACGATTGTAAACTATAAACGTAAACGAAGAATCCCTTTTACAGTAGCATCTCAAAGGCATCTACCAATCGACTGTTCTCAATACATAATGTGTACAGTATACTGGACTGTATACTGTACTGTATACTGTCGCCTATTAGCTTCTATGAGGGTACATGAGTTACTTGTAGAACTCCACAGTGACGTTGTATCCATCCTATTGCCATAGCAACATACTTAGCAACCAACTTAGCAACCAACACTGGTGTCACCGCTGACATTCCATTCAATCATATTCTACGCTTTGACCTAGGCAGTCCATCCTAGACTCGATAGGTATAAAATGTCTTAGGTAGAGGTAGAAATATCGGCCAAATAAATTCATCTTATATCTTCAACCCCAGCTTAAGTAACAGTATAAATGAATTATAGATCAAGGTACAGTACATGATCCATCACTATCGTAGGCTAGGGATAAAAGAAATAAAAAGAAAGAAATGCACCTAAGCTATCGATGCATTTAACTGTTGCATCGTTGATTGCACTCGTAATGTTGTATATCTCTGACGAAGATATTAAAGTATATTTAAATTCAGTTTGCTCATACACTATTGTTAGCCTTTCCTTACCTGTCTGACAGCATAAAGTCTCTGATCTACTATAAAACGGTAGTCGATTACTATTATGTACGTATCGTTCAATTCCCCTCCACTTTTACAAATGAAATGCGCCTACTACAGGAAATGTATAATGCACAATTATAAATGATTTACTAACTATAATATACCTAAATACATTCGCACACAATCAGAAATAAGCTGCAGAGTATTACATAGCGTTGAAAGAGAAAGAGTTCAAAAATATTAAAATATTAAATCAAAAGAGATAACTCAACGTCATCTATAAATTGTTACACCATCAATATAAATATAGTCTACATTGAAGTTATACAATGGTTGTTGGCTTCTATAATATCATTTATGTTTATTAATCTAGTGCATCCTAGAATTGACACTATTAAAATGTCGAACATATCATTTTCTGCTCAATTTTTCCCTATCTTTCAATTTTCTATCAACTTTTAAAAATGAAGTATTAATAGGTAAATATTTATAAGCTATTCATCGCTATCCATAATACCACATACGTTGATTAAAAATACTGTATACTGTACGCTGTAGGATATCCGATGCTGCCAAAAGAGAAACAATCTTATAAAACGACATGAAATGAATAAATGAAAAGAAATGGACCATTATTTGTATTGCTTGTTGTGTCTTTGATTACAATTATAGGAATTCGAATTCAGATAATTAAACCCATAATTTCGCTAATATTTCATAACTAATGAGCACTTAATGTCAACGAATAATTATAGCACAATTCGATAAATTTTAAAATATAGATTAATAAGATGAAATGGGCTGCCATTAAATCACTTATATGTACATGCTATAGTTCCTAGGAAAGGATACTAGTATAACTTAGTAGTGTACGAGTACGTTATTACGTTTTTATCATAAAAAAATTTTAGTATTCCCATATCTTCAATTACACTCTTGTCAATATCATTACAGAACAAATTTCAATTAATTTATATTTATATTGCAGCTATGTATTGTATAAAATAATGCTAAAAGTAAGCTAAAGTAACTTTTCTTTAAGCAATTTCTATAGTATGATAAAATAAAAGAATCTAAAACAATACTTGAATGAGCTTACTGTAGCCGCAGATACAATGTTATAACATGTTAGCATGAAAGTATGCTACATAGCCTAAAAAGGCGCTGGAAACAATGTTCTTCAATATACGTACAAGGGCTACAACCCTAGTAGCATGTATCATTTAATACTATTAGCCATTCATAAACACTGTTAGAAAATTGAACTTATATTATATTGATATCTTAGATGATCCAAGCTGACACCAGAGCTTACGTACAATGGTAGACGCAAAAGTTATCAAGGCCAACCCATTACTTATTTATAAGTACATACGCATATTAACGTGATCAGTAACAATGTTATCTATGCAATAGTTTATTGATGCACGTAGCAATTTTTAATGTCATAAAGTCTTAAAGAAACATTTGCGCTACAATTAAAAAATTTTCCACTGAAAATTTATCGCATAAATTAAAATTCAATGAAGCCACCCAATAACTGGATAAATAGTTCAAGAGTATGTATAATCTAGAAAATTTATAACTCATCTGTAATAATTATGATTAATCAGATGATATATACTGAAGAAATCTGATAGAAGTGGAGAAAATAACAGCTATTTCAATATATAAGTAAATAATATCTGCTGTACTTTCATTTCAATATTATCAAACTTATTCTCTATATTAACAAGTAAAGTTTACTGCATACCGTATTTAGCTGTCTATTTAACTAAAAACTATATAAAAATGTTAATCCAGTACTGAGAAAACATGTTTTAAAAATTGGTATAACTCAATTATTGATGATATAATAACACGGTACTTTCAGTTAAATAATAAAGGACAGTATTCTGATAGTTGTGGTATATTACGTATATTAACTGTAAACAATATTTCCTTTGTCATCAACTATAGTGATACATATAGAACTGCAACATAATCGTCAATATACATGAAATACAGATGCATTATCTAAAGTACAAGAAGGACCACACTTTAAATATTAAGCCTCAACTGTTACAGCAGAATCAACTACGTCTTTTTTTAACATCTGAAACAACTTCTCTTTCATCAACTGACGACAATTTAAACGGAAACTTCACTGTATTGCTTCGATAATTTCTGTATGCTGAACTAGATACGATTTTCCGCTTCCGTGGGCTAGCTAAAAATTTACTAATTACGCTTTCCAATTCTTTTTGAAGCCGACAAACTTCATGATAATTCACAAAGTAGTCAGGAAACCTAAAGCTAAATTCGTTTTTTAAGGTTCGCAAGAAATTATCAAAACATAGTTTATCATATAACAAAAATAGCAATTCTAGTTACGTATACAATATATGAATTATGATAATCTGATTCCGATTATTAGTTAAATTAATGACTTAAAAATTACCTTAGCCAAAGGTATAAATCAAGAATATCGTATACAGCTTCTAAAGTAAATAATTTTTCTTCATCATCCGGCATCTTAAATGGATACGGTATCAACTCTTTCAATGATGCATCAGTGATACTTGTACGTTTACCAACATGAGTGGCAAACTGCACAATTTAATTTAAAAATAAATACCAAATTTAGCTTAAAAATACCCAAAATGACGCCGTAAAAGCCAACTTTAAAATCATACCTTAAGAACAGCGGACGACATTAATGGGTTACGATGATCAATTGGTGCTAAACAGAATATGTATTTCTCCTTTAGGAGTAATCCTTCAACAGTGTCCACAATCGCCGCAACATTCTTCAGAAAATCAAATGTTATACAATACGTATTAGAATGGTATGATGCTACCTGATATTGGAATACTAAAAATCGCTAATAAAGCAATCTATATACGAGTATACATCCCATGCTATAATATCAATTGCAAATTTAGTATCTATCGCTAAAATAGATATTAATCTAAGGGGTACGATAACTTATTTCATTAGCAATCTATCTAATTGCCGAGTAAAATAACTACATTAAATCATCAATATCATTAACGTACTTTAAATTCTTCATTTCTGCAGATGAAAAACTTGTCGCCGACTTTAACCAGATTAGAGAATAAATCCTAAAGAAATATAATAAAATATTCAATTAGTACCTAAAATGAGATCGAGCTATTATTCAGATTCTAATACATGATCTAAAACTATCAAGATATTACTTAATTTCCTACCAAAATATCTGTAAATGATGCTTCTGGCAAATAGTAAGAAAACAATTCAACATCACTCCATGTAAGTCCAAGGCCAGCTCGCTAAATATATTATCATGTGTATTCGTTCATCATATTGGCAGTTAAACAACAAAAAATGGATTTTAAAATACATTTCAAAGATAGACACGACCATACCTGAATTGGTTCAATAGGAGTATCTAGTAGTCTTTGTATGATCGGTAAATCGTCCACGAATAGCCTATCAGGGTGATAACGGAGTGTTATTAGGAGAATTAAAGTATTTAGTATTAAAGTAAAGCGCAATATCAGGCTAGAAAACGTTAACATTAGAACGAACGTCGTAATTTCTCCTATATTAAAATCGGAGCGAAAACGACCAGCTCTGCCCGCTACTTGTCTAGCATGCGACGGTGTCAAACTCGTAATTTCCAATCCATCGAATTTCATAAGTGAATTAAATATAATTCTTTTAATATTTCTATAATTAAATTAATCAACAAAGATATTGACTTATTATAATATTAGCAATGTTACAAATACAACGAACAATTTATTATTGCTATAATGGTACTTACAAATTCAATCCCATTCCGATTGCATCGGAAGCTACCAACACATTATAATCATTATTTGGATCATTAAACAAGTCTGCCTGATGAGCCCTTGTTACTGAGTGATTGAAAAAAAATTTTGGCTATAAAGCAAAACATGTAATATCAATACATCATAATTTGCGATTACGAAGCTTACCAGACGGCAAACCTCCATAAATAATTGCGCATTTATGATCGGTTTTACTCTCTACGCTATATTTTAGCTTAAATAGTTCTTTTCGAGAAAATGCTACAACACAGTCTCCCTTGGTCACGTTACTAAGTTTACCTATAAATATACTTCAGTTAGGCAGCTAATCATTTACATATTAAACTTAAGGCAATTTGCACTTATAGGAATAAGGTGTAATGCCTATAATAGCTGCTATTTTTAGTTCGTAATAACTACAATGTATAATTTAAATACCGTCAAAACTGTTTTTCTGCACCGATAAAGGAACTAAGCGATCATATCTCTGAACCTATGATAAAAGAATTAGATATGTTGCATTGTATTACGTGTTTGCTGCAATGGTCATCATATAAATGACTACAGTAGAGGAGCATACCTCGAACTCATCACCACATGAATCAGCTAATTTCCTTATAAGGTCTATACCAGATGGATCACCGCAAAGATGAAGCTCAAAGGCACAAAGACCTATAATAAATAGATATATAAATATAAAAGAAAGACACGTACCAATAATTCTAATACCATGAATTACGCGAGCTCTCTGAACCTAATAAAGCTCTGGTCCAAGCGAATCCTCTGAGGTCATCCTTGATCATTTGAATCTCATCGATAATACCGATGTCGTCTAATGATATTATTTTAGTCAGTATCAGCATTTACGCTTGTATATATCATGTAAATTTGTATTCACTTAAATTAAAGCTTAGGTAAGTTTAAATAAGTTATTTTCGAAGATAATTTAAATCCGTAAAATTAAGTCAAAATTTAAGCATGTGTAAAATGCTAACAATGTTCATTTATATTTGCCATTTCAACTGTACAAGAAACATGCTGAGAACTAAATCCATTGGGATCAACGTAAAGACGTTCCTCTCCAGTAATTAGATCGCATTTTACATTCTAGAAAAACGTATATCAAGTTAACGTCAAGTTAGCGATAAGCATATGAACACAAATCTCAAAACGTTCATACCGCTTCTAGTGATCTTCGATAAATTTCGTGAGCAAGTAGTCGTAACGGGCAACAATAAATTGCTTTTTCTGCTTTAAAAAATTTATGCAATGCATGATACGTTTTTCCACTATTCGTCGGACCAGCATGGTAAATAATTTTACGCGGAGCGATATTTCTAGCTTCTTGGTACCTTAAATGAGATGATACTTTCATGAATTTATATATATTAATAGAAATGACGATATATTTATATAATTATTTCCCCTTCTTACCAAGATACAGGAGAACGAAAGTTACTATGATATAATAGATCCTTAATACAACCGATTAAAGGGTATTCTTTTTTAGCATATTTTAAAAAATAAGGCCAAAGCGCCATCACCTTATCTAGGAAATAAGTTGCATACAATGCAGAAAGTTAACAAATTACCATTTCTTTTCTAGTAAATACCTTAGGCAAGTAGAAAACATATTAAAGTAGTCTAGCAGTATTATTTATATCAGTATTATCGATTTATGAATTAGGAAATACATCATAATTACAACAGTAGATACACCATGCTGATTATAATTATAAGGCTGTATATCAAATTAGACAAAGTTACACATAGAATGTTTACCTTCACCATTACGTACGCGGATGAATGTTTCATTTAATTCACGATTATTTTTAGAGATAGCTTTACTGCGGAACTTCCGAGCGACTTTAGCAAGCAAATCATCTACCGAAGAAGATGAAATCATAAATGGATAACTACCACCTATTTAGCTATTTGGTTTAGCTATTATTCTTCTAATGAATTAATCTAGCGATACAATGTCAAAATAGCTAGATTACATATATGAACGGAACGTATGGATTTTACAACCTTCAATTTTATGAACTTTTAATTTATGTTTAAATCCATTATCTTTATACAATTCCTTGAGCAATAATTTAATTGCTGAATCTACACATAGATAACATAAAAAGACAAATAATGGTCATACTTAAAACATTCATTAAAAATCAATTTTGCAGTTAGGAATACAAGACATGGCTGACATACTATTCAATGGTACAGTTGAATTAAGCTTTCTTCCTTGTTTGTTGTCTTTACCATCACCATCGCTGCAATAGCGACGGACTGATGATAGTAAACCATTTACACTTGGCGAGAATACAAATTTGCTTCTGTGATAAAGTTGATGTGATAGTTGAATACTTGATACAAGTTGTGATAACCTCATGTTGGCTTATTTGAAGTAAAAGAAACAGAATTAAGGCTCAGGTTAGTTGAAAAAAATCAATTTTGCAAGCAATTGCCTGACTATTTTACGTATGGTATAGTATACCAACCTCCGCATGTAATTTCACTCGATATCCAGAGAAGAAGGAGCTATAAAATGATCCCTATGGAAAAGAAATGAGTATAGTCTATTTCTGCAACTAATACAGTAGCAATATTTGCATAGAGTCAATGCAGCTCTAATTTATTTGTAATCGTAACTCGCATTCGCTAGTCAATCGATAGCATCAACATGCAGAAATCGAGCTCAAATCAAAACAGCTTGATGGATAACAGTTTTAATTGCATTATAGCAATAAAAAAAATGGCAAATGTAATGTTAATATGTTAACATCATTGATTAGATACTATCAGCTGAGCTCTCACTACTTAAATGGATACGACTGCCATAATATTTTCAACAGCTTTTTTCTTGACTTGTTGGAGATGGATCGTTAATGCAAGCTAAGCCTTCTTGGGGCCGGTTGCTCAAAATTAGGTAATTGCAGTACACGATGTCTGGACTCTGCAGGTATTTGATCTTTTACCTGAATAACAGTACAGACTGTACAGTACACTGTACCGTACAGTGTACAGTACAGTACAGTACAGTGTACAGTACAGTACTGTACAGTACTCGGACCGCCAGGCTCAGACTACTGTACACTGTAGCCACATTGTACTGTAGTACTGTACTGTTCAATCTCGTACCCGTACAGTACCGTATGTGGAAGAGCAGCACGGGTACTTGTACTTGCGTATACGCACAATCGCACATGTACTGGTCTCATTCGGACAGACAGAGGAACAGAATCTGTTCAATTACTCGTACTGTATGCGGGAGAGCTACACCTGTCGAAGGTTTGGTTCTAGCACGGGTACTTGTACTGGTCTCATTCAGACAGACAGAGGAACAGAATCTGTTCCATTACTCGTATGTGGAAGAAAAGACCAGCACGGGTACTTGTACTGGTCTCATTCAGATATACAGAGTAACAGAATCTATTCAATTACTCGTATAGTCGTACAGTATGTGGAAGAAAAGAGCAGCACGGGTACTTGTACTGGTCTCATTCAGATAGACAGAGGAACAGAATCTGTTCAATTACTCGTAATACTCTTATGTGGAAGAAAAGAGCAGCACGGGTACCTGTACTGGTCTCATTCGGTACAGTACTCATGTTCGTATGCAGACAGACAGAGGAACAGAATCTGTTCAATTACTCGTATAAGTCGTATGTGGAAGAAAAGAGCAGCACTGGTCTCATTCAGATAGACAGACGAACAGAATCTGTTCAATTACTCGTATGTGGAAGAAAAGAGCAGCACTTGTACTGTACCTCTACAGTACTAGTCTCATTCTGTACAGTGCCATACTGTACTGTACACTGTACACTGTACAGTACTCAAGTTCGTGTGCGGACAGACAGAAGTGCAGACTTTCACAATAAATCGCTGGTAACCTGTACTGGTCTCATTCGGTACAGTGCCATACTGTACACTGTACACTGTACAGTACAGTACTCATGTTCGTTCGCAGACAGACAGAAGAACAGACTTGCGCAATAAATCGCGCAAAAAAGCTATCACCCTTTTCGAACATTTATTCAGTTAAAGCAACAAAAAAGCCCTCATAACGATGTGAAGAAGGTGACAGCTATTTTACACCGGATGGATTTCTGCATCTCTGAAATCCCTCTCCTGGAATATTAAGGCTAAGTTAGTCAGGAGTTGCACTGGAGCTACTAAAGCTGCTGCATCCCCCTCTGTCTTGCTAAAATGTGCAAATTAAACGGTAATTAGAGAGATCGCGATTCTATTGAAAGCTTTCCTGTCGTCCTAGCTACCAATATTGATTGCATGCTACACATCATGACCAACTGCGAACTGTTGATACGCTATTTACCATCAATTGCATCTGCAAGTGATATTAAAGAATTGTTATCCAATTTTGGTGCTACACATGTCCATTACTTTGGCCAACATGGTAAAATGGTGAGCTAAGCGTGCAATATTTCTAAATGTTAAACTGCACGAGCTGATATCAACTTACCAATAATGCATTTCTACTTTAAACGAGCCGTAAAACCAGTATTGAACTCTTAGCGATCATGATAGGGATCAATTTCAAGTAGAAGCTTATTCTCTTCATTGATTTGGCAATCGCAATCCTAATCATTGCTGTAGAATTATTTCATACAAATGATTATAATTATTATTCGCCTTTGACCCCCATTAGAACGATTTAGAAATCCTGTTTATTCTTCCATTTTATAATAAATGTTTGTCTTTGATATAGAAAAATTGTGCTATTGCCAAATTCGATAACGAAAATACTGCTAAGCAGGTAAAAAAATTCGGGTCGATCTATCTTTCGATGTTAAATTATGTATCATAGTAATTGTTATTAAATAATTGTTCGATATACACGTACAGTAAATACTAAAATGCTCACCTTTGAAGTAAATGAATCAAAGAAACTTAAATTGCTAATAGAAAATATAGCCAATGAATTTATTTTATGTGCTTATTTTCGCATACTACGGCATTATCTGTACTGTAAACTAGGCCCTGCAACGACTTCATCAGTTGCAGATTTTCGACCAAAGATTAGTAGCCGTTTATACTACAGAAAAGGCTAGGAGCAATATAAAATCAAGCAAAGAATCTGTTAGGTAAGTTTAAATTAATTTTCACAAAACGCTGTACCTTAAGTGGTGTAATGACGAATCATCTTTGTATAATTGCTTGTAGTGATCTCGATAGCGATGATGACAAACACAGTAATACCAAATCTTCCCGAAATTCAAAGACTCAAGATCTATCCAAATCATTGCCTCCTGTAGCTGCTAATCTAGGGTAAAGTATACATAATTTCTTCAACATGGGATACAAAATGATGTTGTTATAATAGCCTACTCGTACCGTACTTTGGCCATAGATTTAAATATGTAAGATTTAATGTAGTATTATAATGTGATACCGACTCGTATTGTTGGCTACCGTTTCCTATCAAATGTTCACTAGCGTTATTCGTACTCTTTTTTGGCTAGCCTACAGTATTATAATATAAGCTATCTTAACTATAATATTGTGCTTTACAGATTGAACTATCCTTCTCCACCAGACCTACATTACTTATACCCCGAAGCAAACATTATGATATTGACTAACATTGTTAATGCTATGCTAGCAGTACCTAAATTCTATACTCAAGTAAGAAACGCCAGTTTGTATAAGCTATAACAATAATAACAATCAGTAACGATATTAGATTTGCTGTATTAAATAATCATACATTGCAAAATCAATAGGTTTTACATTTGATGAATAGAATGAATTTGCCTCCACCATTTGCATTTCCAACGCCAACCCCTCCTATGGTATGTTAAGGATCTTTTTCAAAAATTTTGGTTCTTAAAACATAGATTCATCAATATACCATAATGTAGACCGAACGAGATTTATCTTAGCTGATAACTCTTAAAAGTTATACTGCTCGTAATTTTAACTCAATAACCTCTAAGCGACATTCTAACACATAATTTTGCTATGCAGAAATCAAAACTAAACCAAGCGGTGGCTAATCAGAAAGAAAAAAATTCGTTACCAATATCTAGCGAAGAATCGGAAATTGAAAGCGAAGATAACGAAAGGTATTAAAATCATTTTGTATAGCAAAGAGCATAATTGGAAAAGGAAATATTCTTATTCTAGCAAAGTAATGATAAATCGGCCTGTTATTGTCATGATACTACTATAGTTTAGCAACAAACGTAACCTCCAGAAAAAGATCACGTACCGGTAGTAAACCTGCAAACTTCAGCAAACAGTTGAAACTACCTAAAATCAATCAAGCAACTGTGCTCCCAGCATCTAATAATAAATCTTATGATGAACAATATAAAGGTAAGTACCAGAATTAGATAATGAATTAAAATGGCTTCCAAATAATCAAATGCAAAGTTCTAATCGTTATCTGTTGTATTATAATGGTAGTATTGTCAACGGTTGACGAAGTTTTTGAAAATTTTGATAAAGAAAAACGTAGTATTACAGAATTTAGCTTGCAAGATGCTATACAAAATGCCTACAATAGAAATTTAGGAGAAAAACTTGAGTTGGCGGTAAAGAATACTTTGGTTATCATCTATATTTATTGCCATATTCATTAAATCGCGTAATCGTAGTTTCCTGACACTTAGTTAATATTTCTCGTATTGGCCTCATAGGGAACTTTAGCATCAGAAAGTGGTGCAGGCTTTGGAACATTTGCTCCGATCGTACCCATCACTGAATATACTTCCAATGTCGAAGACGATATGAATGATTCTATACGACTTGAAGACCTAAGAGCTAACCGAATGTCTAAAATAGGTAACAAATATTTCACTATCCCAAAACATCGGTCTCCTTTGGCTATTCTAATTGTACTGTTAATATTGCACCTTTCAGAACTTCAAAAGTTATCAGTATATCAAAATTACGAACGTAAAGAACCCACAGGTCGATTATATATTAAGAATTTGTCTGATAAGGTCAAAGAATCGGTAAGCTCTCTTATCAATCGAATGCGTGCTATGAAATGACTATAAACTAACCTGTTTTTTCTCAAAACTTCACGTGTATAGGATTTGATATATATTTATAGCCGATTCATCAATAAAGATGACAACAGCCACCTAGACCGGTAATCAAACGTTAATGTCAGAAATTATTCACTGTTATACTGTACAATTCGCTGGAACCGGGATCAATTCAGTTAAAACTAAAGTATGAAATCGTATTTATAGATTTGATGTTAGATTATTGACACGGGGTCGGATGAAGGGCCAAGCGTTTGTAAACCTGCCAGACGAAGTTGTTGCCACAGAAGCTGTCAATGAGACCCATGGTTATGTATTACATGGCAAACCGATGATAGTAGTAAGTTCTGCTACATTGCTTACTATAACTCTACATCACTTGTTTCGTGTAACTACACTAACTCTTTATGGCTACATATTTTATTGTAGGATTTTGCTCAATCAGCCAAAAAGAAAGATTAATCCGTCTTTATCATGGACTCAATGTAAAAAATCGATAATTACTGTAAAGTAAAAATCTCACGTAGTATATCATGCATTTGTGTATAAATATAGCTTACTGTGTAAAGTACCGACGACCTTTACATGATTCATTAATTTCTTATGTAGTGTAAATAAGAGTCTATCGAAACGGAATGTAAGATCTCCTTCTGTATGTATACAGGACAACATGCATGACTCTACGAGTATACCTAATCACAGTTAATTTCATAGTAAAACTTCCATTTCAAAATGATGTTTGATGCTCTTAAGTCTTAATAACGATAATAATTATATGATCATTAAAGCATAAGAAATTTTAAAGTTATACTGACAGAATTCGATAGTCTTAGATATATTGATAGGTAGAGTTTTTTGGATTAGCTTTAGCAGAAGGTATCATAAGTTGTGATCCATAAGGTTTAATCTTAAATTCATTGAAAGATCCTTTTGACATTAGATACCGTTTGACAAATATGATTAACGGGAATATCTGTACATTTGGTAATGTAGTCACCTGTTACATAATGCTACATTATAGAAATTTTTAACTTACAGTTAATAATTCGATTATAATAATTATTAATACTATATTCTGTAGTTTACAGGAAATAAGTTTTAAAATTGTCTATTTTCAATTCAGAATTTCTATTTAGATGGCGATATATCTCCCATCGTACTGATAATAATTATATATGTCAATATGTCACGGTCCATGTAAGGGCCCTATAGAATGCCCGACACTCCGGGCAATCTACGAGAAAATCTCCTTTTTTACAATCATATATATCAGGAAATGACATGCAATCAAATTGATAACTACATTACTTAAACTTAATACGAATATGGATACCAAAGATTTTACTGCAGAAACTGGCGTTAAAGCATAGGCTGAAATGGTATCAAAATATCATGCACTATGTCTGTATAGTAATGTATACTTTGCAAATTGTCGCCCTATAGTAGTTTGTGTAGTATTAGCAATCATATAGTATCTAAGGTAAATAACAATATTTCAACAAACGAGCAATTAATAGAGATAGGGAAATGCCAGGCTACAGATAGTATGTATACCCACAAATATGAGAAAGCATATAACAATTTCTCCCTCAATGCCAATGTTTACATCATTATGTCCACTGATTGAATAATAGGCAATCATATAAAGCAATCATTATTCCAGGCCACTAGAATAATAGGTACACCAGGTACTAAAAATTCAATCAATAAAACTGATTGCATGCTACAAAGTAGACGGTACATTCATACAATCCTATTACTGCATAACGTATATCTGTCGATCGTGTCAAGCGTTATTACTGGTTTAACGCGTTGTCGCAGCTCGGTATCCGAAGAAGTATTTACATCCTTCTTTGATGATCTATCGTATGGCGCAGATACAGAATCGTGACGTTCCGCTTTTACATTCTTGCTATCAGCCTTGCATCTACGTTCCTTTGCTTTTCTTAGGTAATGAGCAGCGTTGGCTAATATAAACCTGCTATTGACTATTTTCGTTAAAATTAGCCTGGATAAGATTGAAATAAATTAAAAATTCTGTATTTGACGTTATCCCTAAATAGTATGATCTAGCATTTGTTTCTATTTGCTTAAAAGTTTGTAATACTTACATTAAGTAAACAATGGTAGCTATAAATACTTGATATTTCCCAGTAATTGTGATCGACTGCGCCATAACACGATAGATCTTTACAAATAGATAAAAGCTTAGCGTCAAACTTGTTTTTCGTTAATTTATGCGTATAAATAAGACCTACCAAACACCCTATAGGCAAAGGCGTCAAGCCCATCCTTCTACAGATTAAATCTGAATGATGAGAATGAGACTATAGCCGCATAATAAAGAAATGTTGGTATTTAGATAAAGATATGACAAGGAAATCGCAGTAATATCATAAGTTCAAGGACAAAAAAAAACGTTAAAATTCTCTTATAGCTATTGGACGTACATCTAAACGTCGGCTAACCGCCACATCTCTAGCAAGTGCTTCTCGATAGTCCAAGTACACCTATGAAAATAATTGAGTAATGATTCAAGCGATAAAAATGGCAAATATAGCGTAGCTATGGATTATACTTGAGCTAACCTCCGCCGAAATGTTATTAAATTTCGTAATAAATGCATGTTTAACCCAGTCAACTAAAACCTCGGATACCATAACCATCAGGAAGTCAGGCACTAATTCCCAAAAATAATCTATAAGAAATGTTAAGAAAATTTGATCACATCAAATACCAGTACATAAATTTTTTTGAGCCCGCAGCTACCTAATTTCAAATGATGTTTATGACGATGTAATAACTCACCGGTACTATACGCATATTGAGTTAAGTTTCGTAAGCAAACAATGCTAATTAAAATGAAATTTTGAAATCTTTCCCTAGCATCTGAATAAGGAGACGTGCCGTTAAATGCGCCAATTTATGCAAAACGTAAGTTTTATGGACACAAATAACAGTGCAAAAACTCTCCATATCTTCAAATCTTACCGGCACATGACATTTGATATAAGTTAAAGCGATCGAATCTTTTGAAAACGCTACCTTTTAATTCAACAAACTATAAAATGGAATGAGAATTTAGATTAGTCTTCCAATATAAATGGTACTAAAAGGTTAGTCTATGTACCCGAACTCGCACGATTATCAAAATACTGACCTGATTTGATACTATAATAGTAAGTAAGGCTTTACTATGTGAATTGACAGCTACATTCAGCGTAACCGATTGAACCAACACCAGTATAGTATGGAGAACTGGCACAAAGAGCTTACGTTAAAGAAATAACTCTAAGCAGATACAGTTGATTAAATCAAAGGCATAGAAACGATTTCGCTTCAAGAATATAAATTAAAATAATTGTGAAATAGACCACTATCCATAATAGATCAAACAACTTTTAACTTAATTTTTATAGAAGCGCATTAGGATACAAACATATAAGACACATAAAATGAAATATTGGATGACTTGAAATTTGTTTCCTTTTCCTTTTTTAAATTGTGTAGTAGTCCAAAACAGAGTATCTAATATGTCTTGGCCAAATGAGGCGAACAACTTGTCTAAGATCTAATCAATAAATTGAAATGATAGATTGTAAACATATTACATAACACATCACTATTTCGTATGAAATATCATAATCGTATTGCTGCCACTTCTTATAGTAATTACTATCTGATAATAGAGAACAATAAAATGATACTCACATCTAAAATATTAAAAATGACATACAGTTTGATAACTGATTGGCCACGTATAACATGATAAATTACAGATATATCCAAATTTCGTATAAATATGCAACAAATTAGAAAGACCAAACCTACAATAACGAGGAAATCAAAAAAAATGATGAGTTATAATTGAATCAGTAAACGAGCTGTAGCTAACATCTACAATTGACCAGCATATACAGTATTCGATAATCTAAATTAGTTCTTCTAGTTGCTGGTATTTTTGGAAAGGCTACTACACATCCAATTATTAATTTTGTGTAGAGATGTCATAATCAATTCAAGAAATGATGATGATTATCTTTAACAATTGTACATTTACCACGTAGTACATCGCATATTTGATAGGAATAGAGGGTTAAATTCCTAATTATAAAGAATACTATATTAGTTTGTCATTAGATAGGTACGTGACATTAAAAATAACGGCTGTATTAATTAAAAGTTAAGCCTAGATTTTGTAAATGGCCAAATGAAAAACAGTCAGGTATTGTAATTTAATAACGTAGCATTCTTATTATGACATATTTTGATATCGGCATACAGCATTGTAAACCCTACAATCATCGACTAATGGGTATACGAAGTGAACTAAATCGCCTACTAGCCATTATAAAAACAATTCCACTTCCATCAATTGTTACAAAATCGCAAAGATTTTTATTACCTGAAAAAGTACAATGCAGCCATGATAATCCGGATAGGCAATAACGTGAAAATGAACAAAAAGGAATCCAAACAGAGTAGGAAGCCAATCGCTAACGTCTGTAATAACAGAAGAGGATAGTAAAAAGTACATAAACGATAACGCTAATTTCTGCGATACTTTTTCAATACAATGTAGTACGAGTTATACGGTATTTCGGATTGTAACAGGCAGTAATATAACATCTCGAATTTGTATTAAGACTTGATAGAATATTAGGGTACAAAGTGTAAGACTGATTGATTTACATCATTGTACACTGTTGTTATGCACCATACGACTTCGAGTTTATTAATTTTAGCCCTAGAATGATAATGTCTAATCCCAAATAATGACGATAAGTCAATACTATTTAATTGAATTAACTTGATACACTACTACAATATATTGTTGATAACGAGCAATGTAGTACGTCATTTTACGGGTCTGCAGCTTTACAATATATCTAGTGTATCACCGCAAAAGGTAAAAATTGATATTGGTATTGACGGCGTTAAGAGTTCTTATCACCTATCAATTCGTCAGGTAATCAACTATACCTACACTAGAACATACGGTAGTAACTTCTACAGTATACAGAGTCCATTACATCTACAAAGTCATATGCGAATAAACACTTAGGAAGCGCACGATTTTATCAATTCACTTTACAGCAAATTAATTATCGATATTTTTTAATATACACGGTTAGATTAATCACCTTTTCTAGTTCACGAGGCGTTTTCATAAATGTCTGAATCTTGAGAAGCCCAGATGAATAGCTGTCACTATGATAATCAGGTGCAAAACCGCGCATAAATTCATGAGCCATGAACTGTGACCACGGTAGTCCTAAAATGAATATAAATAAGATTGATGAAGGATCACAATGCAATCATTATCCATTGATGAATATCATTCAAAGTGTTTTAAATCGATACTCTTGCCCTCTTCCAGATATTATAAATCTAGTGCAGTAGCTCTTTTCACAAAGTCTCTACTCCTATCTCTAAGTTACGAGTCGATCATACAGGAAATCTCGTACGTAGTCCAGTAGATTACTTCAAAAGCATATAGATAGTCCTACCCTACACACCATACCGATAATGGGTGATGCAGTAGGCCGTATTGTAACTATGACTCTACTGATGGCCTCTATTATACAGAAATAAGTGCTGCAAAAGACCATTATGTAAGGTATGATTTTACTTTTGTCCGACATCATATCGCCTTTACTATATTATATCGAAATTAGGTAGTACACGTAGTGAGTTACTTTCTAAATCTGAAGGTGCTAATACTCTTATTGTAGAAAATTATTACGTCATGGTAGAAGTACTGTATGAAGATACTCTTGTCCAACAGTATTTCAAACAAAAGTAAGTGGTTCAATGGTGGTAGATCATTTAATATACAGTAGGCTAATTTTATTCCTGTTCAATATTCTACAGGAAATACGTAGTATAGCAAGTCAGTGTATTCAATGCGTTTATAAGACGAGCTACTGTAGGTTAATATCATTACAGAAAATGCATTTTACTATATGCATAATTGTAGTTTTGAACCTCAAGACTTTTGTCATTATCTCATTACTTTGCCATCCTACCGAAGATCTACATGCACTACAGGCAGCAGCATGGTGATAATAGCCTTGCCTACAACAATCATAAATACATAACGCAATAGAAGATGATTGCATGAAGATCGAAGGGAATGATGTTGCAAGGCATGAGTATGTTTACGAGGCTATCAATAAAGGAGAAGTTTGATGGATTGTGCACACGATGACAAAAATAAATCCCAACGCAGCAATCCATTAAAGCGATTATAGCATGTGAATTCCTTCTTGTATCGTCTACACACAACTTGTATTCAATCTTCTTAGTCATAGAAAGATAGGGCATTACAAAACTGTGATTTCACTTTACTCTATCTTCTAGTTTAAAACGATTCAAGAAAAAAAATCTAATGAAGGGAAAGAATGCTTGCTACCTACTTAGCAACGCATTCATTGCTAGAGCGTATCACGGCATATAAATGAGCAAACGCGATTGCATGCTTACTTTCCTACTAGGCTCTACAACTGAATGAGCACTTATGCATGGTTTAGTATGAACAGAGAAGTGCAGGCTAGTCGATTGAAATTCCTTCCTCTCTCTCTCTCTCTCTCAACACGACAGTATCTCACAATCATTAATGACAGACCTCTTATTTCATTCAAAAGGCGTTCATTTTGATCAGCTTCCATTTCTTTGGCATCGTCTTCTTCTGCCATAGCTCTTTCAACTTGAGCAACGATGAAGTAGCCAAGTCAGGAGGAGTTTCGTCGTCTACGAACGAAAGTGATAGCCCGTTGTCCTGGTTGCGTAGAGATACGTACCGTACCGTATCGTACCGTTCCGTTCCGTACCGTACCATTCCGTACTGCGGTGGGACCGGTACGGTAGTCCTAATCGAAGAGAACCTCCCAAGTCCAGTTCCAGTACAGTACTAGAACTGCTATGTAGGCTAAAAATGACCAATACATCATTTCCATACGCTACCCTATATTGTACACGACTGTATACTACAGTAGAATGGCGTTCTTTGTTCGAAACGATACTCGGTAGTGACAGCTCAGTAATAAAAGTCCTCCCCCCTCTTACCCCCACTCCAGTAAAAATAGAATTGATCCTTCTTCTCCATTTTTTGGACTGGGATTATTACTTGAGAGATCGCTGGCCTATGGCACTGGTAATAACGTATAGTAAAACTATTCAGTATACAGTACTACCAAGTCAGTATTTCCTAAATATTAATAAATTCTTTCTTGACAACATGAGATCCCGTTCCATGCATGCAGTGCTACAATATACGCGTACATGTTTTATCCCAATCAAGCTGGCTATCCATAGGACGAAATGATCCATTTGAGTCATTCAAAAGTTGAAATTCTGCTGATGATTCAACTTCAATATCGCTTTATTGTAACTTTCGAATAGCTTGTGCAATGGTAAATATCCAGTATTCTTCGTTGAGATCATGTACTGTAGGTCTAAACTTCCTAGATTTGTCTCGGTATACTGTACTGTACGCATATTATAATGTAGCATAGACTATTGTGGATGCACCATCACGAAATGGTACAATACTGTCTATCTCGTAGTCCATCACTGTAGTGAAGGATTCGTGGTAGATTTTTAGACAGGAACTATTCGTGGTCTCTGTTTTAGGTGAGCGTAGTGCAGCCTTGATAATCGATTGCATTTGCCGATGAAAGTGTTGTAATTGTGTTTGAGCATAGCCTTTCGTACATCTCATTTTGGGTTGTATAGATGAACGTGACCGTATGCGAAATGACAATACGGACAGACAGTTTGCAAACTGCCCGTGTATTTTGCAAAATGACAATACGACAAGACATTTTGTAAAATGCCCGGTCACTTTGCAAAATGTTAAGCAGTATAGTCATTTTACAAAATGCTTTAGCTTCAGTAGCGGTCATTTTGCTACAACAATTTTAAATCTTTTAATCCTAAGGGCAGTTTGCAAAATGACCGATTTCGCATACGGTCACGTTCATATTGTCATAAAAATGAATAAAATGATGGTAAACATCAACTTCTTGCCAAGGAGCTCATTTAAAATACCAAGTAGCTTTAGCATTAACAATAGTCATCCACTATAGCACGAACAGACGGATCAATATGGATGGACTTACTGTTAGATCAAGTTGCCCTAGGAGTTCTTTCTTAAACACATGTATATTGTGGAACTCAAGCTAAGTACAGTGCGATCAGAGCATTGTATGCATAAATGGAATGGGCTGTTGCTATTGTATAACAGGCTACACAGTGCAATATTACTACAGTAAACAACAGCTATTGGAGTTAGTTTAAATGGTTTGAGTAAGTAAGTTACATGCACTGTACTCAGACTAGTTCAGATCATTTTTTATAAACGCGTAGTATAATTTATTTTTACCAAAATGCTACCCTACAGAGTTGTATATTTGTTGTATTGTATTAATGTACGGTAATGCGATACTGTACAGTGTACACTTCAGTATATGTGCAATGCCAGTATATCAATCTTATTATATAATTTTAAAAAATTATAATGATATGCCAGTCAATCATAATTTACTGTACAGGTATTATATACATTTAAATCTCTGATATACTATATACATAACAATATTGTAGTAATTTCAGCTAACAAGAGTAGTAACATCTATCAGTGATATGAAGTAAGCACTTGGTGATATGGAATAATCTATTATGCTTATTATTTATGCTTAATAAAGTAATTGTAGATACTATGGTAAAGCGTGCTAAAATCCATAACACACGAGTCGTATACAAATCCTTATAATAGAAAATACAGTTAAGTGAATAACCCGACAAACTTTGCACAATGGAACTATGTCATTGCTAATCCTTACGAGAACTGCATACACTGATATAATTCGAAATTCAATTTCGCCAATTTTACATATAGATAAACCTCATACAGTAACTATTGCAATTCGTTTGAATGGTTTGAATAATTAATTTGCATGTATACAGACCAGTTCAGATTATTTTAAAGAAATACGTAGTATAATTTACTTATACAAAGCGCTACCCCACATAATTGTATGTTGTAGTGATTCAGCTTATTGTAGTAGCAATATCTATGAGTTATAATGACATAAGCACTATGTTACATAGAATAATCTGTTATGCTTAATAAAATTGCTGTAGACGACATGATGAATCGGGTTAAAATCCATAAGATAGACAACCCTTTACAATAAAACATACAGTTTAGTGAATAAACAGATAGGCTTTCCATGGAAATTTATGTTATCGCTAGCGCTTATGGAGGTATCATACATTGATCTAGTTAGAAATTTAAAATCCGCCAATTTTATACAAAAATGTAAACTGACCGATATTTCAAACGGACTCCATCAATAAGTTATAGACAAAACCCAAAATTGACTAATATACAAATGAAACATCGCTTATCCTCATAATGCTCTTATCTAAGTGATTAAGCCCATCGGGTAGAATGGTGAGTTTGCAAACATAAAAGAAAAACAATTTGTCTCCATCTGTCCAGTGATTGTTAACGCACGGGCTACTAAAGCAAGAATAAAAACACTTTTCTGGTGTACTTTTCCATCCACCGCAACATTGAGATGATTGCATATAATATTTTATAGCGATACAACTATCATATCCAAAAACGACCAAAAATAAGTACTTCTAGTAGTCTAATGGAATATACAGCAAACTAACCCTTAATAACCCCATAAACTAGCAGTAGAATAGTTTTAGTAGACCATCCATTTTATTATAAGTGAAAGTATCAAGAAAGCCACACCCAGCACTTGGAATCTCCTCTAGTCATGCGCATTACCGCTTCATCGTCTCCATGCCTCCCAACGTAAACACCTTCTCCAAATTCAAATTTCCATACCATAACCACTCTAGTTGCGAAATCATCGTTAGTGCTTAGAGTAAGAAGCTATAGTTAGGCCGAACGGACAATCGATTTCGGTAGACAGACAAGAGAACTCAAAATCTTTGGACTAATACTTTGTAGTAAGGGTTAACACCATCGAACATTACTCACACATCACGATCATCGTGGGATCTTTGGATATTCTTCGTGAAATCCTTCATCAATCAAAATAGGTAGAAACACATAAAATTGAAATATCGTTCGAATAACTTGAATATTACTACTTGAACCTATCTAGGATCTACAGAAGAGATATTGCTTACAACTATTTTATTCATTTCAACAGCCAATAGTTGCTGGAACGCGTTGTAATACCCTTTCTAAAATTATTGGTTGATGTTAATGAACACAAATTCCAGCGTTCATTCACCTTAGACTAGTATTCCCAGGAAATTATAGGCCATGCTCAAGTGACCATGATAATTATATCGTGTAAACTAGTTCATTGAATACCATCGGTAGTGTAAATATTCCATCATTAACTTTATCAATGATATAATCAAGTTTTAGCATTTTATACTGAACGGCGAGTACCAGTATACTATCAATAATACATATCTATATGACGATGATCACAGTTGAGTATATGAATTTTTTACTGAAAACATGATAAAGTTGCATTAATAACTTCTACATAGCATCAAATGGATAGTTTTATAATTTGCAAATCTAAAATAACATCCGATGATATGATCATGACGGTTAATACAGCTGTAAGTAGCAATTGCTTACCGAAATAGTATCAATCGGACGCGTAATTTCATCTTTATGCTTTACAATTTATATTTTTATTGCTTAAACATCGAAAGGAAGAATTTATGATTTGCTATATCATATAAAGCATACTTATAAGATATTTAGTATAGTTGTGCATGCTAGTCACTAACTGGAAAGACGTTCACTACATCCTCATCCCGATACGCTTAAATTTAATATCACCGGTAATTTAAAAATTAAATGATAAAATCGGAAATTGAATTACTATCTAGGATTGAAGTTTTATCAATTCACCATTCCTAGAAGCTACATCAAACCATATCATTTTAATCTAGAGAAATAACAACTAGCCATGAGCAGAACAAAGTTGACCTTACATGAACTTTAAAATTAGTTTGATTACTGTACTTGAACTGATAACGTGAATTACTAAACATTATAATGGATCTATCTTAACGGTACAATTTTAAGATCATCTTTAATTTCCTTCTCTTCTTATATTATATCAGCCATGTCTAAAGCACAAGCTGAAAGCGTTATTAAAAATATCATTCGAGAGATTGCTCAAGAATGTGCAACCCAAGGCCAAGCCGTGTCAGAAACCTTGGTAGCTTTTATCGTAAGTTTTAATCGAAAACCTATCAACCCTGTATCATTTTGTAATTAACTTACTTGACTGAAAATATAATTCAACTCTTAAAATTGTCTAAACAAGAAATATAATGTTTAGCCGCTAAATATATATCCTCCTGCAGTGTAAAATAACTTAAAATAGCATGAAATAGTCGTCACTGATTAGTAAAAATCTAGTTTCTCGTATTCTATGGTAATTTATGACTAAAGCTTACTATTCCACTAATTTCAATGTCAGTACCTCCTTTTCATTTATTGCTAGAGGTGATAAATGAACAATTATTAATACAATACAGGATCGATGCTCATCAAACATCGCTATATCTAAACAAACTAAACAGATGATATTTATTTCGCATCAAAATATACTCATCACGTAGTAGTGAGCATTAATAACACTCAAATATGTAATTCTTCTCCACTCATCGCAGTTTGTCAAGATCTATACAGAACTAATTTCAAAAGCTAAAAAACACATGTATCACCAACTTCTGATACAATAAAATTAATTAACCTGATATAATTTATTTCTCATCCTAACCTACTATTAAGGACTGGCAATTATCTTAACATTCGAGAGCTTTTTTCAAATGTTACGTCTCGATTACGATTGTAGACAGTACGGCAGATTAACGCTAAATTTCATCAACATCATTCATGTATGCTTATAAGATCAACCAACTTAATAAAGAACTAAGTATTTTAATTATAATTAGCTAATTTTATTTAGTCTTTTTATGCAGCAAGGTTTATATAATGTTAAGATGATTTAAAGATACTCAACTCAAGGTTTATCTTGTACTAGGATGTATTACTTATGCATCCATCAACTAATTGACAAATACGAAATCTTTTCGCGACATGTGTAATGTTATACCATACAATCGCATCGTTTCGAAATAAATTTCTAAATAAACCTAAATACCCAGCCATCTCTTGTGAATGAATACCTTTAATATAATAATAATTTAGAAAATAATTTTACTGCACTTGAACCCTACCTCATATCCTAAAGCTAGTATAATCCACCAGAAGAGAAAACAATGCTAAATTCTAATGTTACAGTAATTCCTAGATTAAACTGAAATAGACTTTGAATGAGCCATAATTTAATATGTATACCGAGCGAATTCAAGATCATAATTGTGTGCTATCTTTTCACAGACATTTTATTTAATTATCTGATATAAGACTTATGATACAAATATATACTCCTATAAACATTTCTCTGTATATTGATAGAAGATAGTCTTATGAACAACGATTTTGTTATTTGCTTTCAAATGGATATTTCGCAGGTAAAGGCTATTGTTCTCAATCCCGAAAACGATTTTAATGTTGATCGAGCCTTAACTAGAGATGACGTCGAAAGATTAATTCAGGTTAATTTCAATTAACAAATAATTTTGATCTCGTATATAAATGATGTGAATTTTCTACTGTCAACTCATTTGATATCGTAATCTTTTATTCAAAATTATAAAATAGAAATGCGTGGAAACTTTATTAGACAATGAATCTCCGTCGTTAGACACCATAAAAATGCAGGTTTATTTCGATATGAATTATACAGGCAGAGGTAAATACAATTTGATTTATTGCAGACTTTAGAAAGATGATTTTATTAATGATTACATGTTGTAAGGAAGTGATAGTAGTAGCTATTATCTGCTAGAAATCAGCTAATAGGTGTAATATCGTAATTACTGTATAAGGTCATATAGAGTAAAGAAATCGTAATTTTGATAGCATTTTCGTTGATTTTCCATCTATATAACTTTAGCGACTACGTTTAGCGGAATGATAGTTTAATGCAATTGACCAAAAACGAAATAAATGATTTTGTACATAATGGTAATCTAGGTAAATATCCTTGACTCATCCATCCGGGAGTACATGTATTATAAAACAATTAGTTTAGCAATTCGTAAAAGTGGGAGCTCTTATACTCGCTAAGATTAATGCTATCCTGCATCTAGTTGCTTATCCCATTCGCCTACGATTTCTATGTAGCCATTATAAAGCATGACTTGAGGATGGACCCATTATGATTGTTTACTATATTACTATTCTTATTAATCTTATATTTTCGTTTCTCTTGAATCATATTAATAAATACTAACTCAAAGCACACATTCAATAATTCTATTTTTGCCTAATATAATATAGAGGAGTTCTTAACAGAACACAAACGTGTACTGGATAATCGCCTAGATATAGTACTACGAGAAATAACTGATAGTCGCGCCAGAACGAAAGAAGAGTTAGAAGGTAACATACTTTTAAAAACAAATATTTTGTTATTACCGATAGTAAGAAAGTTGTTAATAAGGCTATTAAACGGTCATATCTCAATATGCACAGGCTTAAAAACACCTTTAATGATAAAGTACCTTGTATAAATAGTATTTTATAATAAATTTCAAACTTTATTTGATGCATTAATTGCGGATATTAGTAATAGAATTACGTAGATAAAAGTAACACATCTTTCAGTTCGCAACTATGTTAGTATTATAGCAATTTTTTTACATTATTTAAATCCTTACAGCATTTCCTCATTCAATCATTTATTTCAGCATTATACAGGAAAATGGTGTCTTTCATTATCCTAAAATCAGGCCTTGGTTCTCCAACGGATATTAATGTTGTTCGTGAAGCAACAGCAGCCTTACAAAGTATTTTTCCACAGACTGAACTCGGCCCATTCTTAGCAATGGTTAAGAAAGATAAAGAAAGACAATTACAAGAGTTGATATTAATTGTAACCGGTATTCGTTTATTTAACAAAGACTGTGGTAAAGGAGGAGAAGGAATTGACGATTGTAAGTTTCCTCTCATTTACACGCTCTAAAGCTATTCGCATTACAGATCACCTATATTCAAAATCGCGATTTTCTATTCACCATCGCAAATTGCTATTTAATATTTAAAATATAATTCGCAGCCATGACTTTTTCAAATTTCTATTTCTAACCCGATGGTGTTGCTAAATATTGCTTTTTCTGACTAGTGCCATCACTACTTAGCGAAGCGATTCCAGAAACCTTAAATAACATTGATCAAAATTTAGGCGCTATACGCCAAATGGCTTATAAATATACTGGTTAGTAGCAATATTAGTTTATAAACAGAAACGGACTTGAAGTTTACATTAACACATTTTAATCTATCCTAATTTATACTAAATGTCTCATAATTTTATCGCTATATATGTATATAATCATATCAATTAAACCAGCATGATTTCTATATTCTATCCATTTTGAAATCGATAATAACCAATTATTTTCCTTCTGAATTAATAGCAATACTAAATAAGTATCAAGACCCACATAATCGTAACGAGTCCGTACCTAATTTTTCACTAATCAAAGATTCCTTGGTTAATAGTCGTCAGCATGAGGGATTCTTGCAGATATTACTGGTAAGATAGAAATAAAAGCATAGGATTTAAGGCAATAGCAACTCCACCAGCGAATAAACACATCATATTCAACCTGATGGACTATAGCACGCAATTTAATCTTTATCCATGCAATGCGTAACAATTTAGGATGATGCTCATAAATGTAATGATCACAGCAAATCTGTAGAAATTGAACTAAAAGATCGATTAAATGGCTTAAGAACGATTGTTCAATCCAAGACTGCAGTACCTACTGCTCAAGTTTATGTAAGTACCATTAACAGAAAACAAGTTATGACGATAATTAATCATTATGAGCTCATTCCATAAAATTTATACTCATACCCTAATACAGTAATTAAGCACTCGATATTTGACATTTGAAATACACTATTACGTTATAGTATTTCAAAGTTATATATATATAAAAATATAGTTGATCATCTACTAAAGAAATGTGGATAATACGCCGTTAATAGTACATGATAATGATATAGAGTCAGTAGTAATCTTTCTGTGATAATTTTAAGGCTTCTTTGATAAATAGCGATTTTTTTTAGCTACAGTAGCGTTGAATAAATGAAAATTATAGCATGTACCGATATCAAATGATAATGCAGATGCTCTATTCTATTTCAACAGCCTCAGTTTATTCGAGTAGCCCAACTTTGGAGAGGATTACAAGATGAATTAGTACTCCTCAGTGTGTTGAATAATATCCTCTATAGTTTGGAGCCATTTGCCAGGGTAATCTTATTCTGTCATTTCAAAATTGTAAATTACATATTTCATCGGAGTAAATCATTTTTCTTCAATTAATACGATTACATACTGCTCCAGCTATTTCAATTTTAGTACATGTTCAATCTAATGTTTTGCAGCTTAAATATTTTACTTTTAAACTGCAGTATACGTAATTTAATAGCCTAAAATTTAAATAACTGGAACTTTAATTCGTAGCTGTATTGACTTCAATACGCTATTTATTTAAATCCTGCTTAGTAGCACTTCTATCTATTAGCAATCGAGAAAATCATGTTTTACACATGACAAATTTTATCAATATCATTTAACCATGTTATATTTAACAAAAACTAGTTGAGAAGGCATAAATCTTAGTATATCCTTTTTTAACTATTATTTAGCTTCATCAAGAGATATTTACCGACGAAGTATTGGAGCCGTACTTGGAATATGCTAATATTTTATCTGATGAAGAAAGAGTACAATATGTTAGTAGAAACAGACATCGACGCATAACTACCATAAAATTTAAGAAATCTTTAATGTCTTTAATAAATTGAATGAAGAATTAATATCTTAATATACAACGCTAGAATACCGATCCAAAAAACCGTTTCAGTACCCTGTTATTTCCGAAAACAGATGTCCTCTTTCCTGAAACGACTAAAAATTTCGACAGCCTACCAATCCAATATAAGGCAAGAAATGCTTAAGTATCCTTATGAATGATCAGCACAATAATGAAATACTAGCATAGGAGTATAATTTCAATTCAATCTCAATATATAGGGTTTTTGCGCTTATACTTGCGCTATTGAAGATCGATTTCTCTTGCCTGGAGATCCAAATATTGGTATTATTCGCTATAAAGGTCACAATTTTGCATTTTCATCACAAGAAGCCGCACATGAATTCGCTTCCGATCCTGATAAGTATGTTACTGAAAGCATCCTTCTCACTCATTTCCTATATGTAATTTAGCCTAGATCTGTTTACTGTTATTGTATTGAAGCCTTACAAAGCATGTTTATTGAATGCAACTTATTTCATGTTTAACTTAATTACTGGTGTCCGGTAATATAAACAGGCATCTTGAATATACTATGAAACAGTACTTAAAGATAGTAATGTTATTGTACGAAATATACCTGTTATCGAGTAATATAAATGGCATCTTAAATATACTATGAAACAGTACTTAAAGATAGTAATGTTATTGTACGAAATGTACCTGTTATCGATTAATATTGCAGTACTTACTTTTTATTGAATTCCAAAACCGCTAGTTATATTAACATGGCAACTGAAAATGCAAAATTTCATCCTGAATTAATACAACTACTGGAGCTTCATAAACAATTTGCGACCATTAGCCCATATGGCAGAGTATGCAATAAACGCTTTAGTACTTCGTATCTATTCCTATCTATGATTAAATCGAGAGTATTTTATAACCGTATGTATATCATAAAAATTAAAACTGCTTATTGAAATTTGTAAATAGGCTGCCGATTCAGGTAAAATGGTAGAAGCTCCTGTTACTAAAGCAGATATGGGAACACAAACTGATACGCATATATTAGAAAGCAATATCGTCAAATCTTACGAATGGAATGAGTGGGAACTCCGACGAAAAGCTTTAAAATTGGTCAGTATTTTTCGATATTTTAGTAATAGCTAAATACAACTTCATTTTTACTCATATCGTTATTCCTCCGTTAATCAAGCGAATTCTCGGGTAATTATATGGCAAAATATTAAAAATATATTACAATAATTTCTTACAACTAAGGCTAATTTAAGAACTAAAGTAACCCATTCGGCACAAACTAATCTCAGCCACTTCCGGCGTGATAACATATCACAAGTTTATCTGCCAAAGTAAGTCTTGAAACGATTTCCTGATTACAACTTTTAACTAAACTAACTTGAAATCATTCCTTTATATCTATACTTATAACAGAGAAAACAAAACGCAAACGAAAAAAGATTCCTATAGCAAGGTTCCTAAGCCATCACGCTATATTTCTGGCTTACGAGGCTGTTCATCAGAAGATACAGTCATGCAAACAGTCGATTTGACTGTAACTGTTGAAGAAGATTTGTAATAACTGTAAAATTATAGATTATAGATAGTAATTTCGTAGACGTATCAAGGTAATTTAAAATTATAATGATAAGTATAGCAATAACGGATTCAAATCAGTCAAGTATCATTGTAAAATAAATTTCTATGCTAATAGCAATCCATTCCTCTAAGTTCAATATCTATGTTATGTCTATATAGTTAAAAGTATTACAATGACAACAATCATATCGGATTCAAAATAGTAAAATCATAGACATAAAATATGCGAAATTGCTACCTATTTTGCAAAGTAAATCGGTAATCAATGATGACATTTTTATCATATCCTTTCGCACGTAACTGTATTCCATCGATTATCAATAATGACTTATTTAAACAATTTATGAAGTCATAAATATTGCAGAGTCAATATTCGCTATCAAGCCCTTTTAAGACTCATAGCATAGATAATGGAGTAGTTTCATTACTCTATTTTGACTGAAATGATGACAATATTAATCTTCATACTGTTGAATCTAGACTCTACATGTCATGGTAACAAATCTTAATTAAGAAATATATGAAATCGTTTGTTATTTTTTTTGTATAGCTACCGAATCAAAATTTTCTACCCTTTTATAAGTAATTGTGCTAACCACTTCATTAAATTGTACTGCAATATTGGAAAATTTTTATTAACGTAAATTATTATCATTAGAGCAGTGTAAAGACTGTATTATAAAATATCATTTATTATGTGCAATAAGCTTATTAAATAAAAACGCGATATTGGACTCTACCGATGACTATTTTATCTTTTCCAATAAGCAAATTATCCTGTTCTTGATTGTAGTGAACCGTTAGACTAGATAACTGCTATGTATTTGTAGGATATTAAGGTACTTTCTAGCAGAAGAATGAACTCCATGTTAGCGTCAATTATTCATCAAGTCATTTCATTCATTTTATCGGTTAAATTGCCAACAAATTTTGATACCAATATTCATCTATGATACTGTATATTTTCTACATTCTTCTTCTGTAATGAAGAGCATACCACTAAAATATAGTATATTTCAGCTATCTTACAGTATAATAAAATTCTAGAGTCAATCTAACATTCAAATACCGTCAAAACTACAAAAGTAATTCGTGATCAAGATCTTTGCCTAAAATATAACTATTTTTACTCAGTTATTCCTTATCTAGTGTCTACCTATCTCGATCTAGAATGAACAGCTTAGAATAGCTCTATAGCAGACTTTCCTTCTTCAATATTGTCACAGCTACATCTTCACTATGTTAAATTTAATGCATCTGAAGGTATAAATCAACCTTAACTGTATACATGTACTGTAAGTGTGACGGTATCGAATTTAGCACTTCTAAAGGCATTGCTCAATCGGGAATGTGCCGTACAAATTACTCTCGCATATTCCAGAATAACACCAATGCTGGAGATAGATTAGGTCAAGAATAGAATAGAATTAAATTGAAACAGCTGTTATAATAACTGTTCAAATTAGATTGTTATCAGAAAGAATTTCAGGTACAATGACTACCTGAAGAATTCATCAGATCTGAAAAAAATTTATCTGCTTGAACTACTTGATAAATTCTGGTTAGTTTTATCTCCTAGGATTACTATAAGCCTACATTTAACTTGAATTAAGCTAAAAGAAGATTCTGCACTTTAACGGTTTGCATATAATGGATAACCAGGAAACTGTTTGAGCCAGCAATTACAAAATTACCTGAAATTAATCACATTTTAAGGTCTTTGAATATCTTTATTCTTCTTCGAGCCTAATAGTAATTATTTAGCGTACTATCAATTCCCGAAATACTTCAATCTAAAAGTGCAAAATTTATTATAGCTACAATACGATAAGTCGACCTAACAAATCGATTTAGTCTACACTTACAGTAATAAATAACAGCATTTTCAGCAAATATGTATATATATTGCTTTGTCGTGATATTACTTCGTCGAGAAGTTAAATTTCATTAAATCTAGATTTATCTTCGCAACAGTGATGAAAATACTCACTCTAATTAAAAACTAGCTTTGATAACCTTAGTATTTATGATTTCTTTAATTAGTGATGCTATACTCTAGCATTGCATTTAGTTGTGAACTTTGTTAATAAGAATAGCCTAATCATATCTAAATATGAATAGTATTACTTCTTAACACTTTTTTAACCAGCATTGAATATACGATATTGCAATTACAGATAATTCTACCTTAAGATAATCAGTAAAAAAAACTATGAAATAACTTTTCAATCTTGGTGACTTAAACTAATAGTCAATAGCATAAATCTAAATTATTTAAACGTGATTCGATAATTTCAATATTTGTAGGTAGCCTATTATATCTATCTATTCTACAAATTATGCCTGAACAAGGAGAGTATCACGGAGGACGTTCATCTTGAAATTATGAATGTATAAATCAATTATTTTCTTTGATCTAATGATGGATGTGAATTAAATCTCGAAGATTTTTATAACATTAACTAGATTAGCCAGCTTTTAAGTTATGTTAACTATACTATAACTCCAATTCCATCAAATAAATCAAAAATATTATAAGCAGCATCCATAGACGAGAATTAAAAGAATTTTAGCGTGTTAATAAAACAGATATCTTATCTTATAAAGTACTAATTTGCTTAACTAAGAATTATTTAAAGATATTTTAAGCTAAACTAAGATTGATTTTAACAGTCATAAAATTAGTAAGCAAACATATCTAAAAGTAGCCCAGCAGCATAGAACTTAGATATGCATTTGTGATGGCGCTTGCTGCATAACCTGAGCCGGCTGAGATGGAGCTTGTTGCTGCATAACTTGAACTGGTTGAGGAGTAGCATGTTGGCGCAAAACTTGCACTGGTTGAGGTGTGGTTTGCTGTTGCATAATTCGAACTGGTTGAGGTCTGGTTTGCTGTTGCATAATTCGAACCGGTTGAGGTGTTGTCTGCTGTCTTGGTTGCATAACTTGAGTTACTGGTGATAGCATCTGAGCGGGATTGCTACCTGTTGTAGCAATATATTGCGATTGCTGAGCGGGAATAACACCTTCTTGAACAGCTTGCTGTGGAGAAGCAATAACGGTTCTAACGGGTTGGCCTTGAGGATAGCGATTAAATTGTGCTGGAGAATTGCGTTGAACCTGTTGCATAATACGTGGTTGAGCCTGAGCTGATGGATTAATCGGCCTTGTAACTACCGAATAGGTTGGAGGAGGGTGCTGTTGAGCAGTTGATTGCTGATAGACTGGCGTTCCGATTGGAGTTACAGGCATTTGACGGACAGGGCGTATAGCTGGTGAACTACCAGTTCTAACAGGTTGGACTATACGTCTTGGTGGTGAAGATGTTGCTACAACAGATTGCTGTTGGCTCTGATTTTGTTGGACAATCGGTGATGGACGCATCGTTATCGTCGATGGATGTGGATTTTGAGGTTGGATATAACGTATACTTGATTGTCGAACCGGTTTATGCGGAACTGATGGTGGAACATATTCAATGATCTGATGATGATCAGCATAGTCTTCAGACTCATGATTGACTTCTTTTGGAACTACTGCAACTGGTTTTGGAAGATCATCATGCTTCGATCTGAGTCTTTCATCAGGAGCTTCAACATCCACTACATTGGATGGTGTCGGTAATCCTACTGTTAATACATAACGATAAAAAGGATAAGGATATAGTCTTAGTCTCAATTACTAGAAATCAGCTAATAAGCATCGAATCAATCTCTTGAATAGAAATATAATGCAACACTATGATAATCCTAAACACACCTTTATTCAATTTCCTAGGTGATATTTGATCCGGAGCAGTCTGAGGTCTAGAATCATCAGCTACAACCGCTGCACCTGCTACCACAGCGCTATCATCAGCTGCCTGAAGCAGACTGGAACTTGACTTTTTTTTCTTATTTCGTCTTTTCCTTTTCTTCTTCGATACCGATTTCGAAGCCACATCGCTATCAACAGTCTTAGTGACATCATTGCTTTGTTTAGCAGTTACATTCTCTTCAATTTTGTTTTCTTCAAACTTAACTTTCTTTTCTACATCTTCAACATCATCCTTTTCGTCTTCATCTGCCAACTCTAATTTACTTTTAACAACACCAACTTGAGTATGATTGGAATCTTCATGTTCCTGCTTCAACTCGATTTCTTTAGGTTGATCATGATATTCAGCAGCCCCTTCAACTGTTACAACTTCAGTTGCAACTTCTAACGCTTTGGGCTCTTCAACATCATTCTTGGCTTCTTCAGCTTTCGATTTTACCTTATTTAATTCGACAAATTCAGCTTGATTATCTTTTTCTGGAGGTGCATTATTCCTAAATGGTAAGTATAATAAATGAAAATCAATTCATTCCTTGGTAATTGGCAATCATTATCCAATATCATTAAGATATCGCCTCTACTAGTGATAAGATATTAAGCTATTGAGAGTATCGACTCATCAAACAAATGCCTACGTATAAGCAGTAGTTTTTTATATTTTGATTAAAAATAGATGGAAGAAAATGGCTATAGATGGTAAGAAATACTCAAGGCAGGATACATATGCCTGTAGGACTAAGCTAAAATTTTTTATCATATGTCAAAATAATCCTTGATTAATAGTAACACGAACTTAGGATTTTAAACTACTTACAGGCCTTCTTCGATATCCCGACTGGATGATTTCTCTTCAATTAAACTATTTTAAAAATGAATAAGAGAATTAGATGGACAGAAATGGATAGAAATCATTCTGCTATGATAAACAACTCCGGTTGTACCACGCTATCTCAACTTAAGATTGAAATTGAAATTCGAACTAAAGGAAATAATTTACGCAAGGTATTAAATTAATTATTCAATGATAGTTAAAAATAATTATCAAGACAAACTTACTGTTTCTTGATATCTTCATTTGATGGTGCAACTTGTGATTTTTTCCTACAAAAATGAGATGGAAAATAGATAATTACATTCTAAGATCAACCAATTCCATACTCAGATCATGGTTAAGATTAAGCGTGTATAGAGGTAGGAATAATCGATTCTTGAAACTTCATAACAAAAACTACAGTAAATTACGTGTATAAAAGAAACTTACGCAACAGTGTGGTGATCAGCGTATTCATACTTCATGATTCGTAAAAATTTAGCGAATTTAATAGCCATGATAATGACTGGGATGAAGAAAAATTCGGAAATCCCAATAGAAAACCAATAGCTATTCTAAAATTGAATAAATAGGATCTATTATATATGAGGCAATCGATATTGGAGCAGTATGTTAAGATGAAGCAAGAAGATATGTTTGAAAGCTAACTTACGAATCCATCTAATAATCGATGGCAACCCAATGTTGTAAGGCCATTCCATGCATTTCCAAGTAAACCGGTAGGACTAGCTACATTTACCAACTGTATAAGAGGAAGAGAAAAAGGTACAAGGTAAAGCATGATGCTGATAAAGGATGCAATCTTGATGACAATATTAACTACTGCTATTAACGAAGAATATAGCTATCATTAATTTCATCATCTATCTATCCAAAGTGAGGTAATGACATAAGTCTGAAGATAGCTAGGAGGGAATTATGTTTTTAAACTTCATGGACTACTGCCTTCTAAACGTATTGGATTGCATTAATATCTCTAGTCATGGACGATTATATTAATTCATCGGTATTATTATTGTTCCTATTCTAAGAGTATTCTAGACTTTATCATCAGGACTATTGTAATATGGTTAACTTTTGCTATGATACAATTGCTAATTCTTCCTTATCACATTCATATCAATATTCTAGACTATAACATGATAACTATTTAAGATTAATTATTTTAACAAGCTCAATTACCAATGACTTACAGTGTAATTAGCGTAATTGTTGTATTGAATAGTGAAAGAGTTAATCTTGACTCTAGCGCTATTAACAGGCTGTGAAATAGAAGCATATACATATTAGAATGATGCATAAAAGAACTGGTTTACTGTACGTGGTAACATATTTGATTATACTATAATTAATATTAATGATTTACGTACCTGATAAAATGTAATATTATTGCTAACTTTCAATCGTCTGGTTCCATCGTCAGCAGTTTGAATAGTATTATTAATTGTAGTCTGTGTGGAAAATATGAAGACAGCATTAATCATCTGGGAACGCATAGATAAAAAGAACGGAGATCTTAATTTATTATATCTTAATATACCATTGATGTTTGTGAGATCGATTTCAGAGCTGTCAAATTAGCATTTAGTTGATTCTGCAAAAATTGAATCCATTAAATATATTGGAATTTTATGATAATAGTAAATATTGATAATAAAATTACTAGTATTAAAATAATTAGCCATGCAATCTAGTTAATAATTAGAAGGATTACCTTATCTGGGATAATTTGGCTTTTAATTTTTGCGTCCATTGCTCGAAAGCTAGCAACGGCAAGATCGTATGGCTTTCTATTATTAAGCTAATATAAGCAATGAAAGCCATCAGAATTTTTGTTACTTTGTCAATTAAACATAGCTTATACGTTATACCTCAATAAATCAATTAGGGAGTTACATGTATTAGCTTACCGGGACAGTAGTAAATGATTTGAGATAATCTTCTAGCTGTTGAGCTAATTGTAGCAAATCAACACCATTGGTCATTGGCTGCTGTAGCTGTTGCCATCCAAAATGCGACCGATCGTTAGATTAAACGTTATTAAAATTTATGTTGAATGCGTATTCTCGACAATTAAGTAGGTGTTAGGATACTTACCACGTTTGAAAATGATGCATAATTGATCATTTGTGTATCCATACGATAGCGTTGTAAGCTGCTACGAAGATTAGCTGGCATAACATTGACATTATTGACAAAGTCTACAGTTTTATTTAATTGGCCATTAAGAGACTTAATTTTCTAATCAAAGTCAAATTGGAAATAATGAATTACATCAGCACAAATGTGAAAACCCTTTCATCATCTATCAGCCCATATTGCATTACATCATTGCTACTTACTGCTTGTAAAGTATCAAAAGCTACAGACCAATTATAGTAATCAACGATAGGCTGAAATGTCCTATAAAGTGAGCTGTTATGTTGGCAGTTCCTGTTATTAAAAATAAAGCATAAAGAATATTACATGCTTGCTCATAACAGATAGAGAGTAAGGATATTCAATAATGGAATCAGGTATTAACTATTTCTGACTAGTCAATCAAGCATAGCTATAAAACGATTTTCAGTAGCCAAATAAAAACAAATCAAGATTGCTAATATTGCTCCCTAGAGATTGGAATCAATTTCATTCCAACTCTTAGATATGTAAAATTAAATCAAACAGACCTGACAATGGATGAAAATTTAACTGGTGCGTTGCCATCTTTTAGCCATAAAACTCCCAATGGATATTCGCCATACGCAGTCTTATTATCAATAGTCTAGGATTCCATAGGAGAGCAATAGAATGATGGTTAGCTAGTAAAAGTAGTTTAGAATTGTGTTATATGTCTATAGCTTGAAATTAAATTATGGAACCTTCTCGAACGCTTCCAGAGAGACAATTCGTGGACAAATTAAGGCTGCATTAGAACCAGCAAATAACATGATAGCGGAAATGATGAAGAAGAAAAATCCCAAAATGATCAAGATGGATGCAGCTCTAGAATGTGCAAAATAGCATGTCAAAAAGTTAAGGTTAGAACTTAATAACCCTGGCGATAAAGAAGTTCGTTAGAATTTATTATAAATTATTAGATTCAATGTTTAAATAATTAACCATTATATTCAATGCTATATCTAAAGCTTAAAGTTTTATATAAGAGTATAAGAAAATAACATCATCGATTCCTTACGCCATTAACATATGTCCACCAGCATTGGAAGTTCGAGTTCTATTTCGTGAATCAATTCCTTTTTTATAACCAATGCAGCCTAATAGTACACCAATGTAGAGGAAGAGGGAGACAAGAATGATCACGGCTCCAAAGAAGATGAAAAAAATCATGCTAGAAATGCCAAAATTGACAAACATGAATAAATTTACGGGCTCTCATGTTTAGTACTTTATACAAATTCTATGTATATTAAAATTTTCTTTTAACTTACGAAGCATGATAAATACTAGTGGCAACACCATTAGGACCAATAGCTTCAATAACGTCTTTCTGAGTATCTTGGCTTAATAGTGGATTAAACGTCTACACAAATCACGTAAAATGTTTTAATTGTTTAGCAGCATGGTTAAATTATTCTAAAAATAGCAATCATCTCAAATATATTATCTATAATTTAGCCTTCGTTCGATAGCGGCCCACTATTTATGAATAATAATCAGTTCAACTATATGCTCTATAATTTAGCATTAACTGGATATGAACTACTTTAATCATATAGTAATCATCCCAATAAATATTCTACTATTTTATCTTTGCCATATTATCCATTCGATAGTGAACTACTTTTAGATAGACTTGACTTATAAATATTTTGTCATTTAGCAATTGGTTAACAGCGAGCAACTGCTTATAAATGACACTCAACTAAAATACTGAACTTACATCATCGGTTATTTGAACAAAAAAGTTATATTGATTGGTAAAAGCTATTCTGGCGGTAGTAATCGCTTGATTAGCAACTGTAGAAAAGAAAGATCATGTTTAAAGTTATTTATGCATCGGATTTGGTTAAAAAATTCTAGTTGAATATTTACTAAATGCAGATAAATTAAGAGATACTTTGCAAAATAATTTCATTGTCATCGTAGCTTATAGTTAGTACAGATTCGGGTAGAATTATGAAGTAGATATGGTGGCTGTTTGACATTTTTAGACGGTCAATCGCGTAAAACAATTACTCGTATCATTTCTTACCTTGCTTAGTGTTAGTCATGGCAGAAGAAACTGAAGTTGTGACTAGATTGCAACCCTAAATTAATACCGTGAAGAAAGAATGGCATGAGTAAAAATGGCATAACTATAAAATATTTTCCCAACCTATCTTACCTGAGCTGCTAGCGTTGCTAGTTTAGCAGCAATGAGTTGATCAATATCATTTTTTATATTGGTTAAATCTTGCATCTAGAAATGAATGCAATTAAATGATTTATCGTGAAAACGTCTACATAAGATAGAACGCATCGTTCGCTTTAAAGTATACCTGAGAGAAATCTGCTGAAAATTGAGCTGTGTTAACATTGATTGTAAAATTAGAACAAGCATTGCCGCAAAATACGATAGAATTGGTAATGTTGGTTCTTGCATCCGCTAAGGTCTTGCTAATTTCTTGCTGTAAGCTGATCAATCGATTTCTTTGATGCATGATATTTCGTATGTCTGAACTAGTTTGGGCCATATCTAAAGGATTGGCACAATCATTTAAGAATTCAAGAAGCAAAGCGCGGCAATTTATAACGTGTTTTTGTCGATATTTATCATGATATACATCTTCCTATCTAGATCAATTAATTCAATAAATATACTACTGTTATTTATTTCCCCTTTTTTGTAGATAATTATCATGCTATACACTTTCCTATTTTGATTACTTAATTCAAGAAATGTACTAAAATTATTTACTCCACATTTTGGTAGGTATTCTTATGATCTCTGCGCGTACTAGAGTTATTACATGATTTGGTAGATATTTATCATCATCTATACTAACGTTATTTCACATTTTGCTAAATATTTATCATCATCTATACCACAGTTATTTGACGTTTTGATAGATATTTATCATCATCTATACTAAAGTTATTCCACGTTTTAGTAGATATTTATCATGATATACAGCGTCCTAACTCGATCATTTTCTAATCTACTTACTAATTTGAATATTCTTAACGTTATTGACAATGGTTTGTTCGTTAGAATGGCAAACAAAATCGTTAATACTTGTAGGCAATCCTATAGATTTGATCCAATGTAATAGTAATAGTAAAATAGTTTTAAAAATAAAGAAAGCGAATCATTTAGATGCTAGAACGGCTATTTGTAAGCGCGTACTATCAGCTGTATTACAAGTTAATCAATTAAATCTATATACCATTAACTCTGACAGAGACTTGATCCAGCATGAAATTCGATTTAGTAACCACAATGTCTTGAATTTGCTATATTGTAAAATATTCAATTTGTATAGTAAACCAATTAAATAAGCGGATTAGCATATGAAATGATAGAATCAATTCTCTAATACTATATTCACATGATAGGCAATTGTAGGCTAAATTTTGAAAACGATATTACAAATGAGCGTCAATAATGTGCGGTAATTACTAAAATAGATGATGACAATTTTAGTGCTAAATAGATAGAACAGCAACATCCATAAATATCATCTGTCTCTACCTATACTAAATTTGCGGCATAAAATTGACATTACTGTAGTGATTGAAATTGTTGCCAGGTCATATGGCATTCTATCGAGTAAATCACTCTTATATCACTGGAATAATCAGTCAATTCTACTAACATTTTTTCCTTTATCGACAAAACTTTGTACATCTGTTCTTGCTTTTTGAACTGTTGGTAGACCAGTGCTATAAGCATAGAGCAATTCGCTAACAGCAAAGATGGAGCAAATCCCTCCGGCCCTGGCAAAGGAAATCGGAAAAGAATTTAGTATCAGACAACTTGTTTATAGCATTTTGTTTTAATGGCTTTAATGTAGGAATTAGAAAAAGCTAAAAAAAATTCTATCGCTAGCTATGAGCCACTGGCTGTTTTGGTTAGACGTTAATATATAGGAAGTTTTATATACGAGTAGAATAAAAATAGATGGGGCAATAGATCAGCTTATTAGTCTTGAACTGCTCAATGTAATTATTTAACATCGATAGCAAAGATAGATCGAATGACTGCATCAGAGATTGCGATTTATCAAATGGGAAAATAAGAGAAACTTGATATAGAGTCCGGTGTTTGCAAAAGAAAATAATTCAAAAAATGACCAAGTGTCTATCTAATATCTTATTGCAACAGTCAGTCAGAAACCAAAAGTTCTTTCGAAATGACTATGAACAAGATCCTTGAATGCGTCTTGTACAAATGGGATCATCATGGTAAAGAGGTATTTAGCTTACTCTGCATGGTTAAGAATTAGGGGGTAAAAGGAGAAATGAATAAACTGATGCAGATGGAATAAATAGGGATGATAATAAGTTACTTTATTAAGGAAGAATCTAGGAATAAGAACAGTAGAAGAATAAGCTGTATTGGTTAGAAAATGAACTACTATTTGCTTGATATCCTCATTCAACAGTCAGGAAGAAACAAGCAGTCCCTTGGATATGGCTGAGAACGATATCCTCATTACGAGTTTCTACCCATCGCAAGTAAAAGGGAAGATGGAAATGACATTCATTTACTTACAAGATGAAGGTAGCAAATATAACCAACCAAAAGGAATAACAAAAACGCGTATATCTTTCAGTTTTAGGGGGTCTTTGAACCAATTCGCCACCACAATTTCCTTGACATCGGCAAATACAGAAAATGAGGCCGACAATTGGCAAAACGATACCGATGATTATTCCTAGAATGGCCATAGCCCAAAATGGTGCCTCATATTCTGCAGCCTAGTGTATAGAAAACAATTTGCATTAATTCATTTTACATCACTTGGAATTTTCCTTCATCGACTACATTCATATCCGTTGCCTTGACTGGAGATTGAATGCAATAAGTTATACAAGGATACTTTCTTTGCTTACCTGAGCTACTAATAAAGTAATAGTATCGCGGTTAAAGGTAAAACCAGTAGCACTACCAGTGGAAGGAATAACTTTGGCACCTTTCAGGACGCTGTTGATTTGAGCTAATCATTAAGAATCAAGATTGAAAGAATGTTTAAAAGCGAAACGTTAAACATGGATTCAGTTCTAGTGATGATGAATAATTATAATAAAGTTTTTTTCGTTAGATTATAAAGTAGCTGATGATGGATTAAGAAGAAGGAAGATAGATCTTTGATATAGTTTAAAGGAAGAGGTAGTCAAGAAAGTTGTTCTTTAATACTATTATCTAATTAAAAACAAACACAAAAGGTAGCCATAGAAAGTCTAATTGAATTACTCTTCTATCCTTCACTTTTATATAGTAAATTGATTGAAAGTGATATTTTATCAATTTTAATAATAACTTGTCCTTCGAATCAATATTGAAAGTAAAATGGCTTCATTTTCAATTTGAGTTCAAGTAATGTTCAACAGCTCCAGCAGGTAAATTAGAGTAATTTAAAGTATTTATAATTAAATTCTTTCCTAAACATTAAGAGTAATTGTACAAAAATCAGCTTCGGATGATCACAACATAGTCGTCATTGCTTGAAAATTATTTATAATTTGCTACTACTCCGTTGGTTAAGACGCGTAAACTACTCTTCTTCAATATCAGATTATCGATAAAATAAAACTATCCATCTCTTTCTACCATATCGTTGTCATATTGAAATTTTAAACGCAGTAGTCTTTCCCATTTACGAGCTACATTTTTCTTTAATTGACATTGACTAATTGACTATTCGTCCTGCCTGTCGAGTTATCAATAAACAAAAACATCCATCTTCCTCTACAATATCACTGATATCTTACAATTTTAAAAACGGACGGGTTCGGTACTTTTATCGAGCTACAGTATTCCTACTTGAACTCTTTCCTAAAGGTTAAAACTACGTTCCAAAAAAAATCAGCTTGAGAACACTGCGCTAGCATCTCGTGGTAATGACTTCAAGAATCTCCACCATGGAGTACTACTACATTGACTAATTGACTACAGTGCTCGTCCTCCCTTTCAATAAAGTAAAATAAAATGTCCATCTTCATGGACGATATCATATTGCAATTTTTAACGCGTAGTTTTCCTTATTTCCGCGCTACACTATTCCTACTTAAACTCTTTCCTAAACGTTAAAACTGCTTACCCCAAAAATTAGCTTTAGAACATTGTACTAACATTTCATTGTAATCACTGAAAGAATCTCGATGGGCTAATTGGCCATAGTACTTATCCCTCCAAGTTATCAATAAAATAAAGTAATATCTTCATGGACGATATTGCTGTCATTTTACAATTTTAAACGCGCAGTTTTCCCTATTTCCTAGCTACAGCATTCCTACTTAAACTCTTTCCTAAACGTTAAAATTACGTAGCAAAAAATCAGCTGGAGAACACTATATTGTACTATGTCATACTCTAACTTAAGAATCGCCATAGACTAATCAACTAAGGTATAGTACTCATCCTCCGTATCAAGTTAGCAATAAAATAAAATATTCTTCTCCCTTGAAGATATCACTGATATGTTACAATTTTAAAGTCAGTAACGTTTTTCCTATTTCCGCAGTCTTTGTTAGAAAGAAAGCCGAAAGTGATTATCCAACATTTTCCTCTATGTAAAACTCAATTATCGCCATTATTTTTTTCTATTAAGAGAGAGATTGTTCTTAGCCATCATTAGAATCGATTGTATCAAGCACTTACCATAAGGTAAATCGTTAGGTTGAAGAAAGAAAATGAAATCTTTGACCATTTTATAAAGATAGACGGTAACGACTTCCACTATAGGTGTAGTATCAGGATTACTTTGAGGAGTTGGCATTGTTGGCAATTCTGCCCAAACGATTACACCATTCGGTTGGATATAATTTTGTGTCTGAGCTTGAACGACATAGTTGTAGGTAGAAGAGAGAAGTAGAAAGTACAAGACACCTGAGATAGCCTTAGAAAGATTAACAGCCATGATTGAACAGCGTTAGAAATTGTGATCGGAGAAAGAATAGACGAAGAGAAAATGATTAATCTTGTTGGCAAAAGAAGAAGCAAATTGTCAATGTCAAAAAAGAGAACTTTATCCAAGTGGAGATCAAGGCACAGTTGGTAAAATTTGTCTATCGCTTGTTAATGATTTTTTGCTTAGCAGTCTGTTATCCAAAACGTGTTAATCTTTCTTCTTTTGGATCTTCTTCCTGTCGAAGGATAAATTGATGTTGATATCAAGATAATATTCTATCTCGATATTTTCCTTTTTTCACCAACTGCTTACCCTCGGCCAGGGCTATCAATTACATCGACGAAAGCAAGTCCTTCTCTCTTATTCTGTGTTTATTTTCTTTGGCGTGATCTTAGCAACGCCTCCTGCATGCATTTTTCTCTCAACTCGTTGAATAAAATGAACTCATTACTATGGTAACTTATCAATGACGATATCACCATTAACTCGCTAATCTGTTGCAATTATTCTAGCATCAATCGATTAGGGTATGAAGGACAATGTAAAGGCCATGAGTAAAGCCTCCTTTCCAATTGATCCTTATTTGCTTTTTATTGTCCATTAAATCAATCAATGGACGCTTATGATTGGATTGTTATTTTAATATGAAAATAGACCAAAATAAATGGCTGCCCATTTTAACTCCTTTTAACCAATCCAATCGTCGCATTGGATATTGAAATTGGATGATTCCATGCTATTCTATCGGGGATTTTAGCGATTGATGGTAGGTAAGAGCTAAGATGAGCCGATGTCAATGTGATTTATCCTCCTATCGGCTCTTTTTTCCCCTCAATAAAAACATTCCACATGAGTGATCATCATGGAAACTCGATAAAGTATCACAGAGAGGAAACTGGAAAAAGCAATACGTCCACTGCTTGTAGTATTCTTTGTACAAAGTCAATTCATTCCTCTTCTCCGTGTAAAACTATATCTATAATTATAATTCATGCAAGATGTTTAAAGTATCTTGGAGACATTACTCTTGTCGGAGGAGATTTATTACTCTTCTTCTCCAAACACGCGTAAAACTGCATCTGCAATGAAATAGAAAGTTCTATCATAGACTTTACTTACTCGTCTAGGCAGGTATAAACTGTCTCTAAGACGTTATACGTAATCTTCTCATATGCACTATTTGTACTTTTCCCAGAAGACATTTACTATTCTTCTTCTCCAAGTAAAATTGCATATGCAATAAAACAGAGAGTTCTATCATCGACTTCTTTTACTCGTCTTGAGAGATATAAACTATCTCCGAGATTTTATACATGCTTAATCCATGGCACTATTTACAGTATTCTCTACAAGAAGTTCATTTATTCTTCTTCAGATTAAACTATAAGAGTGGCAATAATACGAGTAAAATAACCTCCAAGATGTACGTACCTCGGAGAGGAAATAGGTAATGTTATATGCATTAGTTATACATCGTATTCTCTATAATAGTTCAATTTGCCTTCTCCTCCAAGTAAAATTACATCATTTATAATAATAGAGCAACCCTTATATAGTACCGCAAATACGAGGTCCATGCACTCTTCTTCTCCAAGTAAAAACTACGTTATCTGCAGTAATAGAATAGAATAGTATAACTTTGATAAAGTACCCCGGACAGGGAATATGCGAACTTATATCTGTTACTATTAGTATTCTCTACAAGACTTCGATTTATTCTTCTTCTCCAGCTCAAACCACATCGGTAATAATTACATTATAACAACCTCTATAGGGTACCTCGGATAAGAAATACTTATATGTATTATTTACTGCATTCTCTACAGCAGCTGGATTTACTCTTCTCCAGGTAAAACTACACCATTCATAATAATGAAACAACCTGTATAAAGTACTACGGATAGCGAATACGCAATCTTGTGTGCATTACTTGTAGCATTCTCTACAAGAGATCAATTTCTTCTTCTTCTCCTGCTTACATCACATCAGTAATAATTATTTTAATACAATAACCTCGTTATGGTACCTCGGATAGGGAATACGTAATCTTATGTTCGGTATTCTCTGCAAGATGTCAATTTATTCTTCCACGGGTAAAACTACGCCTTTCATAATACTAGAATAACCTCTAGAATTAACCTCGGATAGGGAATACTTAATTGTATATGTATTACTTGTAGCATTCTCTACAAGTAGTCAATTTATTCTTCTTGTCCAGCTCAAACTTTATCAGTAATAACAATTATAATGCAACCTCTATATTAGGTACCTTGGATAGGAAATAAGTGATCTTATTCTCTACAGGTAAAAACTACATCATTCATAAATAATAATACAACAACCTGTATATAGTGTCTCGGACAAGGGATATAAAATCTCATGTGCATTACTTATAGTATAACTATAAGAAGTCAATTTATTCTTCTCCAGGTAAATCTACATCATTTATAATAATAGAATAACCTCTATATAGTACTTCGGATAGGGAATACGTAATCTTACGAGTATTACTTGTGGTATTCTCCGCTGGAGGTCAATACACTTTTCTACTCCAGGTAAAAACACATCAGTAACAGTAATAGAATACGTCGTAGAAAATCTTCTATGAAACATCTCGGATAGAGAATACGTAATCTCATGTGCACTATTTTTAATGGACCCATAAAAGAGGCATTATAGAATTAATTGTTAATGCAGTCAATCAATTGAATAATAAAAGTGTCAATTATCGAACATCCATTATATTGAATCATTTTTGATTGGCATGTCTATTTATAATAATATTACTCTTATTCAATGACATCATTGCATCTTGATCATCATTATGAAGGTTTAGACTATGAATTTATTCTATTTCTCTGATATATACAAATCGATATCTTACTGAAGGCAAAAAACTGTCGATATGATTGATTAACATCTCATTTGCATCATCCATTCTTCCTACCACCTCATCTCCATAGAATTAACTAAAGTATGTCTAGGACTTTAGGTATTGTATAAAATAATTTACCATATTTGGTCATTATTGTACCCATTAAATAGCTTTTGTTGCAAAGGCATCGGTAATCGATTTTAAATATATCCTAATGACGTAGTGGTTATAAGGCAAAACGATGCTCTAAGTAGATAGGTCTGGTTTGCTACTACTAATACTAGTACCAACTAGTCGTTGCAGCTAGAATGATAGGCAAAACAGTCTGGATGGGCTATAGGTATGCATATTGAACTATTATAGTATAGGTATGATCATGACCTTTACGATGGATGGGAAAGAGAACAGATGATATTGATTGTAAATGGTATCAGTATGCTTGTAAATAGGTTGCAAGCATATTTTCACCGAGTACTACTATAGATGTGGCCATGATAGTATTTATGAGCTAGCTATGCCGGCTGTGATGATACACAAGAGAGTATACAAGTCTTTCCGCGCTAAAATCACTCATTTCGCCTTATAGCTGTATGGGAATTAAACTACCTTGGCTCAATTGGTATAGGTAATCCATTAATTCTATAGAGATATGATTACCTTAAATGATGCAAAACTCTGTTCTCTCAGTCGCTGCTACTATATTATCTAGTGTTTGGTGTTTATAAGGGACACGTAAAAATAAATCACAGGAATAAGGTTTGCATGCTTGATTATATATACATACTCGTATGTATATAAGCCTATTAAATATAATATAATAGCTAAATGTCATATCGATCATATAAATTGACTTTATTGACTATTAATGTAGGAATAGAATCACAGCAATGATGATATGCAAGATGGCATATACAGTATTTAATCACACCTAAGCAGTACGTGAATATAAGGCATTCATGCTTGATTATAGCTGAATCCCATCTCGATCAGATAAATTGACACCATTGACTATTATTGCAGGAATAAAATTACGGCGATGACGATATGTACTTGAGCTTATAGAGTAGATTTTAATCATACCTAAACAATACACAGATACGAAGCTTTCATACTTGATTATAGCTGTATCATATCTCGATCAAACAAATTGATACTATTGACTATTATTGCAGCAATGAAATCACAACTATGATAGTATTTACGAGAGCACATACAAGAGATTTAAATATGCCTAAGTGAAATACGGGCGTAAGATGTCAAGGCTTAATTGTAGCTGAATGTCATTTCCATCAGAGAAATTAGCAGTTAGAGCTTTGCAAATAACGAGCCATTTCTGAATTGACTACTATCCACGTAATATACTTTTGATTTACTGCATAAAATAAAACATTGACCGCGTATGTTACAGCGTTATAAATAATTAGCCGATTTTTAATTTTATTACTATGTAAGATACTTTTAGTTTACAACACGAGCTAAGGCGTCGGTCGAGATTCAATCGTATAACTTCATACTGAAAAATTCAAGTGTGGATTATCGCTGGCTAAAACACTACTATGGAGGTACATGCACTGACCATCTCTGCTTTAGAAGGAGTTTCATTATTCGTAACATCTGACAACGTACGGTGTAAAAATTATAATTTAAGAGTATCTGTATACCTTTGTACTAACAAGGTAGTAGAAATTTTCTATATTATAAATAAATCATCTATTGCCCAAATTCTATATCATTACAAAATGCGACGGATGTTAGAACATCAACTTTGTAATATAGGACAAAGTCATCTTTATTGCTAGCTAATGATGCAAATAGAGAATCAATTACCTTATCTATAATTTTTAGGATTTGCTTGCAATAAAGCAATAATTCATTCCTGTTTTAATTAGGTCTTTATTAGCTGTTTTAATTTTAAATTGAATTGATTTCTTAATAATATTTTAATAGATAACGTATTAATTATTAACGGAACAAAACATACTAGAATGGATCAAAACTATTTTAAAAACATTTCAATTTTTCTGTTTTGCTTGAAATACCATTAGAAACATTTTAATTATTTACTCACAGTATTATAAGCTCCTTGGTTCATAAAATATTTTATTCGGTCGTTTTCCAATCGGTAATAATGCTATAGCATACTGTACATCATTCTCTGGAAATAATCAATAGTAAAACTTTCATTAAAAAAGAAGATACGAATAAAGCCATAGGCATCATATTCCGTAGTTAATATTAATTCTTGTTATCTTTCAACTTAATTTATCCATTTCTCATTATATATCATGTAGTTATTTTTTTATCAACAAGTAATGGGAAAGCTCTGTTATAGACGGATAGCTTATTGTGGTAAATATATGTTTGTATCAGCAGTAATTAAAATCCCTATTGTCCTGTAGTAAATATTATAAATACTTGAAACAACAAGGAAATGATTGTCTTGAAAGCGATCTCAAAATGCAAAATGGTTGCTCCCTTCTATGCACTCCTATTCACAATCATTCTTCAGAGTTCTTATAAAATTATAATCAGCATACTTAACGAGTAAAATAGCCTAATGATGATAACCTGATTGACGGATTCAGATATCACAGCAACTATATAGAAATTAAAATCAATAAACAATCATTAATTTACGATTAACTGAAAATTGATAAGCGGAAAAATGAAAACAACTCCAGAAAACATTAAAATCCATTATCAGCATAGCTAAGGGCGCATAATTGATGATATCCTCAAACTCGTAATCTTTTATAGAGTTACAGTAGACTATGCATAAAAATATTGTAAAGTAAAAAGTACAAGTACATCCTATAAGCAAACTATCATAATGCATAAAATATAAATAAGAGGAGAGAAACAGTCATTTATATTATAAATAGGGGATTCGGTCGTTGGTCTTTGCTCACTTTATTCTACTTTGGCTAATTGAAAATGAATTGTACTTCAATTAGTCTGTTGGGTCATGCAATTGATCATTAAATAGAGCATTACTTAGCTCTGTTACTTTCTCTCGAAAGTTATAACGTCTTTGTTGATAACCGTTGATATCGAGTCCTATTTGCAGACTACCTTCATGATTTGGCGTACTGAATATGATAGCTATGAGGCAGTAACATCATTTTTGATAATCATTTCTACACAGCTTAATAGCTTACATAGAGTAAAATGACAGAATAGGTATGCTTTGATATGGACTGTATTGAAAAGAATTCATTCTACTGTATCTTGAATTTACTCATTCTCTGAATAAGATAAGTTTAGATATGTATTAGATATGATTTATATTCGAAAGGTTCTGTCTTACCGCATCTTGATTATAACGCATTCTTTGGATTGAAGATATTCAGCTATATAAATGAAGAAATCTTTTTAATCTTAATAACTTACATAGAGTAAAATAGTAGGATAGGTAGGATGTTGCACTATGAACTGTATTGGAAAGAATTGATTCTACTGTATTTTGATTTTACTCATTCTCTGAATAAGATAAATTTAGACATATATATTTTGTATTTAGATATGGTTTGTATTTAAAAGGATCGATCTCACCGCATTTTGATTCAACACATTCTGCGGATAACAGTAGAGTATTCTTGATAGCATAACATCCAGAAATAAATCGTTATAAACTTTGCTGACATTGATGATGAATAAGCTGAATATAAGTTGTATTATATTTAGATAGGGTCTGCGTTGAAGAGAATCAAAGTATAGAGTATGCTGACGTTTCTCATTCTCACGATAAGGATCAAGTATTCTTTGATAGCATTGCATCAAGAAATCAACCGTTGTAATCTTTACTAATATTGATAATAAGTAAGCTTGAATTTAGACATACTTATGTTATATTTAGAGAAGGTATGCGTTGGAAAGGATCAAAGGCTACTGTATCTCGATTTTAGTCATTCTCAGAATGACCTTAACGTATTCTTTGATAGCAAGGCATAAAGAACTAAACTGAAATTATCTTTGCTAGTATTGATGACGTTAAAAGGAAATTTCTTTGGCGTATCGTATTCAATTAACATAGTGTATTTAATAAAGTAATTTTTCTATTAATATTGATAATTAACTTTTGATGATTAATATTATTTTATGACATCTCTCTATATTATACTTTATTCAATGATATAAGCTATCTTTTATGCACAGTTGCAGATATAAATCTGCTGGAGCATTCATTAAATTATTCCTTCGTTTAATTTGAGGTCAATTGATGTTAATAATTTATAACTCATCTTTTAATTCAGAATTCAATCATATCTAGAACATCTTTAAAATAAAGTCTTTCATAGACTAACCGCAGACATGAACTCATTCGATTGAATTCGAATAATGCCTCCTGATTGAGCTCAATTGTAGCATTCCTAGCCCATCTCTTAGGTATCAAGATGAAGATAGAGGGTATATTAAGAAAATAGAACGGAGCAATTGAACCATCTAGCTACCCTCGATTGAAATTCTATCTTAAAACAAATACGATTGAGCACTTGAATACGGTATTCTATCCCTTGATTTGACCTAACTTCACTATCTTTTAGCTTCAATACTTTATCCATTTTGATGGGATCCAGCTCCCCTCGGCTGAAACTCTATCCTAAAACAAAATACAACTGAGCAATTGAAGTATTCTTCAATTCGATATTCTATCCCTTGATTCGACCTAATTTCACTGTCTGTAGCTTAGAATCTTAATCTATTTGGACGGGATCCAGATACTCTCGATTGGAACTCTACCCTAAAACAAAATGCAACTGAGCAATTGAAGTATCCTTCAATTCGAAATTCTATCCCTTGATTCGACCTAACTATCTGCAACTTAGACACTTAATCATTTTGATCGTTCTTCAATGCTATATTTTAACCCTAGTCCTCTGTAGATGTATCTCCATTATAACTTTAGAAACTCAGTCCATTTGGAAGGCCAGATACAACTGAGCAATACAACCACTCTTCAACCCTCATTATTCTATCCCTTGATTGAATCTCAATCAACTTTTCATTTCGCAATCTTTCTTAATTTCTTTTAGAAGAGATCTAGCTCCCTCGACTGCAATTCTACCGTCAATAAAATACAACTGAGCAATTGAAGCATTCTTTAATGCGATATTTTAACCCTAATTATCTACAGAGGTATCTTCATTACGACAATAGAAACTTCATCGATTTGGAAGGGGCCAGATACAACTGAGCAATGTAATCACACTTCAATGTTGTATTCTATCCCTTGATAGAATCTCAATCAACTTTTCATTTGCCTGTCTTTCTCAATCCATTTTAGAAGAGATCTAGCTCTCTCGACTGCAATTCTACCCCCAAAACAAAATAGAACTGAGCAATTGAAGCATTCTTCTATACGATATTCTAACCCTAATTCTGTGTAGAGGTATCTTCATGACGATTGTAGAAACTCCATTGATTTGGAAAAGGCCAGATACAATTAAGCAATGCAACTACTCTTCAATACCATATTCTATCCCTTGATTGAATTTCAATCAACTCTTCCTTCGGTATCTTGGTGAATTAATAGCTTGCCATTCTAGTCAAGTCAATTATATTTAATTAGAATGACAGAAAATGGGATTGGCTTGGTTATTCTTGATGATACTGTATTCAAATCCAATTGAATTGTTTTTATTCTGTTAGCATGATGAAAGCTAATAACGTCTATTATGGCTCCAATGTAAATCATCATGATAATAGCACGAGGAAAGAAAAATAAAATCCCATTGCTATACATTGCTAACTTAACTTATTATGTAATCATTTAAGTGTGATGAAGAAAACAACTTGCAATCATTGTTTCCCTAACGTCAGGAGTTATTGATTAAAGGAAGAAAAAGGAGATGCTAGCCTAGTCAGGAAGAAAAATAACCTAGACAATCGCCATTCAATCCAATAATTTGCTTCAAAAGACAACAACAATGATTACATTGGGAAAAGATTCCATTCTTGCTGAACAATATCCAATGTATGTATAATTAATGTATATCGACAATTCAACAGTATACAAACTAAGTCAAGATCGATTTGAATTGCAATGGATGAGAATAAGACATGAACCACTTAAACCTTTGTCGCCAAACTATACTAGCTTACAGACATCACAAGGAAAACTACAACACAACAGCTTGTTTTTCTCCTCATTTTCCAACATGCTAATGATGGACAAAAGAAAGGCCTAACGCCATTTTTTTTTTCATGAATATTGACGTCGGGATAGACTATTGTTCTTATCCTACGGTGTTGCTCATCATTGGCAAAGTGATTACCGTAGGCCATTTTTCCTTCATTTATTCTCTTCTTCTCCCTTGACGCAACGCTTTATATATTACGATTGAATATCTACTGCAATTCATTACATCGGAATGGTGTAAATTAATTAAACGATAAAGTTCGACAAAAAGAAAAGCTAAATTGACTCTATTCTACCACGACAAGAGGAAAAAAATTTGCCATCATTTTTTTCTCTTAGATATCCCATTTGATGCTTATTAACCATTGCATCCCTCTCTTCTTCTCTTGATTGGCATTACTGACTACCACTGCAGAAGAAGACTTCAATTTTAACTAACTAATCTATTTCGCCATTATTATTAACCATTTATATCTTGGAGAAAGTTACTTAACATAGTTAATATCACTTCAATCATGTCCAAATTTCAAGTCGGCATTTTAACCTTCTTGGTTTTGGCTATCCACACGGTATACGGACAAAATACGACAACCGTCAATAATGGCGTCATTACTTTTAGCCAACTACCAACCATTGGGACTACTCAATCCAATCCCAATGATTATGTACCAGAATCCAATTTAGCCACCTTATATGCTATGGCAAAAGGCTTTACCAATGCCCTCATTCCTGGTCATCTACCCTATAGTAAGTACTTAATGCTAAAAAAAGTGACTTTGCCTATTTCCATCGCTGATCCGTGATCGATTTGGACACCACTTGCTGTCTACAGTATATTTACCCAACAATTTCATTTCCGACAATTTCCGTCAATCCTTTACCCTTCTCGTGTTTGTAAACCTTCATCAATTCGGTCAAGAAGATCAGATATGGACCGTTATTTCTACAGTGACTAACTGACTAACTGTTCCACTACAGTAGAACAGTTTAAGTATAACCATCTACTTTATAATGTATTTTTTTCATTCTTTTTCCTATCCTCCTATTCCCGTTAATCAAGAGGATAGTGTAATTAACCAAAACTTTCATCTTTTAATTGACAACAACGGCACTTTAAATAATAATGCGGGGCATCTCTCTATTTCTCTCCTCTTCACGTTGACTATCCTTCATACCCGTTAAACTCAGAAGTATCAAGAGAAATAAAGATGCGATAGTCAATTTCATTTTTAAAACCCTATCCATAACCAAAATAGTGTCGTGAACGAAAGTTTTTATCCTTTTGATCGACAACGACGGCACTTTAAATAAATAATATTCCGGGATATCTCTCCATTTCTCTCGTCTTCATCTTGTCTATCGGTCGCGCCTGTTCAACTTAGAGATACCAAGAGAGAGATGAAGATGCGATAGTCAATTCTAATTTTTCTTTCCTGCAAAATCAACTACGCACTTTAATTTCAAAATAATTTGCAAGGGGAAATACTAAAGTAAAGCTCGCTTCAAAATATGAATGCAGGGTTATCCTCGTTCTATTCCATATCAGCAATCAATTTCACGGATTTTTGTAAACATAAAAATAAGCGTTCCATGTGGAATAATACTTTCTTAACTGCCTTTCCAAATTAACAACGAATACCTCTAGGCCCTATAGCAATAATTAATTGTCATCCTTACGATATGAAATGTTTATTATCTTACGTTGGGCATATTTTATCCTCCTTCCATTCGCTTTCCATGCCCTCCATAGATTATTGTTAACATAAAAAATGGACCTTTAAAAGCAGAAATATACTTTCTAAGCTGCCTTTCAAAGTTAACAACCATGGCTTAGAGCAATAAATTGCCGTCGTTACTATGATGAGAGATGTTCAATATCTTACTTTGAACATTTTTTATCCTCTTTCCATCAACCTTCTATTCTGTAGATATTCGTCAATATTAATTTGATCATTAAAAGTAGAAAAAACACTTTTTAAGCTACCTTTTAAAGATAATGACTCTGATTTACCGCAAGAACTGGACGTAGTTTATATCACTGGAGATGTTTACCATCGTATCAAGATATCTTTTCTCCTCTTTCCGTTAGCCTTTACCTTCCTGTGTTCCATAGCCTTAAATTGATCATTTCAATGTAGAATAGCCTTTCTTGGCCATCACTACAGAAATGGATTATTTAAAGGATAACGTTTCTCCTTTTTCCGTTAGCTTTCATTATGGTGGGATTCGTTGACATTAATTTCACCATTCAATACAGAAAAAGATTTCCTTGGCTAGCCTTGATAGTAAATATTAATGGCTTATTCTAACACTTTACTGTCGTTAATATCACTCCAAATGGTTCGTATTTCATGAACACCTTTCCTTCTGTCTCTGCTAGACTGCAATTTCACGTAGATTCATTAACATCAAATGCATCTCTAAATACCCTAAATTTTCTTGCCTGTCTTTCCAAGTTGACAACAATGGTCCGTTCCAATAGTTTACCTTAGTTAATATCCACGGCAATGTCCATTAACGCCTGTGCGATCAGTTTTTGCTGACTTTTTGATCCGCTTCGTAAGCATAAACCTGGAAAGGGACACGTTATTAGGCAAATGAATCTGAATTTCCTTTTACCGTAATCGTGAACCAACCTAGACCGAACTCAAGAGCCATGATTTATTACGATATCATATTACCGATAAAACCCTAGAGTGCTATAAATAATTTTAATAGTAACAATCAAAATTTAGTTCCGATCGACTGCCAAAAATTAAACATCAAAAATCCATCCTGTCCTATTGAGTTAACCCTTTGACAACACTTTACCCATTCTGCAAGCGTTTTCCTCTCTTTTACTACATCCAAAACCTACCGTAGTCTATACGTAATGGATTCTATCGATAGAATCTATAATTTCTACTAAATTTCAAGAGGACCCTTATTTCATTTAAATTTACCTACTTCAAATTAAGCTCATAAACCAATTGAATTCATTATTTAGTCGAATTGCATTCTGTATTCAATCCAACATCTTCACTCAATGATTTTCTCTTCTATTTAGCGTTCATGGTCGGTATCCTCAGCAATTTACAAACTCCTAATGACATCTTAACCTATGTGACGACAAATTATCATTCGGTAAGACATGGATTCAAATGAAATTCAATGGCAATATTGATTCCTGTATAACTAAGCGTAACTTGTTGTTCTTTATTCTTACCTGTAAACCCTTACCCAAATGAAATGGATTCCAATATAATCAACAACAATATTGCCATAGTTAACCTCAAAAGAAGTTGGTTTACTCGCTTGTGTGGCTATCGGACTCCTAATTGGTGTTCTTATGCCTATTGTTGGATTAATATTTTGTTGCTGTCGAATGTGTGGTAAATGTGGTGGTGCCATGGTTCAAACCCATAAAAAGAGATCTCATTGCTACTGCTATACCATCTTCTTGGCCATTTTTGCTTCTATTGCCTTGTAAGTATTAGCTCAAAATGATCCACATTTATGGATTTACTGGACATAACATCAACCCGATGACTTTATACTCGATCAAGATAATAAATAGTATTTATTGAGTATAATTACTTTTGGTGATCCATTAGGGCCGGAGGAATACTCAATATTCTCACTGATAAACATATCATGGCCACCGTTCCATATGTTAATGGTGTCGCTCAAGAAGCGATAAGTGATCTCAACCGATGGAAAAACACAGCTACCGCGGTAAGACTCAATTACCTTTTGCAGCAGTAAACTACGTGAATAAACCCTTTTCTCGTCCAATCCCCATTTCTTATAGTTATAGATGATTAGCTTAGGGTAAAAGAATGATTAACACATATTCTATATATTGTTTTGTATTCGACGCATATACGCTCGCATAACCACAATATAGCAAATTGAAACCTTAGCTGGACCTCAATTAAACTATACAGCGGATCTTGTCAAAGCTGACTTAGGAGATGCAGGTACCAATAGAATAAATAATTATCCTATCAGAAAGTAAATGCCATTTTCATCATAATAATGATATCCAGTTTTGTATCCCTTAAATATGGATTTTATCTGTTATAATTTCAAATTTAGCCGTCAGAAGTGAATTAGGTGCACCCCTCCAAGTCGCTGTGGAACCTCATGCAGATTCTTCTATCGTAACTGTTACTAATATATCGAAGAGTAAGTTTATGTTTCCATTTTTACTAGTTTATGATGTATCCAAGACACTCCGTGATTGATAAATATGAACGATTGATGTATTCAGTTTTATTGTGTAATAAAAATTGCAATAATTTAAACTCTATCATCTCTCATCTACAACTGTAAAAAATTGAATTTCGCTAAAGGATAATCCAACAAACTTATGCGCTTACTTTCATTTGCAGCTGTTAACGATACCGCTGACGAACTCAATGCCATCAACGCTAGGAGGACTCAACTTGTAGCATTGCAAACTTCATTAACTAATGAAGTCAACAAGGCAAAGACTGATTTAAATTCGGCCATAAGTGATTGCAATACACTTCCAGGCAGTCCCTGCAGTGACATCGATACCTCAGTAATCAACGTCAATGTTGATTATGGAACGGTACGTATACCAACATTAAAAGTAAATCGATGATGATTTCCAGATGAATGAATATCGATAAAATGAAATGATTTCAGTTACCAAGTATCGATAGTCAAATCGCAGAAGTCCAGAAAGTAAGAAATCTTGGCCTAACAAATATGGCATCACAGGTACGGAATCATATCTTATGCGCCAAACGCAATAATTTACTCTTCTATTAGCTTGTATCATTGCCGATTTGTTTCAAGATACCATTAAAAATTTATCTATCAAATTTTCCTATATTGAAGGAAAATATTTTGTACAATCCTATACAAACAATCATTTTTTTCATGCTATACCGTGCTAGGCTCAAAGTGAAATTAGGAATTTGCCTGACACAGTGGTAACACAAACAAGCGCCACTCGAAGCAGTATGTTATAACTGATTTATTGCATCATGACAAGACTAGAGTTGCTCACTTTTTCCTAGATAGCAATAAATAGGCTGCTCTATCTCTCTAAGGAATTAAGTTATAACCTGATCACTTTATATTGAATCAATTTAGGTGTTGTCACTAGTGTTAATACACTACAATCGCAAGCTGGATCTCAAGTTGCAACCATCACTCAACCTATTAAAAATGTAAGGATAGGGTTAGCGTTTATTTTATGAAGCACAGAGATAGATCGGTGATCCGATAATTTACTATTGAATTATTCCAAATCGAATGACTGTAGATTAGCATGCTGAAGCATTGATAAATTACCGTACTTTTATATACTTCATGCTACTTATAATATCAAGTATTATTGTAAGATATTAATAGGTAACTGTACTTTGCCATACGGTACTTACTCGTACAGTGTGAATTTAAACGAATGAAATATTTTAATATCTTTTGTTGATTTACCAGCCATAAAATACAGTTCAAAGCTAATTTTTTTGTACGGTATATTATATTCCAGATTGATTTTAGCACTTTTTATACTCCAATCGCTAATGCTCTGAATGGCATTACCAATTCCGATGCCTATAAATACGCGTAAGTGCAATTTCGGGATTGAATTTAAATTGATTATACATATATCCTTAGTCATCAAACCTTATAATAGATCATTCTTATTTGTAATAGCATGAAATTATACTTGAAATTAAGTAGTAAAATGATCAGTAATCAAGCTGTTACTATTAACGACATTTGAGCATAAAACTATGTCATCGATCACTTTCATGTCAATTTTATTAGCCATTAATATTCTTTATTTTTATCTGTAATACTTAGGGAATACGGCTTAAATGGGTTCGCTGGACTTTTAATCTTACAAGCTGGTTTGATTATGTTGGCATTGCTTTTGGGTGGATTATCTTACAAGGATGATGTACCTTCAATAAAGCGATCAACTACATCCAATATCGCTGGCTATCTCCTTATGGCGTAAGTAATAAAAAATTACAGTTTAAGTTAAATAAAATGATTACACATACTCTGGCGAAAATAAAGATAGAGTAGGTTAGCAAATTGATTTCAACCACTTATATAGCAGCATTTTTGTCATGGTATTACAAATCTTGCTTCAAGTTTATGAAAAGCACATTGAATGACATGGAATTCAATAATTTTTAACTTTAGAGCTGCTGGCTTGATTATCATATTTTCGTTCCTGTATTGCTTTGTTGCCATTACCTTATTGACAATTGGAGCTAATACAGAGAAAGCCTGTCAAGGTCTTCGTGATAATTCATTCTTTTCTCAGGTTGGAATTCTTAATCGTGATGATATAAAGTATAGTAATGACTAAATATTAAAATACTCCAATATTGAAAATTTCTATTCCTTCTTTTACATTAGGTTGCCGACGCTCGTTTACCTGGCGGCAAAACTGTTTTAGAAAGCTTAATTAATCCTTCTAATGCTAATAATCCAACCACTCAATTATTCTCTGGTATCTCCGCTGCAGGACTTATATCGTAAGTTCACTTTTAATCGTGTTACATTCTAACGATATTAATTTACCTCCAAGCGCTAATATATTCCTTTTGTAAGAACAAAAGTCATTTATGTTTCAATATGATAGTTAAATGCTATATGATCTCATACCGCTCTAATAAATTCAAATTAGGATAACGATAAATATATAATTTGATACATGCATGAGTAGCGATGATCCATATTCAATTTACTCACTTATAAAATCACTACAACATCCGTGATGTATACCTCATATGTATACACGCACTTCTTCAAGTATTCAGTCTAACTACTTAAAAACATTAGTGGAACTTCATAGCTAGCTAGCCACATCTCGTAAAGATATTTACTTTTCAAGTTTTGCTACCTAATTTCGCTCCATTATTAAATTAATCATCGATAAGTAACGCGCTATATCATTTTATACCTTCTACAGTGCATGCCAGCAGAACAGAGCATTGTACACTGCTCTAAATTTATCCAAAAGTGCTAATATTGCCAATATTGTTGAAGGTGGTTTGGTTAATACCGTAAGTGCTGAATAGGAAATTTTACTGAAAGTAAAATAACTTTTTAACATTTTGCAATTTCTTTTATTGCCTTAAATTTATTTTCTTCCCCTGTTATATATTTCCTTTTTGCTGTTCAACTTATGTTACTATTTTCTTATGCAACAGACCCTGAATAGCGCTGAAACTCAGCTTAATTCTATTACCATCGACTATTCAAAATTAAATGTTGCTGATAACTCGACATTGAATAATTTGGACACTCTAAAATCGCAAATTGACGCAATCAGCATATCCAATTATGATAGCTTGGTAATAACAAAATACCGAATTGATATTATTCCCTCGATCTAACTTTAAAATATAGTAATTCTGTCTGTGAATAATATAGTATTGTCCTAGAAGTTATTATAGAACAGTAAAAAAATGCAAAATTAGAAAATCTTAAAACCCTGTTTTAACTATTTTCTAATTTTATCCCATTACTAGATCAATAAAGCAAAAGTAACATTCAACATATCAGACTATGCGGATACCCTGACTGCAAAAGCCGAACAAATTCGGCAAGTTCCTCATCCTGTAAGTTCTTTATTTTGATCAAGAATCTGATACAAGTATACACTTGTATGGTAGTTTAAGAACAATCCTTCAGCGATCAGTAACCATTAGTATAAAATTCATCTTTAATACTAACATATAGAATTATGCTTTAATTGAAGTGCTTCTTTTCTAATAATTAAAAATAGACGGCAGCTTCTGTTGCAACTAAACTAGATTCAGTTGCGATTCAACTCAACACTACCATACCTAATACCATCATTGAACCGATCAATTCCAATTTGGTAATTATTGTAAAATCGAAATTAACTAAAATACGGATTATAACAAATAATAATAGTACAGTTATATATATATCACACAACTATTGTAGACTGCCATGAATACCTCTCTTCAATTATTGGTAACAAATAAAGCTAAATTATCGGTAAGTCACGTTACAATGATGCATCTATTGTAGTGCCATAAAAATTTTGCTCCTAATAGTAGCTGATATTAACTATTAATTAATAATAATAAACATCTTCCAGACTCAAATTACCAGTGTCAAAGATGCTGTTATTAACTGGAATAGCTATGTCGCTAATACTTTGCCTAATACAGTCGCTGGAGTAAGTACAAACATTTCATACCTATGTAACTTTCGTAGTTCTTGGAATAACGCTCTACTTACCGGTTACCGTAGGTGATTAATACTTTCAAGAACAAGCTTTTTGGCTACGTTAGACAGTATTCGTCTCATTTAAGCAGTGAGGTAAGCAAGAAAATAGCCGTTTACTATGATACTTCAGTTACTATATTATTGGCAATGGTTCTTCAGAAAAATAAACTAGTTTACTTAACTACTAACTAGCTCTATTAAAACAAGTTACTAAATCAGTACTTTGTACATTTTGTATCAACAGATGAAAAATAGTGTTGGACGATGTCAACCAGTCTACAACGCTTACGCATCTTTGGCTTTGAAAGCAGCTTGTGGTTACGGTATTGATGGTCTGGTAAGTCATAGTTATTGTCCTATAGTATTCTATATTAACAAAATGAGGCCGAGTCTAAATCTCTTGTCTTATTATAACTACCCGTATAACTTATTAAATTTTAATTAATCGCAATTAATTATCGGTTATAGAGTGGTTTCTGGTTCGCTCTATGCATGTGCGTTGGATGTTTTATACCCAACTGTATCTTATCTATTAAATTGGCGAAATACTTCAGAAGGATGAAGACAGAATTTTTCACTTCCAAAAATGCAAAACAAATGTTGTAAGTTTCACAAAAATAACTATAATTGGAATCATTACATTTGTTGTTCTATATCAGATCACTTTAGTCATAACTTTAGATAAACTTATGGAAACCTTTATTTTTATTAATAGCGAAAATAGCCCTAACAAGGATAACGTTCAACTCAAAAAGTAAGATATTTTCCCCCATATATTAATTAATGCAATAAATACACTCATCATTTAATTATAAATAAGACTAAAATTAGAAGCTTTATTATCTATAGTATTAATTATAAATTATCCATATATGGATAGTTTATTATTTACTTATTAAAACTGAGCATCTTTCAACTACGTTATGCTCAGATTAAAAAATTTTAAATTAATGTATAACAACGATTAAATATCTCTATGATTGATTAGCTATAAAGGCAATAAGGTTGGACCCTCAGGACCCGTTGCTGAAAAAGTCCCACCACCGCCTGGATACAAAGCTAACGGTCATCGTGGTCCACCACGCCCGCCAATGAAACGAAGTTCTGGTCACAAAGTTCCTATCGCTTACTAAATGATTACTTAATCATCTAGAGCTTTACCAATGATGTAAACTACACATCAACAATGGGTCTGTAAGATATGACTCTTCCTTTAGTCTTTAAAAATTTCTTTTTCTAATTAAATATTATATCATAAAATGGATACATAGATAAAATTACTTTAGATAGAGCAATAGTTTGCCGTTGGCATAGTATCATATCGGCATAAATGTCAAATTTCACTTATGTTATCCGACGCCAATCGTAAGACTATCATCCACTAATTTCCTATCATCGTTAACCATTAATTGTCATTGTATTTCTTGTTGATATCATCTGCATCCTTGCATTACCTGTAGAACATAATTCTATCCTAAGTTATTGGCGTAATACGCGCCAAGATAGTTAATATTTTATTGTAAACATAGAGGAAATTCCTACCAAAGTCTTTGTAATTTAGTAACAAAGCATAACTAATGCTAAACTTATCTTGTACCAAAACTGTACTGAATATCATTATATTGTTGCTTAAAAAAGTTTCAGCATCTTCAAAATTATTAAAGTCATTCAAATCATAATGCTGAATGCAATGTTAACATGTCAGAAGTAAAATATAGTCGTATCCATAAATAATCGTAATTTTTAAAGGAGTACCGTAATACGGTATTAGAGTCACTTTATTCGTTCTGTATGAGTGAATAAAAGAACATTTATTTACTATAAAGACCAATACGTGTTATGATTATTACTAATTAGAATTATCAATGCCGTCATTCATAACCTATCATGCAGAGTAAAACAAGAATTGTCGATTACATATTCAGAGGAATAGCACACCAAAATGAATAGAATAAAATTAATTACTAACGCACGTAAAATGAATTGTAACTTCTACGTGGCATGGCTGAAAATACGGTCGTACTATGTTTGATGACCTTACATTAAAAGAATTACATATTCATGATTAATCCTAGCATAATGTTATCATTCAGAGAATATTGCTTTCTAGTTACATATCTCATACATCAAATAGGCAGTAACCTTCGACAAATATTATAAATATACAGGTTCATCTAGCAAACCTGCAAAATCGTAACACATTTCGAAGTACCCATCTAATAATTCCACTACAATAGGTTTAACCCTTGTACAAATGCTCAAGATATCCTCGGCACATTATTATTTAGTCGAACATACAAATTCTTTATTACGTTCTGTAGTATGCAATTTTAAAGCATAAAGAGTTTTATCCAATTAACGCTTACAAAAATTTCAATCATCTACAACTTGTGAGTAGTGGTATTTAGGTAATTATACCATTTTAGGCTTTTCCTGTAATTAAAAGCATGCAACCAATAAATGCAAAATTGTAGAAAAAAGACCTTAAGTGATCAGACAATTTACAAAATTTTTAATTTTTATTGTGAATTCTATGACTTACCGCGTGCATATAACCAGTATCATAATATGCATCCCTATGAAAAATATGAAGGAAAAGTTTATTCTCGGGTTTACTACTACTTTGATTTGACTACTATAATCTCACTTACATAGCGTTTTTGTCATAGGGATGCTCTTTTTCCATACGTCTATAATATTTCGCCAGCTTTACTCCAAATATAATATTTGGTATGAAACAAATGGCGCATATTCCCACAGCACACCATACACCGTTCTACAATTGAGATATAAATTTTATGTGACATGTACCAATAATGTTACAACAAAATAAAATTTAACATATCGTAAGCAAATCGGATTAATTGATTGAACCATTTCCAAAAATCACATACTATTGCATCTTGCAAGAAATCACAGACGACGTTTACTGCATTGTCGTACACATTACGTAGAACAAAGCATTTGCCTACGTCGTTCGAAATCTACACGATAGAAATAAAATAGTATCACTTCTAACAATTATAATAAATCAAAATTAACAAAGTGCATACCTATTAATTTATTTATGTTAAAAATAATACTGATCCTAAAATAACTACCTTGTTTTTAACATAGTTAGCATATTCTTTGGCTTCGTTACCGATTTGGGTTGCGATAGTTTTTACAAGCTAAATATTTCAAAATTGGATAGCATAAATTTGGTAAATAAATGTAAGATATTCAACACTAATTACGATATACTGCAACCAATCATTGTGATTTAAATGTGTTATACTGTACTTACGTTCTTAGCATCCGTATGAAAGCTGGCTTTTATGTAATTATCGGCAACTTTAGCTCGATCTAATAATACCCTTATATCACTCTATATATAGATGAATGTAATCAAACTTTAAAACAAGGCAGTATTTACTCTACGAAGTTTTGTCATCATTACGCTTGAATCTATAATATAATATCTATTTAATTGTTGCAAGAAATTTTGCTTAATACAATACTAACCCTTAGAGCCATAATTTCTGTTTCTAGTTTGTTGATATTTGTTTGTAATGAAGTCTAATTATGATCAATAAAGTAATTAAAAGACTTAGGCGAAAATATATAGATAAGCTAGACTGTACACAACTATAATACTCGTATCATAATTTAGTACCTTCAATTGATTAATGGCAGCAACCTTCCCGGAATTTAAGATACGAAGTTCTTGTGCAACTTGTCGAACATCATTAGCAACGCTCTGAATAAAAGTACCAGCACAACAATTTTAATCAATTATGTAAGCTAACCATCCTTATTTTGTAAACATTGTATACGGTTAACTGCCAATATACAAGCAGTAGAGCTATTATTCTGATACAATAGCAAGCTAACTACTAAACTTACGGTGGAATTTGTATCAGCTTCTAGTCTATTAGCGTAATCCACTAAATTGATCGAAGTAGTTCTTATCGACAGCTACAAATAGCAAAAAAAGAAGCCGAAACAATGAGGTCACAAAATCGTTGACTTTAATTACGTTGAAGTTTCCCAAACAAATAACATTTAAAGCTTACTATAGCGTCAATTTCAGTAGTATTAATTTTAGTAGCATTATTATTCAGACTCTCTTGCAGAGTTCGATTATTCTGACTACTCAGAAGTGTTATATTAGGCGTTGGAATGACTATTTTGTCCACTTCAGCAGTTATATTCGGAAGGAGCTGTAAAAAAGATTTTAAAAAATTTACGACAATAAATTAAACTACCTGAAAAGTATCTATCCGTTATGTAAGTTATCTTTAAAATTCTAAAATTTTACCCTTTGAATATCTAATTCTTTGGTAATGTTAAAGCGATAGGCTAAAAGAAATGTTGAATATAGCGAGTTATCCTTTTGGCATTCACTGTTAATTTGCAACGATAAGAAAAAAGAAATCAGATATATATAAAAATAAAGTTAATTATAATCAGATTAAAAGGCATACTTCAGGATTCTGGTAGCGGTCAGAGGAATAGTATCGTTTTGTAATAAAAATCCAGCGATGGGATAGCCACCCCAAACAGTTTCATTATCAATTACCTGTAATTTATAGCAAAAAACTAGTTAGTGATAGCATGTATATGGTGATAAAGGCATGAATAAAACACTGTAGTATTATCCTATGTGCTATAACTAGCTAGTAAATGATTCAATGGCAAGCAGAATCGAACCTGTCTGTAGATACTACCATTCTTGATTGGGTGGCAAGCAGCCCGCTGCATATTACCACCAATCATGAAGAAAGATGCGTTAATGAACAGGTAAAAGAATGCGAATATAAACATTAGCCCAACGCTCCTGTAACATGAGAATGATAAATTCTTAATTGAAACTAATGTAAAAATAAAAATTATTTGCTGGATAAATATATTAACAACTTACGCCATTAAGAAGATGCCGCCAGCATTTGACATTAAACCGCGTTCAGTCGGTGCAGCATCGGCCTTACGTCCAAGTATTCCAAAGAATAATCCAAGGATAATCAAACCAGGGAATAGCATAAGGATACCGCTGTAAACCATATATCCAGCTACCCTGTGGAGTCAACACAATAATTGTGATATGCATAAATTGTCGGTATTTAATTAAAATACAAATCAATCGGGAGTACTGTACTACAGACACGGTTAAGCGGTATAAGAATTTAGTTAACCTTTGTCTTAATATTTCCTTAAACAATGATTCAAGATAAAATTTATTGGATAATCAGATGTTTTAGGCACTTACACGTATACATCATACTCCTTTTTCTCTTTCTGAAGTGCATTGATCGCTGGATTCACGTAACTCGTTATATTGAACTATTCCCATAGGAATCAGAATATTGATAGTAAGAAATAGACTAATAAAACTGCTAATATATGAACACACGTACAAAATCGTATTATCTTACGTTTCTAATGAAAGATATATAGGATAAAGCAGATCTTCGAATAGTGTCCAAACTCGTTAACTGAGTGGAGATTTCTGTAGCCATAAAATAGTATATATACATTATTAATGTTGAATTGACAATAAACAATTAATAGATAAATTATTTTCAAGCATATCATACTTTGCCTAGCACTCTTCGTTTCATTTACGACTTGTTTTGGAATCTTTGCAGTACGATTATTGATCTAGTAAATAAAAAAGATATTCACTTTATTATTAAGCAATAGGAATGACATAAAAAAGTAAAATTTTTTAAATACCTCTCCACTAATCTTTAACGGCTGCCGATCAGATACATTCTTGATTACATCAGATACGGGCTGTAAGCTTGGCATCTATCCATAATTAAATTTATTTCAAATATTAGTTTGCAAAATCAAATAAAAATGATCCGTCAATCCTAACAACAATAATTAATTAATGGATTATATATATATGAATAGGATTAGCTCCAATACTAATAAAATAAAGCACAAAATAATCCATCTTTATCATAAAGTTTAAAATTTAATAAAACAATTCAATTGACGTCGTAGTAATTAAATAGTAAAATAAACGATAATTGATATTGCAAGAATACAAAAAATACAGTTTTACACCTAAGCTTCTTAATGTCATGATTTTTACCTTCGAAGCATCAAAGATTACAAATAAACTCGAAATGTTAAATTGAACGGAACTGCTGCACGAACAGGCTGTTTCAAGTCGAGTAAGGTTTGCCTTAATAGCGTTTATCGTAATGTTCAATTCAGTCATATTAGCTTCGAGTTGAGATAATTGTGAATTAATTTTCTGCAAAGTCATATTGGCCGCAATATTATCTACAATGAATATAAATTAATCATAAATTAATTTGTAGCACTTTTAAAATAGCTTATAGCAACTATATAAGAGGATTAGTATAATTATTAGCGTTAATAATTTCAAAATACCACTTGATAGTTGTGTTAAAATTTGAACTACTGGATCTGTTCTATTCTGAATCATTCCTTTTAAGGGAATACCAACCGTAGTCTCAATACCTGTGGTGATAGTTATCAAATTATATATACATGAATTAGTTATTAATGAACAACATTTAAAAAATAATTTTTTTTAAGTCAATTACCGCTGTCGCTGATATATCTTCTAACTCTGCTCATGGTAATGTTGAAATCATTGTCCAATAAAATTGTGAATTGCTAGAAAAATTAAATAGGTATTTTCTCGGTTACTTTAAACGGCCACCGATGAAATAGAATTAATCACCAGTAGTAGCCGTAAGATGTACTTATAATTGGAAGAAGTCGATACGATGGATGGTGAATTAGGGTTAATTAATACGTCATGTAATTTCAACCTTGTACTTGTACATGTATGTATGTATAATACACTGTAGCTAATTTATTTTAAAGTTGATTTTATCTATTCAAAATTTTTTTCTTAAATCACGAAATATTCAGACAGCTTACATTTGATGTAACAGTTTGATAGTTAGTAACATCCACCAAACCATTTCGGAGGGTTACGTCAACTTTCTGTACAGTTTCCGCTAATTGAGCGGAACTCAGAAAGCAGGTAATAGCTCCACCGCTAAAAGAGTAGACAAAATGCATAATATACATTCATTATAGAAAATCTAGGCGATATCGTCATAATGTACGAAATTAAATTAAAAAATTATTTTTTATAGTCTATTAAGTAACGAGAGAAAGCTATAAGCAGGTCTAAATTAACTCAAAACACTTTTAACATCGATTATAATTATTGAAAATATTGACATAATCATTTATTACTGTTTTGATAAAATGCATGATTAATAAGTTAATTTACGAGTGGTAAATGATAATAGCAAACAAGAAAATTGCTAAAGCTACAGTATAATACAGTATTTGAATACAGTATCAGCTGGGATTAACCTATTACTCTCACAGATGATTATTTCCAACGGACAAAAATCAACATTAAATTAACATTGCAATGGATAGAATACTGTGCAATGCGTTAGCATAGCACTTAGACTGTACTGTACATCATTTAAAAGAGAAGAGTGCAGGCAAATAAACTAGCCCATAACAAGATAGGTCACTAAATATAAGTACTGTACTGTACGTTATACCGTAAACTTATAATTAATATGAACTTACATTGCTAGGAGGGAAAATATTACTAAAAATATGCCATAACAGATTCCTTTGCATCTAAAATTCTTTCCTCTGGCTTGCATCATTTCGCTACCACACATTCCACAACAGCGTAGTGTACAAAAAGTGATACCAACTATAACGAATGTAAAAGCAGCAACAATACCGATACCACCAAGAATTGCGAAAACAAGCTCGTAATGGATAATCTGTTATAATGGTCATTTTTTTGTTAAAACAAGGTTGATTAATTTCAAAATATGAAACAGCCTAGAAAACGTTTGAGTATACAGTACTAACTGTACAAAAAAATTAATTGTAATAACCGATTAGATAATTTTTCATTATGTCGATAAATTTATTGGTGAAAAAACTGTGATTTTCTAATATTACCAATAGTACGAGTACAAGTCAGTAAGAGACTGATATTATATAGAAAGAGTCACTTTTTCAAGTAGTACTTGATTAAATTTTAAATCAATTAAACAAAATATGGTTTTTCAATCGTTCAATAGATCCATGTACTGTACTACATGACCCGCGTTGGCTGATTTCAATTGTGCCCTTACCTTCTCGTAATTCAAATCCCAAACAGCCTGAAGTTGTGAAGTTGTCCGTGCTTTAATCAATTCACGGAGGACACCTAGGTATTAATAAAGTAAGCAAGACAGCATTATTATACAGTAGTAGAAGTAATGTACATTGCATGATTATTGATCTTTAAAATATCGTGGTATATAGATATACCGCAAGCATACCAGGAATAATTTGGTTAGTATTAACAGAAAAAGACATTGTTGTTTTTCACTATTATAATAATATCACGGCGAATGCTCTAAAAATAATAATCGTCTCCACTTAACACCGGATAATCAATGTGTCGTTTGTCGTTTGATATTTCATTCTATAGCCCAAACTTTGTGTTGTACTCAATGCGGATGGACATGATTACTGTAGAATATTACAATACTATCATTTTATTAGCTTTATTAGGGCTTGCTAAGGTCCTAGCTGTAGTTATCTTCAAAACTGTTTGCTAAATTAATATATGTAAAGAGTTAGATAGGTTAACAGATCTACCAAATATTGTCATCATGCTTTTCATCTGCTCCTGCCAATGCTAGGGTAAAGTAATGAATACTTCTAACTGACTCTTGACATTCTGGGCAGTACTGTAAGATGATACGGGGGGGGGTTATGTCAGCATTCTATATCGGAATAGAAATTTTAAAATTAAACCAATTTATGAATGCCACCATGCTCCATGTACATTTCACAGCAACTTGGCGTAGCCTAACATCACATTTAAGCGACACATGATTCCCTGCGCGAAGATAATTTGTCTTCAAAAGCAATCAATATTGAATTTCAATTTTCTACCTTCAAAATTAAATTTTTTTGAGAGTATAGAAAAGGATTTTAGATGTCCAGTATGAAGATTGATAAAGAATAACATTCATTATTATTATCATCCCGATCGGGGACAGACATCACTTTAACTTTATTATCCATCAATTTTTTTTCTTTTCTGTCCCGACGTAGCCACAATTCGTCATTTATAAACAAAGTCTCGTTAACATGTTAACATCCTCCAGCTTCAACACTTTCATATTCAGTTTGATACTAATTCATAGACAAAGGATTGGGTCAGACAGTGTATGGATAGAAAGCCGGCGAAATCAAGTCGGTTGCTATATTGCACACTAGACAAGGACATTTTTTTATTCATGTTGTCGATCAGGAGAAAACATTTCTAATTAACGTGGAAATGTACAGGAGTGTAGAAAGGAATCAACTTCTGCTGATGTCAAATAAGCAAATATTCATCACAATAGAGCGCCAAGATTACTTTCAATAGTGGACGGACAAATATCGTATACTTATTAAAAACTTGATCCAACAGTAATTAAGTATAGTCAATTGTGGTGGCCGGATATCAGTATGTTTATATCTACTAATGAAATGATTTTATCATTGGGATCACAATTGCAGTTTTACTTCTGTATGTACGCGTACAGTTGCTAACCTTCTCTTACCAACAAATGCAACAGAATCTGCTATATTGGTTGGTAAAAAATAGATTTGTTATTTAATTCTTGAGATCAAAGTAATATCCAATTGGATGAAAGGTCAACAATGTCAATAACAACAACATTAAAGATAAATCAATGATGATTTCGATGTCAAAGTGGATCGATCTTGGCCCTCTCAAAAATGAATTCATTTCTACTGTATGAAACCAGTCATTTCACTAGTCCTGAATCAAATAATCAAATCGATTGTAATTGTAGTCATTGTGAAATGAAGAGGAAAATGGCAATTGTACTAAGGAACTCGCTTGCAAGATGATCATTTGGTCATTTAGGTTGATGACTAGAAATTAGGGATGGATATTCAGTATTGATATTGTACTTACCGTAAGGCAATTCTTGAGTATGGATGGCATTGATAAATCCACGAGCGATATTATAAAAAAAAGCCATGCCAGTTTCCAATGGAGTTGTGGCAGTATTGGTCACGATTTGATCCTGAGTCGGTAACTTGGAAAAGAGTGAGCTGGAAGATGAAGTGGTTATGGTAGTCGTATTGGCTGTCATGCTATTGCCACTTGGAGGAGTTGTGGCTCCTGTCGATTGTCCTAAGCTCAATGTCGCTAACAAGGACAGTGTTAGCAGGGCATGAAAATAAAATGGTTGCATTTCGCTTGATTTCAATGGCAATCAGAAATATAATAATAATAATGACTAAAATAACTGTTGGATTGAGGCTTGAATACGCGTCGACTGGCTTTCTCTCTTGTTATCGGCTCTGTTGGTCTAACGTCGAGCAAGACACAAAATAATGTTTTTTCCTCTTAGTAAACTTTTTACTTTCTTTCACTACCGGTCGTCTACCGTTTAGCACAGCTTTTCTTCACTAGAAACGATATCCAATAATGTGGGAAATGGCCCGTAAAATCCAATGAGGACAAGGAATTTTCTTGCAAGTTTTTAGGCCGCCACTGTCACTTTGCCCAATTTAGCTTAATGACGTTTTCACTCGTTTCCTTCTTCTAGTGTACACTTGCGTAGTTGATTCCGAGATTGAAGACTGAGCCGTTATATAGCGCTCGTTACTACGTCGTTACATTCCAATGACAACACGAGCGCTAGTGTGTCTGACGGTCTGTAGTGACAGTACAGTGGACACGATCTAAATTTATACTATGACGTCTTGGACAGGACAGTACAGTACACTGTAAAATTCACTTCATGTACTGTACACTGTACACTGAGTGGACAGCTGTGTTGTGTTCCATTGTCGTATACGCTTGACACCGTAACGCTGCTTCAGTCACACTGTGTTTGTCACTGCCGTAATTCAACGTGCATGCCGTACGTCATGGTGCAACGGGCAAGGGGTATAAAAGTCCACCCCCCCCCCAAAAAAAGATCAGCGTGTTGGAAGCTCGCTTTGCCTGACTGAATTACCAATTCTGTCTATCATCACTAGGTGAAAACTGAATTTTTTACATGGCATTGCCCCAATTGTATCTCCCCATCGCTGCCTAGGCTATTAAATTACTGTGCAGTGCAGCAGAGTTGATTTTCCTTTCCGCCTTTCTTTCTATCGACTTGGATACCGCGATAACATACAGTACTCTAGTAGTACCATGCGACTCCACTTTCTACTGTATGCTGAACAGGACTGTCCCAACCCCCAATCCATTGTCTGTACTACACTGAATTCACTTGATCAACTACCGGCTGTATCCATAGTCTAAAGTAAAGAGAACTATATCAACTATGACGTAATTCTTGAGCGATCGTCAGAGAAGCTAATAGAAACTTTTCTCGAACTTTTGAATCCTTTTTTGAGGGGGGCATGATATACAAATTGGCTGATTGCAAGAACACAGTGTGCTAACTATTGTAGACTGGGCAGACTTGGTCCACGACGATAGGGATGCATGGACACCGACTCTAATAGGGTACGATGACTCCAGTCCTAAACAACAGCATGACTTTGCAACTGAAAAATGGAGTTGAATACAGTGCTGTACCATCTCCATCAATTCCTCATTTGTAAAGATTTGATTGATAGGATGATAACGATAGAGTGAATAGGAGGAGATGCAGAGAAAAATGGACATAGTGCGAGCAAATATGGAATAATAATAACATCATCATTATTATAATAAGCGCTAGCATGAAGTCCATGACGTCATCTGCTTCGCCTAGGGCGGTATTTGAACTAATATTATTATTTTATTAGCAGTGCGCGGGTGCTATAAAATTCCATTCAAAAATGGATGCCTCCATATACAAGACTGGGATATAATATGATAGAGTATCCATCGAGAAGAACATCTATCAATTAGATATTTTACTCCCTCCCTGTCTGCCTGCCTCTCCTGCCCAAGTAGGCGCTCTGCTAATTTAAACCAATGCATCGTGTTTGTAGAAGCTTGCTTTGCTTGCAATGGCGTGCATCGATAATAAATTACTGTAGAATGAATCCACGCACCTTAAATGACACCAATCTTGCGTCTGGAAATAGAAAATAGCAATAATAACCTTGGTATGTCCATATTCAGAAATAGCTATTTCCAACCATAAAATCCAGATGAACAGTCCTATTATCCCAGTTGGACTATCCCATAGATGACATCATAGATTGAATAGGTTAGGTAAAAGTCCTTTTAAAAACACCTGCTGCGCGCAACCTTCAGTAAAAATCAATGTCAATACAGCATGCTGAAAGGCATAGCAATCCAGTCTAGTAATAGGATTACCAACGAGATAGGCACTGCAAGGCACGGGTGTGGCAAGAAACAAATAAATAAAGAGTAATTGTCTAAAATATTGACATTATGATCCAACTGCACACAACTTGTACTGTACATTATAGTGCATAAAGACAGTTACGTAATTTGAACCCATAGGGGACAGCTACTCGTGGTATACTATGCCTGAGATAGAGGTAGACTAGGCCTACATACTTGTATTTTATCAACATAGGTTACGGAAGAAATCAAAGTGGGTGTGCTAGACATCCAACTCTACCTTATACACTTTTTAATCTAAACTACGGTATTGTTCATATTGGCGATAGCCTGTGGCGGTGGATATCATATCAGATCATCAATAAATAATGTAATTTCTGCCAACATGTGTTATGCACGTACTGTATTTGGACGCTTAACCTGTGCATAAGTAGCAGTAGCAATCATAGTATGCACTTTCTAATCTAAATTAGAGACATAAAGTAATCTATGGCATTTATCCATATTGACGATGGTTGGTAGAGTGAATACCGTACCGAATCAGAAATCAATAATTCCACCCTAGACTAGTGCGTAGTATTCGTTTACACAAGCATCGTGATTTACGTATATATCAACAGAAATGAATACCATCAACAATTTCTACACCCACAAGATAGATCCTCTCTAGACTGCAATTAAACTAAATGATGGATAGAATCATCTAAAATCTGTAAAGACTATTTACTTCCATAAAAATACATGCTTTATTTGATTTGCAAGGCCACATGTCCCTTTATAAACTAATTTCAATCATTAGCCATAATGATAGCTGATAATCGTGGCTAATAGTAGGTTAGTGTCCGCAATTACATTGTTCAAGAGATTCAAAATAGCTACATGATCGTAAATGATAGCATGCCCAAAAGTGGATTACAATCTTGACAATAAGTCATTGTTCAAGCTAGAGTAGTATTACATAGAATATCGAAAATAATTCCCTGCTATTAAAATGTTGGACTTTCACTACATCGTTATTTATAACTTTCTAAAAGTGTCGATTACTTTCCAATACAGATACTTGTTATTTCTTATTTCTACTAACCCAACATAACCAAAACATGACAATGAAAATATTATTCCTTTGATCATGCATGTCCGATGAACTAAAAAAACATATTGGAGATTTACAACTAAGAAATAAGTAAGTCTATATAACCATGAAATGATTTCTCTAACATAAAGTTATGATGCCATAATAGAATGCGTAAATATCTTTTCATATCTCTATTAAAGTATAAAATGAACATTAACATAAACAGTTAGACCATATGTAGTAAAAATCGATCAACAAATAGAATCGGCCTGATATAAAAAATAGATGATAATAAGTTCATTAATTTACTGTACTAGTAAGGAATATTCCTTCAATATCCTCACTCAAATCATCAATAACTACCAAATATCTATAAATAAAAAGCTCAATTGTCATCAACTGTACGACTGAGCGATCTCCCACCATCTGCTGCTAATCGTTTACTAAACACCTACTCAGAAAAACATTAAAATAGTTATGGTTACCTTGTTCAAGAAATTACATCATAGAAATACACAAACGGCCTTTAACTAAAATGAGAAGCACCTATAGTGTAGTCTTCAACTTAACATAAAGAGCTAAATAGTTGACCAGACTGATGGATCTTATATCACACAGTGAATAATGTAAATAAAGATATTTGTCAACACTATAACATAAGTTCATGATCGACTATAATGTACAAATTATTGGTAACAACAATTTTAATTTAGAATACAATATCCTATTGTATATATCGTCTATTCATTTAATCGCAGTGCAAATATATTTCGTAGTAAAAATTTATTGTATAACTTGGTATCGTAGATATCCTCTACGTGATTTAACCTGAATCAATCAAGACTAATTCATAAACGTATGCCATTAGCCTAACAGTAAATTATAAGCTATATATTGAAACTAAGGCTAACTTTCTTCTCCTCTATAGTAGATTACATCATTTCCACTTATCATTATCCTCACCATCATTTCAACTTATTTATAAATTGCAATAATGTGAAAAATAATAAAAAGAATTGACAATGCATAAAGTATTTGTCACCTTTGTCACCTTTGCTAATTTTGTTATTTTTTACTCAATCCTGGCATGATTCCATTAGCATGAAAGAGCCCATTTTTGATCGATATCTTAATTTCTATTATTTGATTGGTTACGTATTTTAATTTTGTTGATAATTTCAGATGCAGCTATGAGTTATGAAGTAATCAATTCCATAAGAAGACTCAGAGTAAGAATCAAAATCAAAAATAAAGCTTTCTTAAAGTCTAAACCAAATTCTGTATGCCTACATCTAATTTGTAATTTGAAATTAATTTATTATGCCTAAATTTATTATAAATACATGTTCATCTAGTCATAACTAATTCACTTTTATACCCGATATGATAGCATCAGGATGAAAAATGACCATTCTATTCTGTCGAAACATCAGATAAAAATGCCATTGTAATATATTTAATAAGCAACAAGGCTAGCTTACTCCATTAATCTCAAATAGCTTATAATCAATCATTCTATGTCATCCCCTTAATATAATCATTAGTTCAATTAAATCCGCAATTCGTCCTTTCTATAGCCAAAGAGATGCATTATTTTAATAGCTTCATAACCTTGGGCAATAAGCGCTTAATAATGATTGCATTTCCATCTGCTATTTGCGATTATAGTATTCAAAAAGCTGTGCTAATTACGTCATTGTTGCAGCCTTTTCACTACAACTTAAAATATCAACGATTAAGCTACCTTGATTATGCTATCCTCAGAAGCTAACCCAATAATGAGCCAACATTTAACAGGATTAATCTGTATTCTTTAAAACAGTAAATATTAAATCACTTTTACGACAACGAGTATTCGATCTCAATACTAATTTGTTAGTATAGCATAATCATGAAAAGAAAATTCCGTTAATTCACTCTAGTCATTGAAGAACAAAATATTATACATTATAATTATTGATATAAACGGCAGAAAATATAATCTAACGCTAAGGACACAATGATGAAGCAATATCGTAATAAAAGAAGGAGATTAAGATCAATTCAGCTACACGCTGGTCCATATCCATCATTTTACATATCCTAACCGTCAATAGATGTAATCTCTGTCTAGGGTGATATTGCAAATAAACTATGTCACTCTTATTATTAATCATAAGAATTGAATGCAATGGCTGTGTAGTACATTCGATGAGAAAACGATTCATAGTCAAGTTATGGACTACTTGATCTACTTCAAACATTCTAAGATCGGATACTTTACTTTCGAATTAGCATGCAATTATAGCACATTGTGTAAATGATGATTAATATTTAAAGTTGTAACAGTCTTATACTGTATAACCCTGGATGATTTAAGGTAGTTTTATTCGCACATCAATCATTCTATGTATCACATTCTTTAGTAACTTATAAAAATAAAGTAACGAATAAGACTGTATAATGACATCGATATCAGATTGACGATGTGCAACTAAGTTTATCATGTAGAAAAATTTTCCTTATTAGCCATAAAATGAAAGATATTTGTGTTGATATTATAAGTGGAACAAATTATTAAAATAAATCTAAATGTTTTATTTTAATTTTGTATATCTAGATCAAACCACCATGTGATTAGGGTAATAATTTTACATTCATAAGGTATACGATGCACACATTAATTTAGACAATCTATACTTTCATAAATACGAGTTAACCCAGAATACAATCGCAAAATAGCTTCAGAACGTATCATTAAGAATCAAAAGTCAGCAGTAAGGAATGACTAATTATCTTAATATTTTACTTATCCTAAGTAAGCCAAATCACCAAGTAATAAATAAATTCTACAATTTGTGCATTCATGAGCCGATAGTACAAACGTTAATTTATACGGCACATATCCATACTTTCATAAATATAAAATCAATCAAGAATGCTGTAATAAATGGGCTTAGAATGTATAAAAGAGATGAATTTCTAGAATACAACATGATCACCATAAATATATATCATTTATACCATCTTGTCACTGGTAACACAAGAGAACAGAGTCATTCATAGAGTAGAAATAAATCTATTGGTCATACTAACATTATTCAGCATTATTAATAAATCTTCTTTCAATGTTATTAATCGACTGGATTATAAAGTGATCGTCCAACCAATTATTTATAAATCAGAAGTTATAAACTTATTCAATAAAATGATTAATTCCATTTAGTTTATAACTCAACGATATCAACGATGAACTATTATCTATACGAGTATCAATATCTTTATATGTAACAAATAATGGATTTAATCCTTGGTAACTAAGGAGTTTATCGATAAATTAATTTAGTGGATCTATTAATGCAATTAAATTCATTCCTCTACTCATTCTAAACTTACTAAATCTTTATGAATACTTTCAGTAGTAATGTTATTTCATGTTTGTTGATTATTTATTTATCTAAATTTCAAATTGAATCGTATGATGTTGAAGCCATCTCTTTGCTTTATAATCGCTGTAGTAGAGTTTTCAATGATCTCTTTGCTATTTCAATGGCTCCGCTTATTTCATAAATGCTTAATAAGCTATAAATACTATGCAATACCGTACTCATCATAACTTTTAATACAACGATGGTCATTTCTTTTCATCGAGATGGATTTTTGGGGGAAATGTAGCTATGAGATTATCTTTGACAATGGCTCTAGTGGCGGAGACCAAAATTTGATCAATAAGTAAAACAGAAAAATAAATAATGAATGCGATCCAACTTAATTTGCCACCAACTATGTATGAAAGATACAATTCCTATGTATTGATTTCATAAATAACTAGCCATGCCATAGTTTATCATATTTTTGCACCGGTACCATAGACGAGTATAAATCCATCGATGATGTTAACTAATGATGCAAATTATCTTTGTAATTTATCATTGAAAAATTCTCTTATTGAACAGTGATTTTTCATAGTTGATCTTAATCCAAATCATAATCATCGCTGTCTCCACTACGTACCGGACTGACCGTTTCTAGTCGATAGGCATGCCAGCAATTGAACTTATGGTTATCTTCAGCTGCTTTACGTTTATAAGTAGCTTGAAAGAAGATGACATAAATGAGTGTTGCTAGAGTTAATAATCCAACCATCACCACGGTAGCCCAAGAGTAATCGCGAGGAATAATTGCAGTATCAGGAACCGAAATCATTGGAGAAGGAGAATTAGATGAACTTAACTGAGAATGATGGCATGCAGAATAAATAATTTGAGAGCTATCCAGCGGCGGACTAATGATTGGTAAAACGATGATCATAACTACACTAATAATAGTCCTAAATGGTGATGAAGAAAAAGCATTAGTTTGACTTCCATCCATGTTGGATATAAGTTAATATCTAGCATATGCTGCTATAGTGCAATTTAAAAGAAACTACTGACTCTCTTTCGTTCTTTTCCTTTATGCACTTACGCTAAGAGGAATAGAACTCCCGAACTAATGACTTCGTCAACTGGATAAGAACACTCCACACATAGTTCTAGCATCATCGGGACAAGACTCATACCAAAAATGCCATAAAGCGCCGCAAAAAGGCAAAGAAGACCTTGGCAATTACGGTATCCAGCAGACTAGTTCATTTATCATGAAATACGGGTATATAAGAATCCAGGAATTTTGATCATGAAAAAGTAAATAGGTAATAAATTCAATCAAAGCTCAGACATAAACCATCTTTAGTACAATGTTTTGGAAAATTTTAAACATCCTATCTAATGTAATAGATCAGCACAGTTACCATAAAGAAACCAATCAGCGATAAGTTTGCCAAGGATAGAAAGACTTTGGATATTACTTCAAAATGATTAATACTTCGGATAAAGAAAAGGATAATAACTGCAGCAATAAATCCACACATAGTCATAATGACAATGCAAAGGCCAGCAAAATCCTTTAAAAATTGAAATAAATTTTTTAATGACGAAAACATTAATAGCAGAGTTGAAGTAGCATACAGTGAAAGCTATAATTACGTCTGGGTAACCAGTAGGACATAAAATTTGTTCTATTAAAACGCCGACAGTACCCAAGACTGCAAAATGAGTAGCTACAGTAATAGCCAGGAGCTGATAGGAGCTGTCTGATTTCAGCTAATATTTATTAAATGATATGAAATAGATGGATAAAATAAGTTCAGAATAATTGAAAATTGGCTGCATGATATGAATTCGTAGATCTATTTTTTATAGAAACTTTGCTACATCTAGTAATATTGTGCTAGATCATAGAATCATACACTGTAACATATACAGAATCAGTCTTACTAAATTGGTAATGCATTTCCAGGTACTCTCAGGATTCTCATCTAACATCATGATAAATGATGGGGCATTTGGGGGTTTACTATATTTCATTCCAATTGTAGCCATTAAAGTAGCAGCAGCGACAGGAATGAGGTTAATAATTAGCTATACATAGGAATTCAGAGAAAAGGAAATTAACAATATAAAACGACAAGCGAAATCCCATGTAACAATCTATCTAGAAGACTGTAGGGTTAGTTGCTTCAAGAAAATTACTAAATGATGTTTAATTTAGCTATAATAACCTGTAAATATGAACTACATAGATTGCCCATATACTAAAGGATAGGAAATGTGTATGTCGTTGCATTCACTGATCCTAATTGTAAAGACTCGACTAGAGGCATTAGACTTACTAAAATCGGCATCTTAAGGTAGTTGTGATTAGTTATAGCTGGTGATAAAACGCTCGATACCATCATTCCTAAAGTCACACCTAGATGATAAAAAATATTCATTATCAAGCCTCAATATTAAGAGCACTTTCAACGATTGCATGATATAGGAAATCGATTTAAATTACATAATAATTAAAGGCTCTCGATTATTATGCAGTGGATACTCGTATAGTTTAGTAGGTCTATTATACCTAGTGTAGCAATGGTGTTAGCAAGTATTCTTTCTTCATCAGGAAACCATACTGCTGCCATTTTAGTGGTAGTAGCTAAAATAACAGGCTGACCTAGGGCAATCAAGCCCTGCCCGATAAATAATGTTGGTATACGACCGGCTGCGGGTACATAAGCGCTCAATACTCGAATACTTGCACCCAGAAGTGTTACCCAACCGTTGACGACGATCTAGAAGAAATTGTAGTCAATAATGAATTAAATCAATGTTATAATATTCAATCTATTACCAATGGTAGAATAGATCACTTTACTAAACTATTTCAACGTCAAAGCATTATCTAACTCGTTGCATCCAACTCCAAAAGCTGTACGAAAAATTACACGTCTTGCAGATGCTATCGCTAAATACGACACAGTACATTTATATTAATTTATGCCATGTTAGGCCATAGTGCTGCATCTAACCGATGTGATGTGATTGTTGATTGTTGTTAGATGTTAGCCGATATTAGATTGTTGATGATATATATCCAATTAATTGTCTCACAACTACACAACTATACATTAATTACATATACGAATGTCCATTCTAATAACCTTATTTTCTAAAGAGAATAAATATCTTTTAAACTATCTATGAAATAAACCAATGCCGTCTATTTTATTATCGTCAATTTAAAGATTTTAAAATCTTTTTCTTGAAAATAACGAGTAAGAAAAGGACAGCCCATGTTTTTTCAACTCTTTGAGCTGTTAGGAATTTTAGTTGAATCATAACCTCTCGATATAATAAAAAATGAAACTATTTCAATTGAATGAAATTACTGTGTACTTAAAAGTCGTGATGGATGATTTCATCGTTCCGTAATAATTTCAATTGTAAATATACTGTAAATTTTAACTCTAATTGTATAAAGATATTAGACGTAGAATATTTTAAATATAAATATAGGACTATAAAGAGAATGCTTTCTAGTATGAAATTATCATTGATACCTAGAAATTTACTAGTACCACAAAGATAGTTAGACGTAGTATGTTTAAAATCAAGTATAGCGCCCTTTATAAGGAGGTATCTTAGCATGAATAATTAATTATTATTGATACTTAGAAATTGATGCAGTACTGTATATTCTAAAATGAGTATAAGATTGTTACAAGAATACATCTTAGTATGACATAATCATTATTGATACCTAGAAATTTTCGAAGTCTAGTGGCATAACGATAGTTAGACGTTGTATATTTTAAATTGAATTTAGAACCATTACAATATACTATCTTAGTATGAAATAATTATTATTGCTACCTAGAAAATTCTCGACTCTAAAGATATAAAGATAGTTAAATCTAGTCCATTTTAACGGCATATTGAACCGTTATAAGAATATATATTTTAATATGAAATAATAATTATGCTGCCTAGAAATTTCCTAATACTAGTTATATCCAAGGCGATCGTTAGAGATATAGTACATTTTAAATTGGGTATTTATAAGAACATCTCTTAGCATGAAATAACTGCTATTGATACCTAGAAAGTAAGCCTAACATTGGCATAATTGCATGCCAATATTAACGGATGCTATCTCATTTTGTTTTATTTTTACGTCCTTAACCTAAGCTGTCTACAGTAATCTTAAGGATACTCAGTATTAACTCTAAGAAAATTAGAACTTATACTATTGTCATCTACTTATAACTGTAAACATCTACTGACATCTTGTCAGTAAAATATTTGGCTTAGTTTTTAGATACTGTTCATTCATTACTGATATAGGTCAATGCAAAGTTTAATATATTCTAGACAAATGCAACCACTTTTATCTCCAGCAATTGTAGCTCTAAATAACATGCAGCTATCTAAATCGAGAAAAGAAACAATCAACATGGCGACTTACCCCTACTCGAAGGCCATATTTATCCAATAACCAGATGGAGATTGGACCTACAATGACAAATCCTAGCAAAACTACGATGGAGAGCCAATTGACGTCTGATAATGAAATCTTGTAATATAGCGCTGTTGAATCAGCAATCATAGCAAAAGTATAATACAGCTGGAAAAAAATAGGAGTCGAAATTTTAGCAAAAACAGGATTGCTACCCATTGAAATTCTCTTATTTCTTTATAGCTGTATCTACATTAATATAACTATCTTCATTCCGAGTAAGATGATAAAGTCATTTACTTTACTATGAATCGTTGGTCAAGATATAAAATCATATACTGAACAAGCTAATCGATAATGTGATGGCTTTAAGTCATGACTGGTGGTGATAAAAATTCAATTTTAAAGCGAGTTCAACATGATATATTACTTACCATGGCGTTGCATAGATTTAAAAAGGTAATGGTGGCTAAAATAAACCAGCGGTTAGGATGCACTTCTGGCACAGGATGAAGCCGTATCATTCCATAGACCGAATCGGAAGCACGATCGATAAAAGTTCCGCTATCGCTAACGGTATTTTTCTCATATTTCTCCTCGTTATTTCCATAATTCATCATTAAATTGATATTTTCGTCATTCTTTGGAATCACGTTATTTGCCATAGTAAATTGGAGCAGTTCAGTGTATTAGCGTAAGAAAAAACTGCAAATTGAAACTAACTCAATGATCAACACAGTCTAATCGTCAAGTAGAGACCTGTTCAAAATAGAAATAAAATAATCTTAGCAATTTTTTTCCATTTTCTTCCGCCATGACTCATTCTTCTGATAATTTACATATTGAACTTTGGAATAAAATAATTAGTAGTACAAATTAAAATTCATAATTTTGCTCCTAACATCAAATTGAGCTGTTGATCCCTTCCTACTTTAATGATGACAGAATTATTCTTTTACAATTTAAAATTAGTCTATCTAGCCCAGGCATAATGGATTAATTAATGCAGTGTAGAACAACGAATAGGCAGAGGAATGTTGTATTTTTATCATCGAAAGAATGATGCTGCACTATAAAATTCGTTATATTGCAGCAGGATAGAAGCTAGAGAATAATAAAATGAGAGTGCGATTTGCAACCGTTTATTAATTGAAAAGATGAGAAAAATCGATGAACCGGAAAGAATTTGCTTTTAGAATAGTACTTGTTAGAGACTGATCTAGAGATGGATCTTAGGGTACATTAAATTTTGACATGGCAATCACAACATGATGAGAAAATGAAACTGCTTATTTTTTTATTTCGATTATCCAATTTATGTTTGTAATCAGACTAACAAATCGATAGATTACTACGTAAAGCCATCACTATGAATAGAGTTAACAAGTAATGCAAGCAACGGGCACCCTAGTGAAAATTAAAGCGGACGAAAATGAAGAATAAACGCTTTGATTGCTTCCAAACCTGTCAATAAAGTCTTTTATACCATAGATGACGACTTGCTAGGGTTTCAATTTTCAATCAGTAATCCGCTTTCATGATACCAAATGGAAAACAGTATAAGTACGAGTAGAAACTACAAATTCAGCTGTGGTTTTAATCCTTTTTTGTTAAGATTTACTCTATCTTTCGAGGAAAAAGTAATCTTGGTGTGATTTAAAGCAAGTGTTGACGTATAGCTAATATTGAAATCATATGATACAACACCATGATTCCAGTGAAAATGGAAGAGTTTGTCCCCTAAGTTGATGTTTGGATAATCTAATTAAACCATTTTAAGCGTCACTAATATTATTGATTATAAAGAATAAGAGACTAGCCATTAATGCTGTGTCATGTAATCATTTGGATGCCAAAGAAATGGGTCAGCAAGAAATCGATTTTATCGACAAGTAATTAATTAATAATATTATGAATTTCAATAGCGTAAATAGGTACACCCCTACGTTATACAAGTATAAAGGTGATTATTTCCGCTATGAAAAGATTAATTGATTGATTGACGATAGGGTACAATTTAGCAGCAGGGAGAAAAGCAAGATGAACGATTGACATCCATCCATTAGGCATGGATTACTGGAAATATGACAGTTTTAGTAATCCAAGTTTTCAATCAGATCGAGATACATAACTTTCCCCAGTATATAAAATAGCACGAGATCTAAAAGCGATACGTAGGTCACTGCTAATAAGTTACTTTATACTATAGCTAATGTCAATTTAATTGCACACCTTCCTAAATTAATGCTAGTTTATTGTAGTGCCACCTGGCTTTTAAAAATTGTTTTTCATAGAATCTTGGACAAGTCTCTGCCTTCCATTATGCAATGATGACGGTAAAGAAAAAGTTTCAGCTGGCTCTTTCATCTTCACTTACGAAGAGCTTTGCAAAGATCTTAGGTGCTTTCGGTAGATTAAAGCTTGTATACGATTGCTATTTTTAATATACTTTCTGCTCTTACGAAACTGTCTACTAAAGTAGATACTGGCCAGTTTAGATGATAGTGGGCCTGCCATATACTACAAGAACAACAATTAGCATAGTTGCTGCAGTTGTTGATATTCTGCAGTAGAAATTGGCGATCGTTGTTGACCTCATTATGATGATTCTAGTTTATCCTAAGTGGATCAAACTGACAAGACTTCTATTCTAGTCATGATTTACTTTAGAATTAGAAAGCAGCAGCTGGTGATTTTTTTTTCTCTCTATCTCTGTTAAGGTTTTAGTTAAAAATAATCAACGCTAAATTTGTTATTATTACGGCATATTATGCTCGATCATCAATAAAAAATAAATAACTATTTGGAGAGTCAAAAATATAAGCTATATTTTGCGACGTTGTTCAGTTGAAGTACTAACCTGAAGAAGTTTACATGGTAGCTAATGTACAGCAAAAGGATTCAATATCTTGCTCATCAATCTCAACTCTCAAATCGTTAAAAATTTGGATTATAAATAGATCTAACTATTGCAGTATTTCAAATAGCCATGAGCTTGATGGTGTTTTAACCTATTATCGAAGTAGGTGGGTATGTTTTGATAGTGATAGAGGCTTAAAATATGGTCGGTTAAACAGATTGAATAATTAATTAACCACCTGTTTTTTCTCTTCATTCATTACCTACTGGAATTTATTTAAATAAATTAAATGAGGCAGGAATCTATCGAAAAATCTGCTTTGATTATTTGAAACCGGAGAGTCGACAGCCCGAAATCATACGAAAATATTTACTTCTAATAAAAGAAGTGGGCGAATTATTTTTCATTCCATGCTCTGTATTAAACCATAGCCAAGCTGTTACATCTTATTGTGTATCTTTGCTGCCACTTGAAAACGTTCAAATCTGTTTTAGATAGTACCATTGATAGTTTTGATCGTTTTATTGACTTTAAATACTCCGTTCATAGTGTTAGAGCCATAAGTAGGCCAGACCTGTTACCAGTTGGAAGAATATGTTCTGTTTTTATGGCCCATCAAGACATTATAATTATAGGTGGGATCTGATGTAACCTTCTAGATCATCAGATATGGTTTAAAATGGTAAAATGAATTTATATCATGTTGGCGATAACCCTATGTAGTATAAGAGGGAAATTGATGTACTTATGCTTCTATTATACGTAGTATAAATTTGATGTTAACTTACTGGTCAACATAGGTATACGTGAAGTCTTTTACCACAGTTCTTGTGAATTAAGAAAGGCTTTCATATCTAACCACGTCTTGAATGTCCTTACATTCCTTACTACTTTCATAATTTTTATCCATGGCCCAAACCACCATGATATACTATAGCTTATATTATATCCTACAACTTATTCTTGACAGGCACTTCATTGCAAAGTGCGGCTGACTTTTACGCCATCTCCAAAAGCTGTTACCATTATCAGAGATGTTATTGCTGTTAAGCAATATTATTTCACGCCAGTTTAGATGCTGATCTCTCTTAACGTAACTTCCTCTTCCCTTTACGATCCTTACTTTTGAAAGAAAGAGTAGCATTATTTTCCCAATTCAATTCCATAGGTAAAGTTAATGATGGCAACTAAATCTAATATTGTCGATAATAATTCGATCCTCAGAAGCATGGAGTATTTTATAGATTGTGTAATCATAAATAACCGAATCATTCTCTTTGATAGGAATATAAGTAAAGCGAGGAAATTTTCGGGTGCAAAGAAGGAATCCTATCATCCACGATACGATGTAACCTAGTTCTAGATAGCACGTATTCCCTTCCCCTAAAATATTTAGTACTTTTACACATCATTTAATCATCCATAACGATTCATGAATAGTTAAAAGAATGATGAGCCAATATATGAAATTATACGTATTAAATATAAGAATGGAACTCATAGCCTAATCATAGGATTTCACCAGATAATCCTTAAAGTTTAATATCAACTTATGATATTATACTACAGGTTGAACAGTATAGCATACGTTTAAGAAATGAAATGATTTTACTAGGTAGAAATCTCGCACACAAACATACAAGATATTTCATTATGCAATCTTTACTACTATAAGGATCATTTAGTATGAGTATTCATTGCTAGCTGATCT